TGTTCGCAAACACATCTGCTAAAAATAACGTGATAAGTGTAAGGAGGAAGAAGGGGAGGGAACGAGGGTTGGTTTTCATGAGTGAAACGAACGACATTCCTTCTGCAAAAAAGGAAGTAAAAGGAACAGAGACCAACATGTACAATCTCTCAGAACACCAAGTTTCCAAAACACCCACCCCATCTCTTACCACCTACACATCAGCGGGGTGAAGTCGCTCCAATCCCCACAGAACTGCCAAGCACGTGGTGATTGTCTCATGGTACCACCTCGAGTATTGCAGCCCACCTACCCCAACAGACTCTGCTTTACCGGTGTAACGTGACAGACCTTCCCAGCATCTCCACAACAAAGGAGGTAGGCGAAAGGAACGATCTACACTCCGGTGCAGCACACAGCTAGGCTGTGAATGGACCTTTGACGCTAAAGCCACGGGCCCTGAGTTGCGGGTTGTGGAGAAAAAGGCATCCGGCTTATTGCGCCGGCGTCGGGGAGTAACTATATTTGGTGGCTGGGGTATACAGAGGTACGTGGGCATATCGTAGGATGTTTGTTTGTTGGAGCTGTTGCGGTAAGTGAAAGTGATGGCGTTGGTCTGTCGTCTTGTTGTTAAGGTGCTCTCTTGTGGAGGAGGTTATCGTAGATGGACAACAACAACAACAACAACCTAGAACCGATACTAGTTCATCAAGTACCAGGGGTGAATGAACACCTGACATACACACCAGGATCTGTGTTAAACCCGGCAGTACTAAAGTGTAAGCTCAAACCTGGCCAGCGTCATTTCGAAATTCCCATACATCGGTCGGGACATGATCAGACGACCGCAAATGAGGCTTTCCCAAAGCGGCAGGACATACTCTGCCAGCGTCAAGGATGTGGATAATTACATGGTTTGCTTCGTGGAGGGTGGGTGTGGAGATGAGGAAAGCGCTAGGATAACTTCACGATCCTCGTGACGACTATTGGCCTGGTGTTGAAGAGCGACGAGGGACTTGTGTCCAGCGGTCGAGGGTACAAGTTGACGTGGAGGCTAAAGACTCCTTGGACTTGGACGGATACCGGCATCGGCGGATGGAAGCACTTGTTAGCACCAATTGACCGGAGGCGGAATGGGCAATAGGACTGCTGCGAGGAAACACAAAACATAGTGCAGCTGTCGATTCAAGAAGTGGGTGCGTACTGCGGGGAAAGCTTGTAGATCCCTGCAGTAGTTCGTTCATGTCATGTCCAAGCAAGCAGTAGCTTCTCTTTTCGGAGGTACAACCGCTGCAATCCAGTAGCACATGGCGTGTGTGAACCATGATGCCCATGTAGTATTACCAGGTAACGTGGCCACGTTTTTAATCTACAGGTGCATGTGAGCAGTGATCATGAGGGAAAATAGCGTGCATATAGTGTGGCATTACATTCTGGATTTGATATACTAGAAGCCTATCGTCATCGTCGCCCATGTACATGAAGAGAGGAAGGAGCAGCTCGGGTTGCCAACTTCCACCACAAGAACAGAGTAGAGTACAATATGTCATGAGATCATAAGCCCTTTGACCGGAAACCAATAAAGATGAGAACAAAACGCCAGGAAAAATAAAGTTGAGTCTGAGTGGAAAGACAAAAGCGGGGTATCCAAAAAGCCAACAGAAGTGACTTGATCACAGAATGCCGAACACAAACGAACGCCAAGTCTGCGACATGAAGCGAGAAATAAAGAGATAAAGGGGATGCGCTGCGAACAGGGTATCCAAAAACGCAATGCAGTCCAACACCAGGTATAACTCATACAAAATCAGACATGATCACCTCAGGACTGGACGATCCAAGGACGAGCAACATGCTCGAATCGCTGTTCACAGTCGTGCAACCACGCGCAGTCGAGAATGTCATGAACGTTCCAGCGCTTCTCAACATCAATCTCGAGACAACCCCTCACCAGTTCAAGGGCGTCGTCAATGCAGCCTTCCTGGGCAGCTTCGGAGTTGCGGATGGGCTCTGGATCCCAATCGCAATTTTGAATCTTCTCTATGGTCTTAATGTCAAGGCCGTCGTTGAAAGGTAGGGTGGCGGTAAGCAGCGCGTACACGACCACGCCAAACGCCCAAATGTCCGCCTCCGGGGAGAAGACAGGACCGGGTGCGTTGAACAGCTCTGGAGCCGCATACTGTAGGCTGCCGGCGATGGAGGTGCTGGTCTCGGCGGGGCCGATGTTCTGATTGTCGCCAATTGAGTGGGGCTCTGGGCCGTCGCGCTGATCGCTAACAATAAAGTCGGCCATTCCGAAGTCGCAGAGAAGAAGATCTCCTCCGTCGCGCTCGGCGTTGGGGACTGTCATGTCGAGGAGGCAGTTTTCCAGCTTGATGTCACGGTGCACTACCTGGACGTCATTGTGCAGGTAACGCATCGCCGAAGCCAGCTGGTAGGCATAACGCTTCACCAAGTGAGCAGGCAGGCCGTTCATCTTCTTGCGGCGAATGTCGCGAACGAGATCAAACAGTGTGCCGCCCTTGTTCAGCTTGGTGATGCAAAAGGTAGCATAGTCGGTGGTGTAGACCCTCAGGAGAGGGAGGATATAGGGGTGACGCAGGAAGCGCCATATCTCCACCTCATGGTCGAATTGTGTCTGAATTTGCTCGTTCTCTAATTCAGACTTGTCCTGCTGCAGCTTGCGCACAATCTTAACAGCATCCACAACGGGCTTGCCGTTTTCCATGCTCGTGACTTCCTTGACAATGCTGAAGCCACCGTACCCAATCTGCTTTCCGATAATGTATTCACTGTCGTAGCCAATGCCTTGGCCTTCGTCGTCTGGCTCAGGGGCTTTGATCGGAGCCTCGGAGGCCTTGTAACGCGCGAGGAACGAGGCCGCCGGTGACATGGACGAAAGGGAGCGCCCAGAGCGGGCAGAAGACCGTCGGCTCGTCCTCCTCAAACTACCATCCTCGCCTATCTCCGATCTAAAGCTCTTGGTGCGAGGTGGTCCAATGCGACGCGACGAGGGCGAGAAGAGCGGAAACTCCATTGGCGAAGTAGCAGCATGCAATGGTGAAAGCATGTACTCTGACGGCATCTCCAGCGGTGTCTGGGCTTCTTCCAGCGGCGGCGATGCCGTGGCATCAGACGTCAGCGAGGCAACCTGGTCGCGATACTCGCCTTCCAGGTCATTCACCGCGACTGGCATACGCGGGTAGCGGGGCACGCCTACAGGGTACGGAACGTGCCTGCGTACACTGAAGGGCATCTCCAGGTAGTCTTGCGGCGATGCATCAGAGTAGCTTCCGCTTTCGGAGGGACGTGAATGCAAGTGCGATTGCGACGACTGGCGGAAAGACTTTGGTACAGGTACGCCCAGGCTGACACCCTGACCCGAGTCAAGGCGAACCTCATTGCTGAAAGTGATGCTCTTCGTGCGCTCTCTGAATTGGTTCACATAGTCGCCGTCACTTCCGCTGCTTCCCACGGCAAGGGAGCCGTCGTCGTCGGATTCAGGGCGCTCATGACGCTGAATGTTACGAGCATTGCAGATTTTCCGAGGCTCTGCAGCAGCAAATTCAGCCGTTAGCTGCGACTGGGCGGGGCCATTGTGCGGGGAGTCTTTACGGGTCAGGGGAGCAAACGAGGCAAAGGTCGAGGCAACGGGCTTGTGCGGCGTTGAGGTATTGAGAGTGAGTTTCTGGAATGTGTGTGAGGGGTCTGAAATGGGGGCCATTAAACCGGTTACACAGTGGATGCAAACCTCGTTCAGCGCCGGCAATGGGGAGTATTAATGCGTCGGCGCCAGTAGTGGTGGGGGGGTGAAGGTAGTGCGGCAGTGCGAAACCGGGCAGCTTAAGAGTAATAAGATTATGTTGCTTTGGCAAAGTCAGTGCGGGTGCGCAGTCACGCCGGCCACGTTCTTCCCTGCGGAAAAGTCTTGGGGTGGCAAAGTTAGGGCGTGGGAGGGCAGGCTTTGGGCAGTATTGCGTGGTGAGTAAGAGGAACAGGAGAGGCAGAGGCAGAGGGAAATGTGTGCTTCTTTGTCGACGGAATATTTGGCGTTTGAGCGCGCCGGGCCCCACGCTTTTGTTAATAGACGACAGTCAGCACGGCGCGGGCAGGGGAACACGTGAGGAGATATAGCGGACGTAGCCTATCGAAGGACAGCAATTTGCAGCTCTTGGGCCTAGGGGGGTTAGGTTCCACGGTTCGTATTCGTTTCTTCGGTCGTGGCCGGAAGCCAAGACTGACGGTCCTGGCTGGCGGGCTACCCCACAGACTCTCTCTCTGTTGTAACGCGTCCCCTTCACTGCCCTGCTGCGTGGCGCTCAAAACTGCGGTGTGGGTTGGAGGCGGCCCGCACGTACATGGCGCCAGACGTTATTTCTAATGCGAGTGGAGAAACGGCGAATAAAAGGACGAATGGCGGCGAGACTGAGCTTGAGCTCGCTCCACAAGGCTTTGTTGGTTAAACACGTTAAGCCTGAGAAATGACGTCGTAGCCGTGGCCTGCGACGCGGTTGGACAATGGAGAAAGATCTCCAAAACCTAAATGGACCCTTTACCAGTTTCCAAAGGCCTTCCTTGTTACCTGGTATATATCTTCGTATATCTCTTTCACGTGCTAGTCTGGACTTTGTTCTTTCCGCCGCTGACTGCCAAGCCAATGTCGGGTGGGCGGGCATGTGCGGTCTAATAATTTCTTCCCCTCTTAAATTGTGATTCACCGTCTTTGTGATGTGAGGTGTGAGGTCACACCAGTAAGCCGGCAGTCGGTATACTTCCCCGTGGGTGATTCAACAAGAGTAGAAGGTTCTAGGTCAAGACAAGGACTTGTCGACTCCTGTAGCATAAACATGCTGGAGTTGCGTTAGTCATTACCATGACAAATAGGAGAACCAAGTTACATTGACAAGCCACTTAGTAATAATCTCGTCGCATGCGAATTCAACTGTTTCACAGAGGACGGTAGATGGCTCTGAGAGGAGCGACACCAAATATGCCGTCATGGTCCGAGTTCAGCACAGGGCAGCTCAATCTGACCAACATTGATCCCTGGACCTAGCCCCTAGATTTCTTTCTCCCCAGGCCGATCCTCCCCACAGTGACATGTACGCATCCGGCATGCGCTGCCGTACGAATACTCTCTCGCTTTCGTTTCCGAGCTTAGCCGCCTTTCAATCATTTCTGAAAGACAGATGACGGGTAAAAGGCCGCAAACTAAGGGAAAACTTCGTGGTATACGAGCATGATCGTAGGACCACCACGATAGTCCCGTAACCAAGTACCGGTCTTTGAGGTAACGAGGTTGTGTTGGGCCAATCTGACTTTGGAGCCACGGCCTGACTATCCGATGCAAATGACATCTCAGACTGTTTTAGCCACCACTCACTGGACCACCTGGAACAACATCGCCATCGACCCCACACTATCCTCTGCAACGTCTATCCCGTGCTCTACAACAATTCCTCGAAAATTGCAATGCGTGGACACGCAGTGAGTGAGAGATGCAGGCTGCTGTGTCGAGTCCACAGGGTACGAGACGCTTAGTTGTAAGTACGCTGGCGTTTTGGGTGGATCTGACCAGTATAGGTGAGGGTATGGACGATGATTTCATGAGAGTTTAGGATGGAAGGCAGCATATTCTTTTCAACTGAGCTATGTAAGACGCTATATCACTGGAATCCCTTCCAATCAACCCATCACTCACACACCCCTCTTAACAAACACAAACCCAACCCAAACCCTAACACCCACCCACTTCCTCCCCCTCTCCCCCAGCCTCGCACCATCAACATCCTCCCTCCCCACCGCCCTCTCCCTCACATCCCTCACCTCTAACCCCACCCCCCTCGCACACTCCACAACCCCCTCGATCCCATAAATCCAACTCGTGCCCCTAACCTTCACCCCATCCTTTCTCACAAACCCCGCTTGACTAACTTTGCCCATGTCCTCGTGCATATTAGTGACGAGCGCCGTGCCGCCGGGCGCTAGTGTGGCGGAGAGTGTGGCGAAGAAGGCGGTTAGGGGGATGTGTTCGAGGACGAGGGTTGAGATGGTTAGGTTGAACGGGGGGAGGGTATGTAGCGGGGTAGGTAGAGGTGAGGAGGATGGGGAGGAGGAGGCGGTAGGAAAACAATCACAACACTCCAATCTGAACGTCACCCTACCCTCCTTTCCATCAACCAACCCCTCCAACTTCCCCCCCGCAACCCCCAACATCTTCTCCGAAAAATCCAAACCCACAACATTCACCCTCCCCACTCCACTACCACGCCAATCATACCGCAGCAACTTCGCTGTATTGCGTCCAGTACCACACCCCAGATCTAGGATATTAATCTCATGTCCTGCCCCCTCGCCACCGCTGGAGGATACAGAAGATAGCAAGCCGGGCAGCAGGGAAGAAAGTTCCAGGTCGTCGATTGCTTGGAGTATGTTGCCGTCGGTGTCGTAGATGGAAGCCCATTCGTTGTAAGCGGCTTGTGTGTGCATGTGTTGGACAGGTTTGGTGGGTGGACCCATGTCGATTGTGGAGTCCGAGGCGGTGGTCGATGTAAAAGAGGTGTTCTCGTTGGAGATGGGAGGTGGTGGTTTGACGTCTATGAGGGAAGTGTCGAATGTCATGTTTACGGATGTTGGGTGTGTCATTTTGACTCGTGCTCGTCGTGGTATCTTGTTCTGAAGTTTTCAATTCCTGTTTGGAAGAAAAGAGGTACGAGGACGCTGTCTTTGTTGATCTCAGACAGTCCAAGAAACATATTAGCACCGTGGATGCTATTTATGAGGATGGGTGCCTGAACATCGTTGCTACGAGGAACCAATAACTCCACCTTTCGCCGCGCCCTGTGTACGCCGAGCATGTATCCAGTATTTCCTATTCAGGCAAACATGTCGTGCAGCTTCCCGTAGCATGACTCACATGTGCATAGGTAGTTCGCGTTCTGGGCTCGCGCTAAGGAAATGCCAGTGGCGATGACCAGCATCCATCAACCTTGGACAAAGCTTAGGATGAATTGCCATGCAAAGTTGGTATTATGCCTCGATAAGATATCCACAGCGCAATAGTAATATTATCGCTGTAGTGATGCTCGTTTCTCTTCATACAATCATGTTATACACATCTAACCTTTGCGTACCCGCTCCCTTCAAGCCGCGTCGGCAAAATACTCTGCCAGAATCCGATCTCGATGCGTGACCAGGCGTTTGCGCGCCATTAGCGCGTCCCGTAACCTTGTGTCCGCCCATCCCTTGCCCAGTCGTGCCTCCAACAGCAAATGTGTGTACGCAAATACACTCGCATCGAAGACGCCCGGTGTCTCTGCTCCAAAGAACCACTTGTCCTTTCCTAGCAGCGTCTCCAAAGCAGCAAATGCCTCGTCTGCTTGGTTGTAGAGCGTTTCGTCATTTATTATGCTCGAGTACTTTAGCAGTTCTTGCTCGGCTGCTAGACGCAGTTCGCGGGATATTGTGAGGCGTACGAAGGAGTTGCGCGAGGTAGGGAGGATGTAGAGAGGCTCGGCGATGGTGGTGCTGTTCTGGGAAAGGTAGATGGTGTAGAGCTGGTATGTGTTAATTACAGTCGAGTAGCCTTTCATGGTTTGCGTACCCAGGCTCTCCGTATCCGATGGTCAAGCAGACTATGGTAGGCCTCGTACCGCGAGTCTCCTGGCTCTTTTATTGGACTCTCGCTGTTGTTCAAGGCCCATCGCTGTAGCTTGCCAGAAGGTACAGGTTGTGTCTCCTTGTATGGATCTGGAGACGCGGGAAGCAGAAAGGGTAGTGAGCCGCTCGGCGAGGCATGGTTGTTCGCTGAGGCGGTTTGAAAAGGGATTTTAGAAAACTTGAGATAGGCCTGCCACATTGTAAGCTTCAGTAGCGGGGCGTGGGGAGCATTCTGAGACTTACCTGCCATTTCAAGCACGCTGGGTTATACGATGGTGCGCCTCTAATCGCGCCTTTATCTGTAGTAAAGACATATAGCACGTGTGCATTGTGATGTTGCGGTGCGCGTTGTGGGAGGTCGTTGACGGGGTATGTGAGTAGAGGGAATTGGTCAAAAAGCTGCTTAATCGGCGCGGGGACAGAGAACAGATTGCGCGAAGGTGGCTGCTGCTTACTGCCTCGAACAATGGCATTGGCTTCATGTGTCGAAGACATGATAGCCATGTGGTGATGTTGACGATGCGTAAAAACTTCAACATGCGGCGACCGCGGAGGTGACGAGCTCGCCTAGACACATGAGCAGCCTCTTCACCTGAGCAGCTCCAACTCACATTACTTCGGTAACTTCATGGCACTCTGGCAATGTCTGACGAAAAAGTATATGAACATATTCAAGCCATGACGTCAACAGAAGGAGGCTCTCCCAGCGTCCTCACGACAAGCAACAGAGGCAGCTACTATCTACTTCTACACTCAATGAGACTATGGGAACAAGTACCTCGCAGCGACGCGACAACCACACACATCTCAACAGCTAGCTTACCCCCAACAGACATCACAAAAACCTCTTCCTCGAGCCACCACCAAAGTGGACAGCATCAATGAAAAGAGCCTGCATATAGCAGAACGACCAGCAAAAATTGCCCCGCCGAGATTCCCGAAGGAAGCTCGTAACAATCCCATACCGCGCTGTGCCATGCAGACGGGACTGTCAGATGAACCCAATCTTTGAGCTGGGTCATCGCAAGAAGGTAAGTATGAAAAAAAAAAGAGAAAAGAAGCAGGAGCGACCGGAGGGCGCCTGCTGTTTAAGTATTCGAGGGAGGAGCGGACCGTGCTAGCGTGGGAAGGCGCGATGGGTACGAGATGATCTGTGCGGGAAGGCGCGGTGGGTGCCTAGCGGAAGGCGCCGGGTAGAGAAGGGAAGGGGGACTTGGCATTGGGTAATTGGGGTCCACTGGAAATGGATGAGTTTGCTGAGGCTTGGCTGGACGTCACGAGTGTGAGTTGGAGTTGGAAGTGGGTTATGGACGATGGAGAAGAGTTGTTCGTACACGTCGGCCAAGAAACGCTGTTCGTGGTATGATATCAATTTTGTAGAAAAGATGGAGTAGTACGTATAAGTCGTCGTCGTCCAGGTGAAGTCGCACGTCGCTATGTGGAAAATTCTTGTCAAAATGCTTCGTGCTTCGTCTTGCCTATCTCTCCTCGCACTCACATCGCTCATCTCCCTCATCGATGCTGCGACACTCTTCGCGGGCGGGACGGTTATAGCGTGGGATCAATCGGCCCAGCGCCTCGACATACTCCGCAACGGCTCTGTCTTGGTAGAGGACGATTCTATAACCACCGTTTTCTCGGGATCTTATAATGGCACTTTACCGCATGATCTGGACGTCGTCGATGCGACAAACGATATTATATCGACGGGCTTCATAGACACGCATCGGCATAGCTGGCAGACTGCGTTCAAGACGCTGGGATCTAATACGACGTTGATGAGGTACTTTGAGCGTTATGGCACGAGTTCACCTGCCAGTAGGCTGTTTACGCCCGAGGATGTGTATATTGGTCAGCTTGTTGGGATGCTTGAGGCGTTGAACGGCGGCGTCACTACGATTGTAGACTTTCCTCATTGTGCATGGTCGGCAGCACACTCCAAGGCTGCGCTGGACGCAAACATTCGAGAGCGGTGTTAGGACTGAATGGGCGTATAACTTTGGAAGCTATACAAACTTTACCTTTGATGCCCAGGTAGAGCTTTTCCAGGATTTAGTTGCCGACCAACGTTTCTCCAACTCGTCTACGCGGTTAGGAATTTCCTACGATGGTTTCAACACCGCCGAACAGAACCAAACACGTAAAATCCTCGATCTAGCACGGTAATTAACCCCTTCACCAGGCACCATAAAGATGACTAACCCAACCCAGCGAATCCAACGTCTCAGTCGTCACCACCCACGCAAACGGCGGCGTCTACGGTGCCAAAAACTTCCCCTCTCTCCTGCACAACACCTTCTCCTTCCTCAACCAATCCATCCCCATCATCTTCGCCCACGCCAGCTACCACACCCCAACAGACGCCCAGCTACTCCGCCAACACAACCACTACATCTCCACAACCCCAGAGTCTGAAATGCACTATGGCCACCTCCACCCAAACAGCCACCTAATTCTCGACCAATCCGCCCTAGGAATCGACACGCACTTTACCTTTTCCTCTGACGTCCTAACGCAAGCGCGCCTGTGGCTACAATCCATCCGAAAAATCTTCTACCGCGAAGTCATCGACCGCCGCGAGCTTCCAGCGGAGAACCCCATGTCAGCAACCCAAGCCTTCCTACTCGCCACACGCAACGGGGCGCTAGCACTGCGACGCTCAGACATCGGTGTCTTGTGTGCTGGCGCAAAGGCGGATTTACTGGTGTGGAATGGGCGGGCGCCCAGTTTACTGGGTTGGACGGATCCCGTGGCGGCGGTTGTGTTGCATGCGAATGTGGGGGATATCAAACATGTCATGGTTGGGGGCGAGTTTAGGAAGAAAGATGGGGTGTTGACGGTGGACGGGTATGAGAGGTTGCAGGATAGGTTTTTGGAGAGTGCGAGGAGGATACAGGGGATTTGGAGGGAGATGGAGTTGCCAGTTACGCTGGGGGAGGCGCAGAATGGGGTGCAGTTTGAGACGCCGATGAGGGCGGATGTTGAGCAAGGGGAGGGAGATGGGTATGGGGAGCTTTTTATTTGAAGAGGTGTAGGGGAGATTGAGCGTTGTAATGGGAAGTAAAAAGGTTGTTGAGGTTTGAGTTTGCTAGAGAGTATACTCACCGCTTGCGTCCTACTATATTATCTCAATGTATTAATTCATAATTAAGCAAAGAATGTATGTTCAATAGACGCAGAAGACTTGACGACAAGCAACGGTAGGTGCAGGACCCGCTGTTACCCAATGAGGTATCATCATGACGTCAACCCCGGTCAATTATTTGACAAGGTCATTCGACTTTACTTTCTTTCATATGAGAAATATCAGGAAACGGGTATCAATTCAAAAAGCTGCGAGTTCATATTTCAACTTCATCAACTACACACAATCAACCACCACCAGAAACGAAGACAATGGATGCAATCCCCGTGAGCAACAAGACGGCCGGTGAGCCAGAAAGCACATACAACAGTGCACTCGAAGCAGGCGCCGGAATAACTCAAGTATTTCTATTAATTCTTCTAAAGTGGCACTACTAACCATCTGTAGAACTTCGCTCCAGTCAAACGCGTATGCGCCCACCTCAACGCCTTCCACGCATACGCCCACGAGCCAAAACGTGCTGCCGTAGAAGCAAACCACTACTGTGCCCATCTAAACGATGAAGTCCGGCAATGTATCCTCTATGACTCGCCCGAGCCGGGTGCACGAATCATTGGCATTGGTAAGATAATCCACTCTTTTCCTGTATCATAACCCCCAGCTAACCCAACCCAAAGAATACATGATCTCACCAAAACTCTACTCAACACTCGAGGCCGAAGAGCAAAAGCTCTGGCACTCACACGTCTTCGAGGTAAAGTCTGGAATGCTGATTATGCCACGGCCCACTGGCGTTCCGGAAGCCGCGTGGGAAGTTGCTGAGAACAGGGAGATGGAAGAGGTCGTCGAACTATATGGTAAGATCTACCACTTGTGGCAGACGGATCGCGGGGACAAGTTACCGTTGGGGCCGCCACAGTTGATGACGAGTTATACGGCTGCTGATCAGATGCCGGATTTCGAGAAGAGGTTGGCGGAGAGGGATCAGAGGTTTGCGAGTGACTACAAGAGGAAGAAGGAGGTGAGGGAGTATATCGAAGTGCCCAGGATCCATGAGAATGCGGATGCAACGTGGGCGAAGGGAGGAATTGGACATGCGGCGTAGGGAAGGCTGGCGTGGAGTGGAGTAAGCGGGATTCAAATTGTATGTGGTGTTTTTGGACCAGGGCTGTAATGGGGAAGTTGCGATGGATCAGAAGGCGCGAGTATCCACATAACCCCCTGCATATTGTAGATGCAGTTTCCAGCTTCTGCCCTCCCACCACGACTCAATCCTTATAAAGTCGTGTCCCGAACCACCTCGATAGCCGCAGGATCTTGCTTCTTCTTCTCACGGCCCAATAGCTTGCTCATTACGTCTTTTTCCGTGTCGTCGCCGTCTTCTGTATCGCTCGCGCTATCTGAATCGCTGTTCGCATTGGGGTCTTTTTCTTCTAGTACGCCGAGACCGAGATTCTAGATGGATGATCAGTAGTATCCTCATAAATGCACAATGCTACTCACCATCTCAATATACGGCTCGCCCTCTTCCTCTAGTCCGGCATCTAGACTCTTTAGCGTGCCTGCCTTCTTCTGTGCCTCCAACTCCTCATTCGCTGCCTTGAGCTGTGGCAGGAAATCTTTTAGGAAGTCGCGAATGTCTGGCCCTAGATCCTCATTCCCCAGTCTCATTACTGGCTTCTTGCCTCTATTCGCACGTAGGTTTACAACGCCATCCTGCCCCTCCTGTTCCTCCATCTCGGTGTCTTCATCGTCTTCCTCTTCACTAGAGCTTTCGTCGCTACTGGGCTCCTCGCTCGACTCAGATAACTCGCTATCGCTATCTGATGTTCCAAGGTCGCTTGGGTTGGTAGTGCATTCATCGGCGGCATTCGTAGAGGCAAGAGCGGACTCGGACGACGCTGACGGCGAGGAAGGCTCGTTGGAGAAGCGCACACGCTTGCTCCGGTGTGCAACAGCTTCGTGTAGGTAGGGCGACATGTTTCCAAACACAAGACTCGAGCCGGTCGTATTCTGCTACGGTTGGGCGTCGTACTTGGGCGATATTACGCGTTTTGAAGTGGCTTGTGAAGTCTAGGGAAAAAAACTTGTGCAAGTACCAAAGTTTCGTTCCGGCCTGGGGCGTGCAGATCTCGCGGAATGGTACCGAATCTGCAGGCGCGGAGGCCCTACGTCACCTCCGCACGCTTGACCATTCGCTCTCTCCGAATACATTACTTTTCAAATGTTTGGACGAAAGCCAGCGTTCAGCACCGTCAGCAGAGGCATGCGTTTGTACATTGGCCTAAGGCTGCAGACGACTCGTTGGGTGTCAGCAGGGGTCCTTGAAACGGCGTCTTGAAACGCGTTTAGAGCGGGCGCCTGCATCGCTGGCTTGTGGACTCCGGGGGCCGTTTAACCTCTTAAAGGTCCAGCTGGCCTCGTACATATCCGACATCACGCCTTCTTGTCAATCTTTCTTGTCTTGCTGCTGCGTTGTCCGCTCTCTCCATCTCCCATCTGTCTGTAATCTCACGACTACCCCACCTCCGACTTCCACGACCTTGCAAACGACCCATATCGAGGGCTTAGACGTCTCTGTACAGCACAATTTGATAGCTGCTATTCTATTCGGTATGTGTAGTCTCCTTTATTCATGTTTCCCAAATGTCTCCGTCATCTTCAACCATTCTTTTTCCTTGGCCTATCCCCTGAAACTCGAATTGGCCACATGCTCGCATACAATGTCTTCTCCACGTTCCCCGCAACCCCAACAATCTCCTGCTACGGGCCTGCACTACCCTAGAGTCAAAGTTGCGTCTTCACTCCTGTTTTGGTTTCTTGGCCCACGATTCTCGTCACGCTCGCACTCTATTGGTTATACTCGTCTTCACCTCTCACTTTCACTTTCACCGTCTTTAAACCGTGCGTCAATCAAGCGAAGCCCACAATAGCCGTAGTTACTACTATTGTACGTCTTCACCAGAGCAGACATACGATCCCTGCAGTCGCTCGTCCTTGACTTCCTTTCCTTCGTCACACACACACTTCACAAACTCCCAATGCACAAACCGCCAGTTTCCTATATCTATTTCAAGATTTCAAGTCATTGCACATCTCTGCCCCACTCTACTCTACCACATGCACTACCATGACCATGAACGAAACCAATCGTCTCATTCGCATGCTCAGGGCCTCTGCTGCTCAACATGCTGACCACAGCTACTCTAGTGACCGCCAATTTCACGACTCCGCCAACGACATTCGCAAGAATCTCAGGACTTCGGCTGCAGCTCGCAAGCCCCTCTCCGTTTCGCTGCTCGAAGATCTCATCTACGCTACCAAGCACGGTGTGCCCTACCCCAGCGAGCCTCTGACATATCAGTCCAAGGTCGCTCTCGAACACATCCTTGACACTCTCAACCGGACCATTCCCCAGGAGCCCGCAGTTTCCATCACATTCCCCGCGATGGCTGGTCGATTCCCGGTGCTTAGCACCTCCAACCTCCCCGCTGCCTCAGCCGAGGAACAGTCCGCCACAGCATCACCCGCCCGCGGCACTGCTATGCTCAACAACATCTTCAAGTCGGTACGCGTTCCGGAGTTCCGCTTCAAATGGATGTTCTGGGCCGAGAAGGGTCAGCAAGCCGCACCCAAGGATAAGTCAGCATCATCGGAGGAGTACCTCACACGTCCCAAGCCACTTGGAGAGCAGATTGTCTCCGTCAAGGAGTTTTACCAGCACTTCAACAACATTCCGGTTGAGAATCTGAAGCTCCGGGACTCGATACACCTGTTCCATCTCGGTGTGAAGCCGGTCTGGGAAGACCCGCGGAACATGCGAGGTGGAGCATGGTACTTCAAGGTCAGCAAGGACCTGGCGTCGCAGTTCTGGCACGAGATGTGCCTGCTTGCGGTCGGCGACATCTTGCAGGGAGCCGTCGAGACAAAGCGTGCCTGTAAGTTGCTTGCTTTCAACCTCATGAATCTAATACTAATTATATAACAGCCTTCAATGACGACATCTGCGGAATCTCGTACAGTGTTCGTTGGAATGCTGTACAGATCGCCGTCTGGAACCGGGACGCTGACAACGAGGACGGCCGCACGAAGCTCCTGGCAGTCATTCTTGACAAGCTGTCCGAAGAGCTGCGACCCAAGAAGGAGGACAGCTACTGGTATAAGGCGCACAAGGAGCACAAGGGCTTTATTGAGCAGTAGTGAGTCGACCTTGTGCCTATAGCTGTCGCTCCGGGCAAGATGATGTGGTGGAAGAATTGAGTACGGATGAGACATTGGGTCTCACATATGTGCATACAAGCATGAGCGTTGATAAATACATCCTTTTAAGTGTGCATATCAAGTCCACCTGCTTTACGCTGAATACCTCCTGCCCTATACGAGAGCCCCTCCTTCCTCTGCTGAACAGGCACTGTAGTAATCCAGACCCAGGCAGAGAGAATACTGAACGAACCTGGACGTTGCCCATTGGCAAGCTTCTCGTCTGGTATACATCATTCAATTGCTATGTTGAGGTCATGTATGCGCCAATCATAGACATGGTTCGCCGCAGAAGCACGGACCACCACTTTGAGGAAGCATCATGCACTTCTCATAATCCTCCGCACCTCGCCCACCACCGCCTCACCACGTCAAGTCGCCCAACCCGCCCACCATGGCCGCACTGCCCGCTTCACTTTTCCGTTTCGCCGTTCCGCTGGCCATCGGCGCCTCGGTTGTTCAATCATCGCTCTACGATGTCAAAGGTGGAACCCGCGCCGTCATCTTCGATCGTCTGTCCGGTGTCAAGGAACAAGTCGTCAATGAGGGAACCCACTTCTTGGTACCATGGCTCCAGCGGGCCATTGTCTTCGATGTTCGCACGAGGCCCAGGAACATTAGTACCACAACGGGAAGCAAGGATCTGCAAATGGTTACGCTCACATTGAGGGTGTTGCACCGGCCTGAGGTCAAGCAGTTGCCTAAGATCTACCAGGTACTTACGCCCCACCCTACTCTTCTGTATCAAGATTGCTCACAATGATCAGAACCTTGGTCTCGACTACGATGAGCGTGTTCTACCCTCCATCGGAAACGAAGTTCTGAAAGCTATTGTCGCCCAATTCGACGCCGCAGAACTCATCACACAACGAGAGGCTGTGTCTAACCGCATCCGCACCGACCTCCTCAAGCGCGCCAACGAGTTCAACATTGCTCTTGAGGACGTCTCCATCACGCACATGACCTTCGGCAAAGAATTCACAAAGGCCGTCGAAGAGAAGCAAATCGCACAACAAGAAGCCGAGCGCGCGCGTTTCATCGTAGAAAAGGCCGAGCAAGAGAGACAGGCAAACGTTATTAGGGCAGAGGGTGAAGCCGAGGCGGCCGATACCATCTCCAAGGCTGTAGCGAAGAGTGGTGATGGATTGGTGTTGATTAGGCGAATCGAAACACAAAAGGACATTGCACAGATGTTGGCGAGAAACCCGAACATCAGCTACCTACCCGGCGGCAGCTCCGGTGGCAATGGAGGTGGCTCCAGTGGCGGCAGCTTCCTACTAGGTCTGAGGTCGTAGATGAGAGGGGCAGAGTAGGTTGAAAAAAGATGGCGGGGTCGCTGACTAGTCGTTGGCAACGGTAAATGAGTGATGAACTGGTGGAAATGAATAGCCAGCGACGACCAAGACATGGTTCCTGTATAACATACTGCCGCGGGCACAATACACTTCTCTACAACCATATGAATATGGTCTCTTCTCACGTCCATCTCATCCATAGTCTTCACATGTTAATATCTATCAGGCGGTCTACAAGCCAGAGCTCTAGACTTTTTGCTGACTGCTCATGGTTTCAAAAATAGCTTGCTATGTTCCGCTACGCTTTCCATGTGTCGATTGCTTGTTTCATAAACGGGCGAGCGGCATCAGTTGCAGATGACAAAATGGAGCTACACGAGCGAAGCAAGTAGCAGGAACTGTAATTCTGGTGCGCCTTAGCCATGTCATGTTTGACACATTGTTCGCCTCAGGCCCGTCAGGTTCCGGTAGCATAACGCTCCGTTGCGAAGGTTCAAAACTTCTTCATGCGTTGCTGAAAAGGGAAACGGAAGTTGGCAGACCCTGGCAGCTCGCACACAGGGTCCGCATTTGGACATTTGTAAGTCCGGTTTGCGGTGTTTGTGGAAGATGCAGATTGTTTTAGCATCGACATGTCCCAGTCGTTTTGATTCGACGCCGGGTTATAGGAATGGGATCCTGGGGCGGAAGGTTTTGGCTTACGAGCGTCACCGTTCTTGAGGCGTTTGTTCGTGATGACGGCCGAACATGCGCATGGATCATCCAGGGTGCTGAGTAGTTGGGTTGTTGAGGTTATTGATACCGACGACATCACATCTCCTAAGCTTTCTCCCGCTGCACAAACCTTGATCGACTTTCCATCCCGCTTTCATCGAAGATCAGTCGCGGAATTATCCGGTGCTGGGAAGCTATCGCACGGGTCGTTCCACCATGTTTCGAAAGGCCGTACCGGTAGCACCAATCGTGACGGCAGCGCGTCATCGCATCCTAGCCACACATCATATCTCTTCTTTGAAAGCTTGCATATCCTTATGCACTGGGCACCACACCGGTTCTGGGGAAACAGAGGCTTCGACCCAAGGCAGCGACGGGTTAAAGTCGGTCAGCGACTTGAATATGTCACATTCTGCCTGAGCAGCTTTAAGCAGAAGCAGGAAAATCACTCCGCCCCACCACTGATAAGGTGCGTGACCTGGTCCTTCGCCAGGCAGCGAGATCGATAGGATGAGACGGGTGGTGAAGAGAATGGTGTATGATCCTCAGGCAGTCATGCTGCATCCCACCGTGGCTGTGCACTTCAACAGCATGAGTAGGTCCAATCACACACCGTGTGGCCGTGCAATGTGGCTTGACAATACACTTGTCATCAATGGCAGGCTCACCGGCAGGCACTCTCGCAGGCTCCGCCCAAGATGGCGTCGGACTATATACGAGATGGGTCGGCAGTTGAGGGGCGAAGGTTCTGTATACGCCTCTACTTACGAGTTCAGACCGCCAGCCTTGCTTGACAATGGCGATGCAGCAAAACGACAAGCCCTTGGGCATCATCCTTACTTGGAAAATCCTACAATTTGTCAGACAGCTTCGTCGACGTGTGAAGCCGCGTGTTCTCGATGGCTCAATCACCGGAGATCATCTTGGCATCAAGTTTGCACCGAAAGTCCGAAGTCTATCCAGAAGATTGACTCTGATCGGCGTCCGGGGTGCGAAGCATTCACAACGGCATGCCCACGGCATCCTTGGTCAGCAAAAAGGTCGGGAGCCCTGGCGATCGCCGCGCAAGCTGCAGACGCTCGACTCGGCTGCTCCCGCTAATCGAAACTTGGCTGGGGATAAGGTGCAACAGTACGTTCTAAGTAGCTTTTGTTTGGTTTCACCTACTAAAGCTCCGGACGCAGTGTGCTTCGATCGCTCGACAGCAAGCGGCATGCTACCAGAACGGCGTTTTCATCTATCGCGGCTAATGACAAACTCTTCATCAAACACGGTAATACGCGAATTGCTGAGGCATGTACCTTGAACGAAACCATTCAGCTTCTAGTCGACGCCCACGACGCCATCAACGTCCTGTCTGAATGTCGCTTGCGGCATGGTGACGAATGGCTCTTGGCACAGGGTCTCGAAGCCGGTTTGGTGCTTGACGAGAAGTTTGTCGCCAACTATGAGCATTTGTTGCTGCGGTTGCAAGCTGAGCTCATCGAGGCTTTGGCCCGCAAAGTGCTCGAGGAGCTACTCCGCGGTGGGCACGACAAGAAGCAGCACAAATTGTTGACCTGGTTCACCGAGTTTGCTGAAAAGCCGCAAGCTCTCAGCACGTCATTTCCCTGGACTATCAAGCCGTCGCTAGCGGTACTATGGGGAGTTTGTTGGATGTTTTATGAGGGCGCGGTTAACAGCAAGGGCCGCATACCGTTGGATGCCGTATTGCAAAACATCAGCTTACAGTGGGATACTGGGGCATCATCAGACTGTAGGTGTTGCACTTCTCGTCGCCCGACCAGTCCATCGCACCGCTTACACAGTGACATTGGGTCCGTCGCTCGGAGCTAACGCATTACAGACGTCAGCCTCGGCCGCGAGCTTATTGGCCAACAGACGCGGCAGGCCTCACATGCGCCGAACGCACATGTGGGCCCTGAACATGATGTGTTCCAGGCACGAAACACGGATACCTGGGGGTCCGATCTCATTTCGAATGGTCTTACCAGTAGGCTGCCGACGGTCGTGGTTAGTCAGGCTGAGCCAAGGGCGAAGCCATCGCCGCTTCTAAGTAAGTGCCTAGTGTGTCCCGTGTCTGTTTGAGTCACGCCTTTCTCTACGGACCCCGGTTTCAGCCTGGAAGTATCTCGCTGCCCTAGCTAACCATCTCAGACCCAGATACTTATTTTCCACCTTCCACCCAGGATTTTCAGGTAGCTCAACCTGTTAATCTTTATTCGCCTCATCATCAAGGCACTGCTGCGCCACTCACGGCCTTTCCGCTTCTTGGCTCTGAACACCACACAAACTCTTGGCATCCATCCTACTCTTTGCCACCTCAAGACAGTCCGCGTCATCTGATCGCTCCCTATCCAGACCCAAGAGTTAGAGTCACCGGAGCAGCTGGGAACACGTCTTTTGCTCAGCCCCAAACTGACTTCGCGTCGCCTAATATATATCAACCTAACCGCCTGCCTGAGGCCTCGCCACTGAACTTGAATCCTCAATACTACAACAACTACAACATAATGGCTGAACTATCTCCCAAATCCACCGCTCCCATGCATCTTCCGCACGAGCATAAACGTACTGTTTCTATTGCTTCTCTTACCGGCGATATGCCTACTCCAGTCAGCATGGGCGGTCCTCAATCTCCACTAAGGTCCCCAACTTCTGCTGAACACGTTTCCGCTTTCACAAGCCCTTCAAGAATCCACAGCAGGCTTCACAGCAGAGGACTTTCCATCGACTCTTCGCAGGACGGTGACGACGATGCTTCGCTACGAAAGAACCACAGCTTCAAGCGCGCCGAGGAACCGCCGCGTAACGAGGAGGGCAAGATGATCTGCAAATACCAGGAATGTCTTGGAACATCATTCGACCGCAAATGTGAATGGAGGTGAGTTTTACCCAAATATCTTTTTACAAAATATAATTATACTAACTTTCACAGCAAACACATGGACAAGCATGACCGACCTTACAAGTGCAACGTCAAGGGCTGCGAGAAACTCCAAGGTTTTACCTACAGCGGCGGCCTTTTGCGTCACGAACGCGAAGTCCACAAGATGCACGGCGGCACCAACAAATCCCTTTTCTGCCCCTTCCACGACTGCAAACGCAGCTCAGGCGCAGGCTTCACGCGTAAGGAAAACCTCGCCGAGCACATCCGCCGCGTCCACCGCCGAACCTCCATGTCAGCGGACTTGCACGGCCTCGTCATCCGACGAGACATGCTCCGCCGCGAGCGCGACGGCTCTCCCATTCCAGAGTCGCACGTCCCAGAGGCCCGCTTCAACCGCGCCATGAGCTTCCAGCAACATCGCGACGTCGACGACGACATGATGATGAAGCGTAAGCGTCTGGGTTCAGAGGCCTTTTCCGACCGTGCCGACGATGAAATGCGCTCTGAGATTAAGCGTCTGAGGCATGAGAATGAGGAGAAGGACTCGAGGCTACGGCAGCTGGAGCAGGCGGTTATGGCGCTGCAGCAGAGTCGTAGGTGATGATTTGCATCACCTAATTTCTTTCTCTTTTTTCACGGTCGCATCTCACGGAGATCAGGAGTAACGGTAATATTTTGGTGATTTTTACAACAGCATGCACATTTACAGCTGCTCAATCTGGGTTCCTCACCTCCTATATTCTTTTCTTTTTGTCTCATAGTATTGTAAAGCTCATAACACCCACTCACTGTATATATTCTAGTCGAGTGTTTGTTCTTGCTGAGCTTTTATTATCTTTGTATCTACACTCACATCCCTTATTTTACCACTCACTATCACACACATACACCTCAGTCTGTAATTTCTTACTGTCATCATTGGGTTGGGGTTTTGGTTGGTTTGGCTTCGCATGGCTGGTACATGCTCTTTTTCTTTGTCTGGACGAGATGTACTGTTTATGAGTGTCAGATTAGATGAGATATTGCACAAAAGTGATGGATGTTCATGATTGATTGTATTGTTCTCTGTTCTAAGGTGCGCGCTGAGAGTTTTGTTCTGCTAAGACGCTAACCCATTATTAGCTAGCGGTGTCGGCACTTTCGGCTCGACACGCCTGCTATCTGACAATGAGAGACATGATACCAAATCAGCCTTGTATATTTCAAATGAGTGGATGGATGGATGGAGGGAGGGAAAAGGGGGTTTTGATCAGAGAAATGAGAAAATCAGGGGTGAAAGTCCCGCTACGCAAGAAAGTGTACTTTTAATATTTAGTGTCCTTGTGTGGATTGTGTGTATATGTATACACTTTATTGTATCTATTAATGTGTAAATACTCTAATATCTGGTACATAATATACCAATCAAACTCTACATACTCTTTTCTTCTCCACGTGAGTTCTTGGCGACTCCTACTAACCACATATACTTGCAGACAAACTCAAAAACTAACACTCATACATACCTCACCCGCTCCACCGCCCTTTGCACCAAACCTCGCCGCCAGCGCCCTTTTAAAACAACCAGGCTACGGCCACTGGGCTACCAAGCCCATCAGTCTGCCTAGCAGGACCACACCACCTGTATGGCTGCCTCGTCCGCCTCACATCTATCAAACCAGGCAAAAGGAAAGGGCGTACATGCACATGCACATAGACAGGCAACAGACACCAGGCTTCCACATTTCCCTGGCTCCTACGTTTTCACGCTTACCCAGGAGGGCAGTGCACCGGTGAAATGGAACGGGGTTATTCGCTAGCCTGGGATTGGAAGAAAGACGGGATACAGGCTGCTGTTGGTGCTAGAGACCGGTATGAGATGTGGCATGTGATAGGTGATAGGTGATAGGTGACATGCGTATCTCTCGTACGACCAGGGGTTCTTTTCGATCGGTACGAGTATGGTGATGGAAAGTAAGGCCCCAGGAAGTGAGTTGTCCACCTACCAGTCCACCTACTCGTCCATCCAATCTACTCGCCGTAGCTACCTAGTCGCCCCTCCCAATACCTACCTCGTCTACCAGACCGACCACTTACTCGTTCTCCACTTACTTTGCTCCATATTCCGTTCTTTTCCCGCTCGCCACTCGCCGCCGAAACAAGCCACGTAATCCGCCTCATCTTCCTTCCTAGTTTTCTAGTCTATCTTTTGTTGAACTACACTGTGATCTAGCCTATTCGCCACGAGGGGCGGAGCTGAAGACCCCCTGTGTTTTTCACAAAAGGAGTGACAGAGTGTATAGAGTACAGAGTGACACATGGCAACACATGGCAGAAGACATCACGCGCGTAGTAACTTAGAATACGTGTCATAGCACAAACACGGCCCACAGATCAAATCAAAGTCCAAATATGACTCCTACTCGCCCCTGACACCTTAACAGGATTTGGTTAGAACAAAATACCAATGATCACGTGACTCCGCGTCAGCGCGTTCCACGCCCTCAACGCGTAGCCCGTCGTAGTCATATCGGCGCTCGGCGCATGGCTGCCTTGTGTGCCGTGTCTTTCCGCCGTTGAGGCCGCTTGCCGGTACAGTCATAATGGAACGATTTGGAACACGTGGCGTCTATTCGAAAAATTCAAGATTCGAGATGCATCTAGAAGATGGCGATTGCCGTAACGCGTGGTGGTGTGTGGTTCCACGCTTGCATGGTGGCTATGCAGGTGTTCGCATGGGTTTGCCAGGAAAGGGTTAGGCTGAGAGAGGGTGGCTGGTGGCGTTGATGCCTGGGATTGGACTTGCATGGGTGGTATGGATTGCCGAAATGGGATGGGGGCTAAGGGCGTGTAGAAAGAGGCGTGGTAGGTAGGCGTGTCTGTTGGCGATGATGGTGAAGAATGTGTGACGTCATTGGCTGATGCAGGAAGGAAATGTCGTGGGGTCACGTGATGGCGTCTGCCTTATCTTGCTCTTCTCGGATGTTTTTATTAGTAGGGGTGGACTTGATACGAGATGACTACCGCTCATGTGATTCCGAAGAAATTGGTACCCAATGAAGTTAGAAGTATATCTACGGCCTAAAATGGAGATTGCATCCACTTCATTCATCACAAAGACTCCGCCTCGTATGACAAGGGAAGCAAATCGTGGCTGGGCTTTCTCAAGTCTCTCAATCATCTACACCACTCCCACTTACTCAAGCCAAGGCTCTCCCTCCCAAGTCCTCCACGTCTGATGCGCCGTGACATTTCTCTCCAAATCCCCACACCTCCTCTGCTCCCAACTCTCCCTCCCAGCCACAATCTCCCAATGCTTCTGCGCCCTCCCAGCCCAATACTTCGCGCGATCCTCCTTGCCATAACTACTCCACGTGTACGCCATCATCTCTTCATACTGGGGTAGTTGGGCTACGAGCCCCTCTTCCTCGAGTAAGGAGACTAATTTGGTTACAAGGCGAAGGAGTTCAGGGGTTTCTTTTACGTCGATTGGAAGGGATGCTTTGAGGGCTTTGATCTCGCTGAGACGGTCGTTGGATTCTTCGACGGTGGTTTCGCTGGCGGTGCAGAGGGGGCAGGCGCATATGAAGCCGAAGTTTGCTTCGAGGGATTTGATGCGTCGGTGGTGGGGGCGTGTTTCGTAGCCGTCTGTATTTTAGTGCGATTAGTATATGTCTGGATATGTCTGGTATCATGGTGACTTACAGCTTCGTGTGATTTCTTCACCGGGCTTGATTTCGGTGAGCGCAACGACTTCGAAAGACAGTTTGTAGTCATCAAAACGCCATAGGGTGTTGGGACGGCATGCGTGATTGATGCGCTGGATAGTGTTAGGATCAGTGACGTCTTTATTGCTCGACATTGAACTTACAGCTGCTTCTGGAATGATAGCTAGCAGTTCCGGGACCTCATCAACCCAGGGCCACTTCACGCTGATACCATTTGTTGTGACCATATCCTCAAACGAGCCATCAACGTTCATATCCAGCTTCTTGACTGTTTCCCTGGTCTTCGTTGGTAACTGCTCAACCGCTTTCTCCAGAACAAGTCGTTTCTCCGAGATGCTCGGTGTACCCAACAACTCTTTGGTTACAACCAACACTGGTGTTTGCATGATCACACTCTCTCCTGCAAATATTGCACCCACATCTTTTCTCGCAAACAGTCCTTTCCCTTTCACTCCAGCCTCTTTGACTTCCCACATGCCCATCTCTCCACCCACTTGGTCCTCCATGCCGCCAATACTCATGCCAAACGTCTCCATTGTGACAGTAGCTGCAAGCTCCGGACTGACTACAAAACTGATACCGCGTCCATTATTGTAGTTGGCATTCGTATATGCACAAAAAATTTGACGAACGTCGCGTCCCGTCTCTTCATCTTTAGGCAGGGCGACATCTACACAAGTAGGATTGTGTGTCCATGGAAAAGTAGCAATTGTAAATCCATCCTGAGCAACAGGACATATCGTTGGAGCCTTGTTAATGAAATCGTCTTGGATAGCAAGACTCCGCGCCGTGTAGAAGAGCTCTGCCTTCATCGTCGACGCGAGCGCAAAAGCAGATATGGCGAAATACAACGGGCTCTGCCGCTGCGACCACAGAGCAGAATACATCCTTCGCAATCTCTTGAATCTGTTCCGTCGCAAAAAACAACAACACACACAATGAACAGAAAAAGGCAATCGGGATGAACTTCACATATTGATGATGGAAAGGCGTGGAAGCCACGTTTCACCCTGGCTAGAGAAGCAATATCCACGTTGAAACAAGCCAGGCACTTGGCATGGGCATTCTAGATTACTGACGATGCACAGGTCCAGTGAAATTCGAGGGTTGTGGATGAACTAAGCCCCGGAAGAATGGTCAATGTGGGGTGTGCTAAAGTGCATAAGCCCGGTCGAGCTGGGAGGCATAGGTTTCCGCATCTGGCTTAGCGTCGCAATGGTGAGTTTCCAACGCTGGCGCATTCCGCGTTTCTGGAGACTTGCGAAAATGGAAGATAAGCACAACGACCAACTACAAGACGCCACATTCACAAATTTCATACCCAACAGCCCTGAAAATGGTATAAATCTACAATTACACAAGTCAGTTTACAGAACTAACTATCCACAGACACGCGACTCAACAGCAACCTACCTCCACATGCACTCCTCACACCACGCCGACCTCCTCGAACAATTCACAAACCTCACCTCCTCTCAACTCACACCCGAAGACATCTACATCCCGCCGCACCTGCAGCCCGTAAACCCCGAAGACGAAGACGATGTCGTGCCAGACCAACACGCCGCCTTCGGTATACAGCGCGCGACACAGACCAAGAAAGAGCCGACGTGGCGCGACCTGGGGCTTGAGGAGTTGCTGAGGAGGGGCCCTGGCGGCGAGGTTGCGGGTGCAAGTACGAGTGCAGGTGCGGGCGTGGCAAGTGGCGGGACTGGACAGGCGAGAAGGGAGCCGGTTAGGTTGGCCTTGGCGAGACAGCCGGGGGCGAGGACGGGGGTGAGGGCTGTGAATGGAGCTGAGAGGGGTAATGGGGGTGTTGGGGGGAATGTTGGGAATGGGCTGCCGAGGTGAGGTGTTAGTTTATTTGTGAGGAGAATGCAAGTATGCTAGGCTCACAGGCTTGATTTTAAAGCTTGGGATATGAGAATCGGATTATGGTGTAAGGATGGCAGTATTGAGGTCTTTCATCTGGTTTAAGCCGTGGTCGGCGCCGTGTAAGATGACGTCTTGGCTTCCCTCTGCACAGGCGTAGCAACGTCTAGGAAGCGCTTAGCTTTTACGAAAGCAGCATGTGGAATGAGATTGGATGGCCATGAACACGACACACGAATCAACATGTTCGAGTCAAGATGTGGTTTTTTCTATTCACATATGAAATGAAAATACTACGAAAGAAAAATGCACTGTGAAAAAGCAATGTAAATTTGATCTGGTATAAACAATGAAATTCTATAACAAAAGACCTAAACATCCCTCTATTCCATCACTAATTTCAAAAATCATGATGGCGCTCTAGAGAGATACATCCCGCGGTATTAACTCCAATCATTCAATCCAAATCAAACAACTCCTGCGCGCGGTGGCAGTACGCCTGCCAAACGAAAAGTGCCTTGATGACACACCACATATATGCCATCCACCGTTCGCGACTCATACCTCCATCAGCCTCGGGCATATCCTGACAAGCAACCTTGAACCACATTTCCCATGCCAGGTCCTTCCAGTTACCGCACGTGGCGGAATCACGACAAGAGACCGCTTCGGGGTTCTCGATGTGCCGGCGAAGAACATCGTACAACTCAAAGACATGCTCATGCTTGGCGAGCGGCGCATCGGGGCGTACAAAATAGTTGGGATCAAGCACGTAGCCGCTTGACACAGATGGCAGCATTGGATTGTGCCGTCGCATAAAGAAAGGGTCTCCGGGCAGATGACCCGGTCGTCTAAGCGACTGGAGGTGGAAACGGCGAGCGATAGAGACCATGAGTATGGGCAAGTCGTAGATCATGGCGTTTGTATTCCAAACAAATGGCATGTCCTCATCTGTGGTGAGCAAGGGCCGAGTCTGGAACGCCATTTGCATGATACTGTAAAACTCTGCTAGCTCAGGCGTCCGGGTATCTATGCAAAGCCCCTCAAGGCCAGCTACTGATGCCTCGTAATCCGTATTTCCGGAGTTGAAATCAGCAGGGAGACGAAGCGTGTGGCGGCACATTGGACATGTGCATATCTGATTGTTGTTAAACCACGTACCGAGGCAGGAGAGACACAGTGTATGCCCACAGCACGTACGCACTGGTTCCACGACGTGCTCAATGAAGGTCTCCTTGGAGGCACCGGGGAGCTGGCTCAATAGGTCTAAACTGATTTCAAGACCCGAGCCCGCGCTCCCGTATACTCGACTGCAGATATAGCATGCCAGGTCATCCTTTGGGGCTTCTGTTCGTTCAGTAATGGTTAGAATGGCGTCAACGACATTCTGGTAGATAACTGGTGTGGAATCCATTTTTGGTTGAGCTGTGGTTGTTTGAGTTGACGAGTTCCAGCTGGGAATGAAGTATAGTTATTTTATCCTCAGAAGTATGGGCTGTGGGCATACAGTGAGATGGCTCACTGTTAACACCACAATGCTGCAGATGTTCACAACGCCCACACATGGTTGTAGCGATATACGTGATCCAATTCACACGGTAGTGTTTTTGAAGGGCCTTTACAAAGCAGCAAGATATATGGGTATCTCGAGCGGTGTTGAGACCATAGCCGGACCGAAGATATAGTGTGCGTATACAAAGATGCAAGTAGGTTGACCCCTAGAATGGAGAACTTCTAATGGCTTATTAATCATCCGTCAGATCGATACACTCACTGCCTACCGGCACTTTATATGGAGATGCTCTTCGTTTGGATGTCCCAGTAGCGACCGGTGAGGGTTGTGGCTTGTTTGTTTCCTGAGTAGTAACGGCGGAAGATGTCTCAAAGCGTTGAAGCCGAGCAGCACGCATCTCAGACAAAGTAGGTTGGTTGGAAGATGGAACGTTTGCGTTTGTGTTATCGCCATTTGCCTTAGTTGGTTTGCGAGGTAACGTTGCAGACGTCGTAGGGTCTTGGGTAGAAGGCGGGGCAAAGTACCAGGCAGGTACCTCGACAGGGTTTAGACTGATAGAATTGGCATGCGTGCCTCTTGGACGACCAACAGATCTCTGTGTTGAATTTCTGCTTACTTGGCGGATGGACGGTTGTGGGCTGGTGGGTGTAGAGGGAACGTTGGTCTCATCAAGCGACCAGGCGGGCACTGAATAGCCTTCTACATTTCTGCCTTCTTCCCTCATCGCGAAGATGTCACCGTAGCCACCTCTATTAGCTGGCGGTATTGGGCCTCTGACCTGATCTTGCATACTGAGGCGTAAAGCTAGCTGTAGTTCTTCGTCTTCCTCGTCTCTCCTATCAACATACGCATCATCGAACAAGATTGAATGGTCTCTGTCAGTAGTTGGTTCCGAGAATGACAGTTCAACAATATGCGACATTTTTGAAGCATCCAGCGATGATTTTGTCGGACGAGTAGTTGGGGGTAGACCAAGATCTTCCTCATCTTCAGATTCAGAAAGCTCAATCATGCTGAGAAGTTTTTTTGTAGCTTTGGACATAGGAGTGTTTTGAGACGTGGATGGCGTAGCGGACCGTTGTGAAAGCGACACAGACATACCTGACCGTTCTGACGGAAGCATAGGCGTTGTGGAGATCCGCGAACGAGCGCTTGATGACACACGAGGACCCTCGTTGGCTAAGTGCCGCAGCTTGGTTGAGTTTGTTGCCGCGGCACCTTCTTCATTATGATCTACCTGTCGCTTGCGCTTTGGCGCCTGCGTTGGCACCGGGGTAGAAGGCTCGAATACATCCCGCGGGAGAACTTTGCGAAGCCAGTACTCTGGTATCTCGCATTCTACGCGGTATTCAGGATCAAACAAAACCTCGTAGTCTCCGTTCCAGTAGCCAAGGTGATCGTCTTCAAAATCAGTTCTTGACAGATCGGAAACACCGAAAGGTGAGAAAGTCAGTTTACGCTCGAAAATACGCGTTGGCGTCGGCTCGTCCTTCGTGACTCTTCGCTTAGTAAGTCGAATGTCGTGTACAATTTCCTTTGGCTGTGAAGGGTCTCGTGCTACAAGGTATCGCATAAGAAGGACCGGGGCGACCCAGTTCATGTATAGTCTGCCCCAGATATCGAAGCGCTTGCTCGTAACCTCCAGTAATTCGAGCTCTTGTATGGGACGGATATAGTCGAGCTTCAACCTTGATCGGTTCAGCAAATCCAGATCGGTGTTGACTTTGGGATGGTTGTATTTGTGCAAGATTTTGTAGTCGGGATATGTTGGGGGAACCGGGATACTACGCCCCCGATAGCTGGTTTGGAGGAACGTAGCCAGCTCTATCCCCCAGAGACTGCAGTCTCTTTGGTTGCGACACGCACAAAGGCTTCTTCCAAGGTCATGTTTTACCGCCTGCATGGCCATGGAAGGACCACAACCAGGTAGGCCTTTGGTATCATAGTCGCCGCCAACGAGCATGGCAAAAAGCACCATTCCTTCTCGGTCCAGGCCGTGTAGCTCCCGCAACTCATTTGTTCGTATTACACGAGCGTACTTGCCACTCTTTTTTGTATTCTCCTTTGATCGATCCTTATTGCTATCCTCTTTCGCAACGCGCCAATCATTCAACAAGAAGGTGCAACCAAACATGAGCGCATCAGAGTCTTGAGACCAGACTGCATCGACTATGCCTAGAATCTGCAGACGAGCGCACTCAGCCTCAGCTTCTCCCGGTGCCTCATGATACGGTACACCAAGACAGTTAAGCACGCTCTGTAGAAGCCGCCGCTCTTCGTAGTCGATTTTACCTTGCCCTCGTTTACCCCTCTTCCAGGGGCGGCCAGGGCCATCGAAGACGAAGATGAGTTGAATGTTCAGTGTAAGAAAATGGCAAATGCGATAGAACATGGCTTTCTCGATGCCTTGAAATGCGTGTTGATTGGACGCTGCTCCTGTCAGTAAAGGACAACAATACCTGCAATCCTACCTACTCTGACGTATTGTATACACCTGCTGCTGCGTAAGGTTGTTGAAGCGCCAATCAGCTTCGTCGACGGCGATTCTAAGTGGCTTGCCATGAGAGCGGTGGTGTGCTTCGGCCAGTTCTGCAAGTAGAACACATTCTTCGTACTTCTTGATCGTGTCCCACAATCTAACGCAATGTCAACAATGCAAAAGGACGCAGTACAAACTGGAAGCGTACGCTGGGATGCCCATTATTCAGTGTGGGGGATGAGAACGCTCAGGCTCGCAGACCGTTGCACGCGTCTTAGTAGAGCATTCGCGACTGGATACGGGGATCGCGCACAGCTCAAAAAGCAGAAACAATCGTGTTAGGAATCCCTAACTTTCAGATAGTGAAATGTCTATAGTATTGATTGAACACTCCAGGCGCGATAGGTTGACGTAGCTGGCAGTAGCAGTAAATCTGAGACAATCTTGGCGTTCCTTTCCACAATCTGACAGAACGCGTGAGCACGTGATGCAATCTGTGCGTTCCAAGCTCATCTGACGCCTTCCGTATCTCGGCATCAGGTCATCACCAACACCACCTTTACACATTTTCCTACTTCACGTCACTGTAAAATACGCGCTTCATTGTGCATCATTTGAGTCGGGAGCGAAAAATCCATCTTGACTCGCTATAGTTCACAATCCACCTCAAATGCCCCGTCCAAACCATTCAAACCATCCAAGCCGTGCCAAAGCTCATTTTCGAGGAAGGCGCTCATATCAGTAACCCTATCCAGTGCGCTTTTGCGCCGCTGCTTTAATGCGTCCCCAAGAATCTTCGCCGCCGAAAGAGCCATGTCAGACTTCCTACCCAGATACCATAACGCCTTAATACAATTGTCGGCTCGACCAAACACGTCCTCCTGGTCCAGGTTAGACGGTAATAACGTGTCTGACTCCAAAAGAAGTACCCCTGCCTTGGCAAAGGCACGAATCAAAACTGCAGTCCATGGCTCTGTCAAAATCGCACCTTCGTTGACTGCAAAATGGAACTCTGGAGACTGCGGAAACGAAGCATCTGATCGAGGGCATGCGCAACTGGCAAGGTCAGATAGCAGTTGACAATTTGCCTCCCGAAACTTCGCAATGAAGCCGCTTGAATTCCGCTGCTCTGTCGCTTCCTCAATTCCAAGTTCGGACTCATCTACAACCTCCATTAAGTCCGCTAGGAGGAGAGTTGCGAGGTGCCAATGGCCAGTAACGCAAACATACCACGATTGGACCCGTGGGGGCAGTCGATCGTGGTTTTTAATGCAATCACGGATAAAGGGCGCGTACAGTGTGTTCCAATGGTTGTACACATCCAAGGCTGCACTTACGGACTCCTCCACCTTTGTACCTCGCGTGTTCCGTGTCAAGAGCGTTTGAATGCGGCAGACTTTTCGGAATAGCAAAACTTTAACTGGAGCTGCGTCACAGAGCAGTGTTGCAGCCTGGTCGAATGAGCATGGCCATCTGGTCGGTGCATTGTCCAGCTGTTGCTGTTGGCGAGCAAACAGGTAATCATCCCAGAGCCCGTCATCTGTCGAAGCGGGCGTCGTTGCCAGATCGTTCGTAGCTTCCATCTGCATACTTTCGTTGAGTACAAGGTCACTATCCTCATCAGACACCACTAGTGGTCGCTTGTGCATTGCTGCAGACAGCGTGTCAAACATGACGCCAAGCCAGAACAACAAGTCTACCGTTGCGCGATCCGCGTCTTCAAGACGTAAAGCCGACGAACGACGTTGCTGTGTAGAATGCACCAAGCCAGGCTTGCTGCGTCGCGTTCCTCCTGAGATGGCCATGCGGGATCGTAGCGAGTGAATGAGTCGAAGCCCCGATTCGAGATGTACAGGCGGGCCATCTGCTTCAATTGCGAGATTCAATCGCGACATCAAGTCGGTGCATTCGTCCATGTCCTGGTCAGGTGCATTGGTGAGCGGGTCGTTGGGGGTCTCAAAGCCGATGCTTTCGTCGGGGTCAACCACTGCACTTGTCGACGTCAAGTCGGCAACATCCTGAGGCCCATCAGACAGGTCAACCGGTCTCTGCGTCAATGCGAATATGATTTGTGCCAGTACCACCCGAAACGACTCTACTTCACCAGCCTTCTGTAGTGCGTTGCGCGCCTCGTGCCATGCCGAAATCTGAAGCGTACGATCGAAGCCAACACCAGCCGGCGCACAGTCTTCGTCTTGAGCATCAAAAACACTAGCACCGCGATCGGCTGAAGTGCTATGGAAAGGGTACCTCGTCCTACTTCTCGGGCTGGATTGGGCCCACTGTGAAGCGAAGGAGAACACGGCTAGGTCCAAGGCTCTAGATGCTGTTTGGTTCTCAGTGGGAGTGAGCTTACGCCCCCTAATTGCCGATGCAAGCCTGTCTAGCCGAACGACGCGGTGATAGATACGATTCCAGTCAGGCCTGGCGTTGGTAGCCAGCTGAGTATCGGACTTTGCACTATATGGGCACGTTCTCTCCGTCACCCAACAGGCAAGCGCGTTCTCGAAACTGTCGTGGTATATTCTCAGCAAACTCTCAGTCAGGTACGCATTGTTGCTCGCTGAAAGAAGGTCGCTGGCATACGATATCACTGGGTAAGGGGGCGCACCGTTTGAGATCGACGTTGAGGAGCTGCTGCGACGGCGCTTCCGATCGATACGTGCGACCGATCCTTGTGTACTAGAAGGTGCTCGATTTCCTTGGCTGGGGGTACCTTGATTCGCCGACCAGTTATCACGTTCAGGCCTATCGTCGCTAACATCCGACAAGGTGCTCAACGATGAGCCCGTGGCAGAGTCGCGTTCTATCAGGGTCCAGTTTTCTTCTGGGAGCGTGCTTGCATGTTCAGCTTCGTATGTTGTTTCGGCATGACCAAACACCGGAGTTGGCTCATGGAAGAATGCGATTGTTGGATCGGTAGTAAACATGGAGCCACCACATGGAAAGTCTCCGAACGTGACGCCCAGCTCAGCTGGCGTGACGCTGGCAAGAGAGTCATCAACGTTTGGAAAACGATTATCTGATGCCTTTGAGCTCGTGGCGGATTGGCAGGAACCTTTCCGTTTTTGTGTTCCACTCTTGGAATCGCTTCGCGTTCGGCGACGTTTGGCTGGTGGCGCCGTACTTAATTGTGGTTGTGAGGCTTGCAGAACGCGCTGTGACCGCAGCCATTCAAATGTACATGTCTTCTTGGTCTTCTCACAATTAGAACAGGAGGCCAGCGGCCCATAGACGTCTAGATGGTCAGCCTGCAACGTACCTACCCACAAGAAAGGGGCGGCTCACCACTGTAGTGGAAGACCGTAGGATTTGCTCCGGACTTGCTTGTTTCTAGTAAAGTATCTTCTAATATAGCCGCGTCGCAAGCCCTCTTGCCTTTTCGACACTGATCACAGCATCGGTTCTGTTTTCGGCTGGTCTTAGAGGGCTTTGCAGTCGGTATCGCCGCTGAAGAAGGCGATGTCCACGCATAATCAAGGAAAGACTTAGGTTGCACGTCAACAAAATTCATGGCTGCTGCCCGGGTTGTCCGGCGAAAAGAGGGAAAAGTACGAGAAGAATGACGGATGGAAAGAGACAAGTGTCTTGCTAATATGCACACCCCGCGTCGTCCGCTAGGTTCCATGTCCTAACTCGGAAATGCGGGGAAGCCTAACGCGTGGCAGAGCACGACGATCAGCACAAGCTTGAGTCTGCTCATCACTACGACATTGGATGATCCGATGCTGCATAACGGGTCCTCGCTATTTTGATCCACTTTGTTCCGAATAGTTCTGCTGTCATTTCATCCACAACAGCTGTGTCGTTTGATCGTTACTATTCATCAACACTCCACTGGGGAATTCCGCGAGGCCTGGGCGCTATTTTCTTGGGCTTATAGCTACCAGATTCTTATTGGCTCAAATCTCCTCGATCTGTATCCCGAAACCTTCGATGGCTATTCACAGAAAGCGACAGCCGGATCGGCCCAGCAAGCCGCGTCCGCCTATCTGCATCTCACCGCTACCATTGATAATGCTGGATTATTTCTTGGGAAACGCGCTTGAAAAGACCGACATGGAGAAAGAGCTATGCCTATTCAACGGATCTCACATTTCGAGTCATAACCCCAGAGTCATATCCCTGTATGTAGCGGTTAACCGTTGGAAAAAGCCGGGGCAGATCACGAATTGGGCTTAGAACTCTCCTTGAAAATGGCTTGGTCATGATGTGTATTTCCAATGATAAGGGTGTGCACAGCAAAGGGGTGACCCAGGCACGACACCCATGGCTGTGTCTAGCCGGACAGATACAACGGACCGACTCCAATAAGCAAAGTCATCCCATATGACGCCCGCTCAAGACCCCAGTGCCTTGTAGATCTGCGTCTCAATGTCGAACCATAGTCCCAGCACTTTGGGGTCGCCAAACGGAAGAATCTGACTGCATACGATTCCGCCGACTCCCTTCTCTCGGTCGCACCACCACCAGCAATTTGGAAGCCCGGCCCAGAACCCTGTGCTCTTTGATCGGCCCGTAGAACCTCCATTGGACAGCATAAATGTCAAACCCCATCCTTGAGCCGGTCTGCCTTCTACAGGGTAGATCTCAGGGAGGGTATATGTCAAATCTGGCTTCGCTGCTGGAATGCCTTGTCGACCAAAATCGGGAAACTGTGGGATTTGATTGGTGAACATGAGGTCGACTGTCTCTTTCTTGAGCAGTTGGGCACCAGTTTTGGGCGACTTGCCATCGTTGAGCAGTACTCCGATGATCTCTGGTTTGTGTTAGTCAGAAAGTTTCGGCAACGCCGATGCTTACAACGTACGTGCATAGTCTGAAGGGGTTGCAAAGGCACCTCCGCCTCCACTGTTCAGAACATCCTTGATCTCACTACCTTCTGCAACCAACGGCTTGCGAAGGAGATGATCCCGTCCGATCACCGAGCCGCTTGCCGTCCGCTGGTTCATGTACGCCAAGCGCTTCTTCATGTCTTCGTTCGGAAACAATGAGATATTCTTCAAACCCAAAGGCTCAAAAATGTACTTGTGAAAGTAGTCGTTCAACGACATGCCTGTGACACGTTCGAGAGCAAGACCAGCGAAGTCGATGCCAACACCATACTCCCAGCCTTCTCCTGGCTGGAAGACGAGCGGCTGACATATCTCTTTGATGTGCCCCGAGAACTCATCGAAGCCAATGGGATGTGAGTAATTACGGAGATCTTCGTTGAAGAAAGAATAACCGAAGCCAGCTATGCCACCAGATTAGCATATCGCATCTCAACTTCACCAGGTAGCGCACCAGTATGCGTCAACAGCATCCTCAACGTAATCTTCTTATTCTTTTCCACTAAGCTGCCATCCTTTTGCAGCACCTTCACGTCCTTCAGCTCCGGCACAAGCCTCTCTGTCTCGTCTCCATCGTCAAGGTGCAGTTTCCCCTGCTCCACAAGCTGCATGCATGCCAGACCTGCAATCATCTTGGTGCAAGAGGCGATCCAGAATACACTGTCCAACGTCATATCTTCGTGGCTGAGCACTCCGCGTTTTCCAGCGGCATGCGCAAAGAGCTCCGTGCCATCTTTGGAAATAACTACAACACTGGTTCCCGGGATGGAGGTCGTTGGATCGGCGCAGGCCGCTTCGACGGTCCTTTTAAGGTTCTCGGTTACCTGGGCGGTTAAAGCCATGATTTTAAGATTACTGTTGACACAATGTATGTAGATATGAAGAGTTTGGTGGATTGAACGTCATGCTGTCAAGGTACTCACAAGAGGAGTACTTGTACCTTTTTTAGCCCCTCCACACTACCTACCAGGCCCCCAGTGCGGAGAGACCGGAGTCTTGATGATTTGATGATCGGCGTCCCTTTGGTGCGGACGTGACAGCAGTAGCCGATCGTACCCCGCACGGACGGTCAGCCACGAACAGTAAAGATCGGTTAACTTTCTTGGAGAAGTAAACTCCGTGAAGCTGGTGAGCTAATGACACTACCCCGAGTCGACTATCAGCACATGACAGGATTAAACTCTGTAACACATGACGTCACGGCTAGCGACGTAAAAATATACTTTCTCTACTGTGTTGGTCTGTACGTACCTAGGTACCTATAGCAAGCACAAGTGTTCTACAGATAATCGTCCTCATCAAAGTCATTGAAAACCCAATTCTCATCCATCATGATCCGCTCCTCTTCTGACTCGGCTGCAGCGAACGCATTCTTTTTCAGTATGCGATTCTGTTCCTTGATCTCGTCGTACTGCTTCAGAGGTACCCATCCCTCAGACCCAACGCCGATAGCATCTCTGGCCGCTTTGAGCTGCTCATCTGCCTCGATCTGCGCGGTTTTCAAGCGCAAACACTCCGCCATCTCTTCTTCAGAGAAGGAAATCGGACAGGGCTGCCTTATTTCGTCGTTAGTGCTCGAGTTGGAGGCGGTGAAGGAGTCCCACTGTTTCACTAGCTGGACCAGGTCTGCTTTGAGACTGACACTATTGCCTTCCCATGGAGAGCTTGCGTGATCAAAAATCTTGCGCCTTATTACGCTGAAGTCGTCGCTCAGGGCTTGATAGTGCAGCGGGTTATACTCTTCCGTCCCGGCAGCATAGAAGTAATGAAGTTGACGACGACGTAGGAGCTCCACTTGCTCATACTGCTCTCTTTCGCTTAGCTCGCTGATATTGGGCGGTAGTTCCGGGGGTACGAGTGACTCTGAGACACTATCTCCATAGTCCTGCAGACTGTTGGGGATACCGCATTGCAGAAAGAGAGGTAGTATGGTGCAGTGTTGCCAATCTATCAGCCAGGTGACGTCAAGGCTGTCCGAGACAAACACATTGTTGGGGTTAAGATCAGGGTGTCTTAGCGTTGGACGTGCAAGATCCCCGTTGCCGCCCGGTGTGAGACGAGGGACGATTTGTAGGTATTTGTGCAGATTTCTAGATGTTCTGAGGGAGACTTTTTCTCGTAGTTATATATCTCTCGATACAGAAGTTGGAGGGGATGGATTGGTTTGCCGAATTTCATCAGGTAGGCAATCTCCTTTTCAGCGCCAGCTGCCAGCACAGCCGTTGAATCTGCATCTTCCAGATAGTTAGCAGTTGTTTCATGAGAATTTTAGATTACAGATATTAGAGTTGATACATACATGGTCCACGGCCAACCTGAAGGCTGAGTCGTTTGCCATACCAAAGGTGGAGCCTCGTATCAGGACCGACACAAAAGCCCTCAAGACTAGCGTTATCCGCAACTGGAATGTTCATTCTTTGAACATCCGCGTCCAAGTCCTTTGCATAGTACAGACTGCCATTTCCTGGAAATTGAAGAGTGAAGAGCTGGGACTCTAACTGCACAAGTTTGGTAACGACTGTTTTTCTGGCTTTCTTTGAAAGGTCAACCCAGATGTCTCCTAAATTCACTCCACGAACTAATTCCATGAAGATGTATTCAGTACCAGCAAGATTCTGCGATATAGTCGAGTAGCCGTAGACCTCTGGGACAGGTATGTTGTTGATACGGAGGAAGTCCAGCGTTGCGACTTCGCTGGCGATGACGAGATGCCTTGGTTCGGTCATTGGATAAGGGATCCGTCCAACAAGCTGGAAGCCATCACGCATAGTGATAAGAAAAGTGCGGTTGAATAATCCCTCTTCTAGCTTCTCGAATTGAGCTACATCTTGCAAAGTTCGGTTGACAGACGCTGCAGCAAGGCGCTTCAATTCCGGCACATTGAAATGACGTCTTCTCTCTGAATGCCTTAATTCGTTATTCCATCTACATACATAGTTATTAACTACCAAGCTCGAAAAGATGCGAATGTACTAACAGCCATCGCGCCGATATGTACTCAAGAAGATCAGAACCATGCTCCGGTGAGTGGGCTGCTGGCGCATACGTCGACACCACTCCAAAACCTGCTCTTTTAGGGTATGCGATCACTCGCGGTAACAAGCGAGCAGTATTAGACGGAGCACCAAATAACGATCTCGAGAGCGCCATAAGTCTTGCCATGGGGTAGCGGAGAAAGATCGCAGTACTAGCATAGGTAAGGTTTTGTTGCGCCACAAGGAAAGTAGCATGGTTGTCCAAAAGAGGGCTAGACGCTCATGGAGCCAAACTGAAACATTAGAGTTGCGACTCACTCCTCTAGATTACATGCCTTTAAAAAGAAAATGGTTACATTTCTCCATTAGTACGAATGCCCAACCTCGCACCTAGGCGGCTACATGCACTGCGGTCATGCGACTAAAGCCGGCACTACGCGGCTCTTCGTCACCACGACGGTGCTCATTTACTCGCACACTTGTATCAAAGAGCGAAATAGGCGGCAACTACGCATTGAACTACTTCGAGCCCAACACCTAGCGATGTGCGTACATATTCGAGCCCGGAAATGGTATCCAAATCGAAAGCACTATTTGAAGACCTCCCGAGGTGGTTCAACACCTGCATATCCAGGGTCCGCTCTCATAATTCGGTACATACTCAGCCGTTCGCATATCGGTGCGTTGTCTTCTGTCTCGGTTTGTTGGTCGCTTACGTGGCAGTGCTTTGATTGCGCCTAAGTATGAACGTCCGTGTCTTCTTAAATTCACAATGCAGCCTGCATACTTCACACATATTTTTCGTGGAATGTAGCACATCTGCTGCTCCTTCACGGGGTACGTATCGACGAGGCTGTAAAGAAATGTGTAGAGAGAGAACTCCTGGTCATTCTTCTTTGACATAATCATTCTACTTAATATCATCACTTCACGGTCTCGATCTTCAGGCAATATTCTGTTGCAGAAAAAACTGCATACATCATATTATTGCGCTGCTATTGCTGTTGACAGCAAAGTGCACACAGAATATCTACAAGCCCTGCACTGTCCACGACACACTGCATCACTTACCGAGATAACATTCCAGAATCATATGTCTTACTATCAACATCATCACTTACACGGAGATACTACTCCTGGACATCAGAACTTCGCACGTCATTGCCCCATCGACGATATGAGCGACTACAACTACATCCTTAACCTGTTACGCGCTCAAAAGGATATGTCTGAAAGACTAGCTGTTCTTGAAGAAGTTTTGCGAGATACTGAACGCAATATTGGCATGCTGGAAAAGAAGAATGAGCTCTTGAGAGAGATTAGAGGTGGCTTGGGGAATCATGACGAGGTGGAAAAATATGGGGACGACGCCGTTGAGCGTAATGTTTGGATAGGCAAAGAGACTGAACATCCTATCAAGATCATTCTAACACAAAACCCGTATGTTGAGTGTGAAGAAAGGAGACTCAGGGGGGAAACATGGGGCTGTAGGGTGGACGACGGCCACTATTCTTCTGCTACCTCAGTACCCTTCTATGAGCATCAAAGGCGAACTCCGACTATGAAAAGCGACAGTGAAACCGCAGGAGTAGCTGACAAGCCTTTTGAGCGAAGTAATGCACCGTCGCCAGATGAACATCACCATCGAGAACGGCGTTGGGAAGCGGCAAGAGAGCAAGAAAGAGGTAGCCTACGACAAATCCAGACCGAGATGACAGTTCTTGACCTGATTGCACGAATTGAGAGACTAGAAGATTCGAGTATGTCAGAACGGGGAAACGGCAATAATAATATCCGACTAAGAGGTGGTAAGGGAGTGTACGACAAGGACAGGGGATTTTTCTGCGACTCTGGCGGCTATATCAAGTGGAGCGAAGTTGACGCGAAAAGAGCTGCGGAGGCTCAAGTCCAAGCCAGTAAGGAAAACCCCAAGGTGATCATTGCCGAGGACGGACATCGTACCGCCATTCTTGCCTCGTCACGCCGTCCATGTCATCAGGTCAGATCTCAAGCTGGCGACGTGAAACCGCTGACCCCACAGGCCAGAAGCGGAGCAGGTGAGGATATTCATCAAGCTATTCAGAGACAGACGTCAGTGAATCTCGGACTTGAAAATGAGTCCAATAGTATATATGGGCGCTTAGGACAAGAGTCCATGTTATCTTTTCTCACTGCTCCTCGGCCTGGAGATGATTATACAGATGCTTCCATAGCGCTGGCTACTGTATTGCGGACGAGGAACTACTTTCTGGAGCGTGAACTACAGGACTTCAAGGAGATGAACGATAGTTTGGTTCAAGGCAGGAATTGGCAGATGAGTATGCAGGATGAGTTGGAGAAGAGGCTTGAGGCTGTGAAAATTGATAGGGACGACATATTCGATGAGCTCAAGTCGTTGAGAAAGAGGTGGGAAACACTCGTGGAGGTTTTTGTAGAATCCGAGAATCAGAAAAGGGAGTGGAGGAGTTGCAATGAAGATACACGATTCCCTGAGGTGACGATGCGTGGAGGGGGCGAAGAGTCGGGATTGAATCTAACCCAGGAAGGAAATACGGAAGATATGGTTCCACCGGATTACCCCGAGTCCTTTCCCATCTCTTCTGAGTCATCGGACTACGCTAGCGAGTATGGTGCTTCGTTCCAATCCCCCCCAGAAATCGCAACCACGAATTTCGACTTCTTCGCACGAGAGTCCACGATCATCTTTGGTGGCGATTCTCCACATATCTATCAGTTCCCGAGCAAGTTCACGTTGCCGCAGATTCGTGAACTTCTAGAGTCTGAAAATGTCAAAGAGAGGACTAGAGACGATGTGTACGTTTCGCGCGTACTGGAAATTTTGAAAATCCGCGAGGATATGGGCTTGAAGCTTCCAGGTAACCTGAATGAAGAGCGAGTTAGTATTGGGCTCCCTGACGTGCCAATTCGTGTTCATCGCGACAACAATCTAAACATCGGAGCATGGCAGACAGTAGATACGGATATAAAGGATTCGGAGAAATCAGTGCAGCGAATCGATATCAGCTCAAGCCTAGCGGTTGGAGCCAAAGAGACTTCACTCAAGACATCATCAAGCGATGAAGGAGACACATACCAGGATATCAGCGGCTTATTCAACTCACTGAACGAGCCATACACAGATCTTAATGAGCGAGAGATTGGATTTGCTAACTTTTGTGCATGTGCATCCTGTACAAAAGATGGACGGAAAACCTACTTCAACATTTGCGACATGCAGCCCTTATCGACAGTTCGCGTCCGCCGCGGCGGAGATGACCTCTATGAGAGCTACACCACTTCGTCGTATTCTTCGGGAAGCCCCCACTTATCTTCTCTTCTCTCCTCGTCACCTTCACCAGTTCTTGAGGCCCGTCTCACGGCGCCCTTTCGATACGGCAATCACACTTCCACCCACAACACCCTTGAAACTTCCAACAAGTATGAAAGTGCCATCACAAAAGGACCCCTGAGCACTCGTCTCGCCAAGCTCCTATTTCCGCCTAGTCTCGCTCAAGGACGCGAAGATAGCATCCGCCGCTTCAACTGGCGCCATGTCAAGCGCATGAATCCCCAGTTCAAGAACAAATGCTCACGAGGCTTCCGGTATAGAAAGAACCCGCTGTGTGAGGACTGGGTGAATCAGCTAGACAGACATCTCGAGTATTGTGACTACTGTCAAGCTATGCTTATCGAAGAGGAGCGTTTGATACAGAAAGAGGGTGAAGCGGAGAATTCCAGGCATGAGCATGACGCGCCTGTACCTAACATTGGAGTAACAAGGCCATGGGACAACGGTAGCTGGCCTAGTGATTTCTACGACGCCCTATCTCCAGCTGTACAAGTTCCCGATTCGCGGTTACGAGGCGACGCGGGTCACGAAGACGAGATGAAATGTGAGGGAAAGGACATAGAACACTGGAAGGCGGAGTGGCACGATCTTTCCGCTCAGGCTCGGGGCACGAAATGCATGTCCCGTGCGTATCGTAATTCGAGTTCTCGTTCCACGAAGACGCAAATCCAGCCCATGGAGCCTATTTCGAGAGACTTTGGATCACGATGGAAATTGAGGGAGGAGAGGGATGGTCTGGACGTCGGGGTTGATGATCCGCACAAGAGTTGTGTAGGAGTACTTGACCAAGGATGTTTAGGTGAGTCGACTCCATTTCCACGCGACTGCCACCATCATACCCTGAGTTCTGACAATTTCTTAAGGTCAAAAACATCGAACCCCACACTGTTGCTTTTACGGAGTCCGAGAGGAGGATCTGCAGGCGAGGGGAGGCAAGACGGGTCGCAGCGGTCACTTGTCTTACGCTTCCCTCCTAGGGTCTCGTCATTGAATCAAAGTAGTAGTCTTTCTGAACTTGTAGCTGAAGATTGGTTGGAAAACCCTCGCTTGGCGCCACTTCCAACATTGAGCGAAGAATCCCCGGTCCGTAAATCAACACCACATGTACACCGGCACTCCAATCTCTCGTTCTCAGATGAAACAACACATCACATGCCACATGTCTTACCACCTCCATCTCCATCTCTTCCCCGGTTGAGTCTGTGCAAGCGCTGCTCTCAAATTCGTGCTCTTCTGCTGGCGAAAATCATAAAACTCAAACAACGTATGCGCCTCCGAAAACAAGCTCTGAGAGTCTCAACCAAAACTCCAAAGAGTCGTTTATTTCGATCATCACTCCCTACACAAGCAGAGATACAGGCGATCAACATTGATACATCCCTTCCTTGCCCTTCTTTCCCCCTCGAAATTGATAAATCGCTACCCCCAACACCTCACGCATCCCTTCTAAGCTTCGAGAGCTGCAGGTTACCTCTCATACTGCGAGAAAGGTTCCCCGCAGATCCCCCAAGTCCCGACCTAGACCTCCCAAAAGATGAAAAAAGCAGCGGGACAAACCTTCTGGAGCGCGCCTGCGCCATGGCAAATGCCAAAGACGAAAAGCATGCAGAAATTGTGTGTAACGAAGGAACAGAATGGCGGGTCCCGACTGTAGCTGGTCCTGTGGATCTGGTTCGGGAGGCTCTTGTGTGGTTAATCTGGGATGAAGAGGAGCGTATGAAGGATCTAGACAGTTGGGCGTGAAACGGGAATAGAAATTTTGTATTTTCATAGTTTTCATTGTAAAAGAAATGTGAGTCTGTTATACAAGATATTGGAATTATGTAAATATGCCTCCGAGGAATGTGTGTAACAAAGGAAAAATAATCCGGTGCATTGATCTGGTAGGGATCATGATGTCTGTTTGTGGCTGTTTTGAAATCGATGTGCCGTTCGAGACTCGGGTCGTTCACATCTAGGGACAGTGGTCTACCCATCGAACCTCGTGCTGTATAAATTGAGGAAATCAAGCACACTACTGACAGTAAACTACCTTTGCAAAGGAACGCGCTGCTTTTCCAGTATATTAGGAGAAGCAACACCGGGCTAAACGCGCTGGGCAACAGCAGGAATGTTGCTGACAGGAACGTTTGGCGCCAAGGCCATAAGTACGAGTTCGTTTACGAGGTTACCAGGAAGGGTTTATACTGTTTCCGCGTGCTTTCAGAGCAGATCTCCACTCTTTTTGACAGAGGGATTGTCGAAAGGTCTGCCTCCGAGATCACCAGCTGAGATATCAATGATTGCCGATGTTACTTGTTGGCGCTTTGACAAATTATCCTCACCCCCCTCATTCCCGAGCTCACTCCCGAGGAGAAAATCGACAAATTCGAATACGCCTAGTTGGTGCTTTAAAAATCATCCTCTTCTTCTTCTTCTTCTTCTTCTTGGCGTTTCAAGATGGAATCCTTCCCCCCAAGTAGCTCTTCGGTATAGAACTTAAGTAAGTCGAACCTCTCCTCGTCTGATAATCCTTGGCCTTTCAAGGTCGAATCGTTATCCACAAGTAGCTCTTCCGTAAAGAACTCAAGTAAGTCGAACCTGTCGTTTTCTGGTTCTGATTGGCGCTTCCAGAGACCATCCTGACCAAGAAGACCACCGTCTGTATCAGTGAAGGAGCCTCGGATTGGAAGTGATTCTAGCATACGCTTAGAAACTCTGGAGCTTGACTGGGCAGCAGAGGTATCGACGATGGCCCTGCCTCTAAGCCGTTTCTTCAACCCTTGCATCGACAACAGATCCTGTGGTAGTTCCTTGACGACTTCCCTGTCAGGTAAGATAATTTTGATTCTTGGGAGTTCCACCGGGGTTCTGCCGGCGTTTGTAGCTTTGACGGCTTCTCTGCGCTTAGTGATTGTGCTACCGCGGGATTCACTCAAAAGCGGTATGCTTGATAGAAGCCCTGGCTTGGCAGGGGAGACATTAGCAGTACGTTGTTCCGCTTGACCAATCAAGGTACTGAGAAGGTCGGTTCCGGCAATATTCGTGGTAGTTCTTACTCCTGGAGTGGGCGAAGGCCAAGCAGGCGATTCAGGGAAAGCAGGCATTTCAGGTAGAGAAGGCATACCAGGCATTTCAGGGAGAGAAGGCATTTCAGGGAAAGCAGGCATCTCAGGGAAAGTCGTGGTGGACTGGCGCTTTTTGACAATGTCTGTCAAAGATGCTTCGCTGGTGAAGGGGTCCGACAGACCGGACAAGTCGGGTCCTCCTCCTCGCAGAAATGTCGTGACAGATGTGGAGAGTGGATCGGGGGAGGGTTGTTTACCGCCGCTGTTCCCCAAGAAAGAAGTAAGGAATCCGGTAGGGCCCCTGCCAAATCCTCCTGCACCGCCCACTCCTCCTAAGCCGCCCAATCTTCCTAGGCCACCTCCTCCTGCATTGGCGCTCGCGAAGGCTTGCTTGATGATGGTATCAGAAACTTCTTCCCCCATGTCTTCTTCAGCGTTAGCACCAACGTCACCAACGGCACTCTGTCCTAAAGGCTTTTCGCCAAGTTCTTTGAGCAAGTCGAACATTCCAGCCTCGCGCTTCGTGGTTGAAAGAGGAGTATTGTCTAGGCCTAGAAGATCACCCTCATCGGTGGAACGCTGTCCAGAGAGTACGGGGACTTTGGATAGCCCATCGCGGTTGATAATGGAGCTAATCATCACATCTAACTTGTTAGATATGTCTTTAGCTTCGTTCAAGGTAGTTTCGCCGATGGGGAGTGCGCTGCTCATGAGAGCGAGCGTCGACACCGACGAGATAATGATGTTGGTGAAACGCATGATGAGTGTTGTAAAGACAGTGTAGGTAAAGAGTGTGGGTAGAAAAGCAAAGAATGAGTGGACGAGATGCTCTCCGCTGTCTCGAGATGAGACGCTCGATGAGGATGGAGTCGGAAGTGTAGAAGGCGAGGAACAATATTTATACGCCGTAGGTACTTGTTTGCACCAAAGCGTTGGGATCATCTGAAGGGCCTTCGTGCATAATCTCCTTTGCTCGGCAATGGTATATTGTTGAGAGTGAAGATCCAACAATAAACTCGCTGATCGCATTTGTTGTGATAGGGTGAATGATGGCACTAGGTATTTATGCTGGACTGTGCGGCGTCTGATCATTTAAGGTCCCAAAGTATGAGGAGATAATGCTCGAGTGAACTGTCGAATGAGACGTTTCTTTTTACAGCCTTGCGAAATCGCGACTTGGTGTCTCCAGTAGGGTCCATCGCGTAGGTATCAGAGGAATTCGCAGTGAATGGCATCAGCTAAATCATAATGTGCGACGTGAAGTTCAAGCTGACCCCATAGAGCATTCGATTGTGGCAGGTTCGTGAAAGTAACCACAGCATATAGATATCTACGAAGGAAATAAACAAAGTTGCTTTTCGAGCGCATCCCAGAAAAAAGCACCTAGACTCAACCATAACGGCCCCACCCACTCACCGAAACTGTAGTTATCCAGGGCACCAAATTATTAATTGCCATGTATTCAAGCATGGAACTTGTTGATTTCGCCTTCACCGCAGACGGGAAAACGAACATTACCTTTGCATTCTCACTAGGTCGGTTCTTTTCTTTCACGCACGATCGTTCGGGCTATTGTATGCGACACTAACGATGATCCAACTCTTCACGTGGTCGTCGCATATTCGCGACTGTTGTCAAAGATTTGAGAAGCTCTATAGGCTCACCAGCTCTTTTCACCCACTCTCACAACTCATCATACCCCCCACTTCGCCCTCCTATTCTCCTCGACCGTGTTCCGCATCGCCATCTGAATCGCCTCAGTCTTAACCGCCCACCCCGCAAACGCGCGCACAACTGTACAAGAGAAAACCGTAGCGACGAGCTGCACGCCCTCCGAAAACACCATCTGCCTGTGCGCCGGAACGAGTACAAAAGCAGCAAGGCGGATAAGCGGGGTAAAACATAGATAGATGGTGAAGAAACCAAGACCAATTTGCTTGAATAACGCGTCAGCAAAGTTACAACATACAACACGGTCTTGAACAGGGTAAAAAAGCTTACATCAAGAAGATCATCTCCAACCCCCCTGATCGATCTCATGCTGATAACATGTCGTAAGACGTGAGCGATACTGTAGGTCACCACCACACACACCGTCATATCCAAGACCCATTTCAAGAACGTGTTGCACAAGTTGAGCGATGAACGACGTACTCGACCTGTTGCAATCCATTTCTTAACCACTTCTTCCTCTCTGCCCTCATCGTCCTCTACGACAACGCCTTCTTTGCCCGAGGAGGCATACGATGGCGTGGAGGAAGGTCTAGGTCGAGCGGGTAAGATGCGCTCGAGGCCCATGAGCCACCAGTACTCTAGGGTGCTGAGCACGAAGACGATGAAGACTTCTCGGGGGAACCTTTGGGTGTAGAATGGTTCGTCAATGAGAGGAAATGTGGTTGTGTTGAGAGGGGACTTTGTTGTTGAGTTTCCGGCGTCGAGAGTCATCGATGTATTTTGGGTGCCTGGAGCCAAGTTTGGAGACATGGTCGCGTCAAATGAGGCGGTCATATTCTTGTATCCTTCATCTTGGACGACTGCGTCGAAGACGCCGAGCTTGTGTTCCGTGTATAGCATCGAGATGATACAGATGGCGGTTGTTTGGAGGACAGCGCTCCGCATCGCGGGTGAGAAGAACATTGCGACTGGGTCTGCGATACTAGGATATGCAGTGTGATTATGAGGTCTCGAATGAGCAAATCAAGCTCCGGAGACAGGTTAATATTGGTCATTATATAAATGTTCATTGTGCCACATGTTCGTCGATATTATGATGGCAATGGAGGCCTGAAACCCTAAGCGAGTCTGCCTGGTCCGCCGTATCCGATCGGACTTGTCCAATTACCAAATTTGGTAGAGATAGCTGTTGACCCGCCGAGAGATCCAGGTGGCGAAGTACTTTTATCGATGACATCCGGTCTCGGCACAGACTCTCCAGTTCCACCCGAACCAGCATTTACAACCTAACAGATGGTCTTATACAGACGGCACGGTCGACAGGGTGAGACGACTCCGGCTGTACGCAATTCGATGAGTATAGGATAGAGCATTCTCCATAAAATGCTGCCTAGACCCGAGGCATTGAATAAAAGAATAGGAAATCGTTAAGATCTGGAGAACGCAGCGTCAGAATGAACAACCCAATTGGACCACAGAAGCATAATCCCATGAAAAAACCATCGCGACCACTTCTAAAAATAGTACTGAGCCGTAAAGCGCGATTCCACATTCGTCATGCATCCACGCTTCCGATGCCCAGGTTGCGCTCGCATTACAACCCGCCTAAGCAATATAAGCATACAAACCATCGTCCTCCCTCTCCAAAAACTCCTTTTCAATCAGCCGATCAATGTTTCTTTTGATGCCGCTGACTTCCAATGTGCCTCGATTCTTTGTCGCCTTTATTGTCTCACTGACTAATTCCGCATGGCTGATCCTCTTCCTCGCCTTCAAGATTCGGACAATGGCGGCTTGAGTTTCATAATTACGGTCGGCAGCAACACGCTCGTGTGTTTCCTTGTTCTCTGCCGCTGTCTCTTTGAGCTGGACAGTGTTGACTTTGATGCGGTATTTAGGGTCGGTGAAGGAAGTGTTGAGTGTGAAGGTATCGGTTTCGTTGATCTCTCGACCTTTGGGGTGCTTTGTCAGGGGTCGTACTTTCGCGCAAGCGAGCGATTGTAGAGTACGGTTGAGCTCGGCCGTGGCTGCTAATAGTTAGTAGTGTAGGTAGGATCAGGTCAAATTCACGACTTACGTAGTCCTGTGGCTTGCTTAAGGTAGTCGTAGTCAATGTGCTCGTCATCTTCACGACCGTTGAAGAGCAAAAGAACGATGGCCTGAAACGAAGAAACGACCAGCTCTTTCAGTCCCTTGGGGAACTTTGCTTTGAGTTGACAATGCGCAAGTGCGTGCTTGAACTCGAGTTTGCGACCAGAGTGCTTGATCTTGTAATGTGCTTCAAACTTGCTGATTGCAGTCTGGATTTGTGGAGGTAGGATGACTGGAACAGTAGGGTACGTTGGCCAGGCTGATGCAGAGAGGACGTTGACGTTCAGATCAAGGCCTAATTTCTCGTTGCGCTCTTCGCTGATGTTCTTGTATGAACTCATTTCTTCCCGCGAAAGCTCGATGTCACGAAACATTTGCTCGAGGTTGGCAGTGAACCCAGCACCGCATTCTGGCCAAGTTAGCGTCTTATCAATGCGACGGCAATTGATAAAGCTCACCGATCTTCAACCTTGACAACATGCTTCTTTCAGCATCTGCACTCGCACTCCTTCCCATTAGAAGTCGTCTCGCCAAATCCTTCTTGTAGAAAGCTTCAAAGACGGCTTTGCCGTGTAAAAAGCGGAATAGATCGAGCACTTGGTCTAGTTGACCGTTGACTTCCGTGTCTTCGTCAAACACGCCATCTTCTTTATCATCCTCGCCCTCTACCGCAGCGGGCTTCTCTGCTTTGCGACTAAGCTGCGCCGGTATTGCTTTCGCGCCGCCTCTCAATAACATGTCGACGTATTTGGCGATCATCTCGCCAGTCTTGGAATTATCTGTACCCCAGCTTGCTGATGTCTTCTTTGTCTTGTTCATAAACCTGTCAAAGGATTCTCGCAAGCCGTGACCAAGCTCTTCATCCCGATGGAAAGATGTTTTCCACAGTGTGTCTAGCTGGCGTTTCAGGGACAGGAGTTGGGTCACCATGTTCTCTTGCTCTTTCTCGTTAAAGACGATAGCCGTTCCTTCATCTTCGATCCATTTGGTGAAACCTGACCGCAGATGTGAGCCCAGCTTCCGCCTTTGGAGCATTTTATACAGCAATCCAAGGTCTTCAATGGCATTAGTCTCAAGGAGGTCAGCGAGGTCATCTTGGTTTGTCAGTCTCGACTCCTTCTTTGATATCAGATGGTCTTCGAGCAGTGTAAGGAGTTCTCGCTTGGTTGTGTTGGGAAGGCTAAACATCTCTACTCTTTTCAACTCGCGGTCCATAAGCGCCTTTGCACTACGAACGTAATCAGGCAAAGACTTCTCGGAACTCGCCGCGTCAGCCCATTTCACGATGAATTCCTGACTGACTTCCATCAAACGCGGTTCAAAGTGCCGTGTGTAGACCTGCATGTCGTGGAACATCTTGATAGTCTTGGAGAATATGTCACCATCAAGATCGCTGCTTGCTCGGTCAGATGCGACAAGGTCACAGGCGCCGTCGATGATACGAGGATTTAGCTTGTCATGTTCGAAGATTATGACGCGAAAGAGGCCGACCGAGATCTCGCGTAGGGATTCGTGACGTGGGAGCAGGTAGGCGCGGTCGAGATAGCAGAAGATCCAGTCAAGGTATTTCTACAATGTGTCAGTTTAGCGAAACATTTTCGCATTAACATCAGACTCACCATCTGGCTGTTCCATGTCACCCAAGCCTGCAGCGTCGCCCGCAGCACATCGACGTTGGTCCTGCCCAGGCTTTCCTTGACCTTGGCTTTCAAGTTACCTCCAACGTAGTCTCTACATTTGATGATAAGTCGCTCCTTGACATCCTTTGCCATATTCTGACGACAGACGTTTTCTACGCCTCTATACAGCTCCTCAAGACTGAAATCGATATCGCCCTGCTGGAAGATGGTATCCAGTGCCTTCTCGATCTTCTGCCATGTCTGATCCAGGAAGACCCTAGGGTCTACCTTTCTTGTAGGCCTAAAATTCTTGACCACTAATCGCTTGGGACCGCTATTGGCGTGCATATTCGGCGCTGTTTTGCGCATTGCGTTACGTTGACCGTTCGCCTTCGCGGGGCTGTTGTCGGGGCTCGAGGTAATGTCCACCACATCGCCCTGGTTGGCCAGATCCGCCCTCTTGCTTGGAAAATGATACATGTCGGCTGCGCTCATATTGCCTATCGGGATCGGAGATGAAGCGATGTCACTGCTAGCGACTGGAGAGCTCCCTCGTCGTGTGCGCTTGCTGGTGGGCGATAGCGGCGCTGTAGAAGCGAGGTTTGGCTTTGACTGAGTAGTGAAGAGCTCTTTGATAGTCTTGCCAGAGTGCTTCCTTTTCAGCGCACCTGGATTGGCTGACATTGGGCGAGTGTGAAGTTCGTAGATGTTGCGGAGCTGTCATACTAAAGCCGCGGTCATGGCAGTGACGCGCTTAGACCAAACCGCTTCGGGAGTAGTGACGATATTGATAGTGCATCTCTGTGGACACACCGATGAGAGATGATAACTCTCGATTAGGTATTCAATCTACAAATGTTAGATTCTGACGACTATGGTCCCTGCCGCCATTAGGGCCTTCGGGTACGACATGTGTATCGTAGTTATTGTATCTCGTGACGCAGACCTGTCATCGGCGCTTGACACCCGCATGCGCACCGATATTTGTCTCGCACCACGCAGCCCCTAACACGTCAATATAGCATTCGAATATCCGCGAGGCATGTCCGCAACATTCCTTGACAGTCCTGTTGGCCAGAAAGGAGAAATTACTCGCGACTATAGGCTGTGTTTCCGAGCATGGCCGAGCCATCATCAGGACATCGCAATAGATTCAATGATCATCGAGGATGAAACCTGTATTGTGCACAACTTTAAGGTGTAATGACTATAGGGGAGTTGAACCGCTTCCCTTAACAGTACCAGACGTTTATAATTACTTCTTTTCCGTGTATGCCATATCTCTAGTGTGGTTCGCGTTCTTAGCCTCCCGGTACCACGATTAATCTGCCCCTTGAAAGCGGGTGAAGTGATTTGGAAACTATGTCTTATTTACCCTCGATAGGTAAGTGCCGTTGGTAGAAGGTTACAGTAGTAGTCATATGCACTGTAACTAGTAGATCACAATGCCTAACACTGCATTCACTGCTATGATATCAGTCCCGATTAGGCAAGTCCGACTCAGCTGTTGATTGCAGGAGCTTCAAGGTGAACGCACGGACCTTGGCCAGTGATAAAGAAGTAAGTCATCACATGACGTCAAGAAGGTATACCACATTTCGTAGCTGCACTCGTCCTGTAATCTACAGATATTCAAGCCTCCTAGTTGGGAGAGTAATCACATGATATGCCCCCGCGCTTGGCTTTCGCTCCAGCGTTCACCATCCTTCGCTGTGGTGGTACAGCAGTGAATCATGGACTACCGGAAGTTGCCTAAAAGAGTATGTTGCTTCGCATCCGCATGTTACACACAGGTTAATCAACGGATTATCTTAACCTGCCTAAAAGAGTATTGTGCTTTCACATTCGCGATTTTTCGCTTTTCTGACTGAGATGTTGTAAGATGCTGTAACCTACGGCTTCTACAACTTACCCAAAGCGGACGATCCCCTTCACATTGCCTGGCTGTCAAACTCGTCCGCTGCTACAATCAACGTTTTTCACGACTTGCCTATTCTGGAAGCGTGCGTTTGGGACGTTCACGATGGATTGCGTTGCTCTGCTACTGAGATCCACGCCTCTCCGAACTTGCCTAAAGGGGATATGGGTCTTGTCCAGCCTCTGCCCAAGCAACGGCCAGACGACAGGCCAATAAGAAGCTCAACAACTTGTTCTCTATTTTGCCGCGATCGACACCTGTTTCCAAACCTGCCTATTACGGTAGTACCAGGTGCAGTGAGATATCCACCGCTCACATGCGTCGCCATAGCCTCACTGCATTCACTCTACTACTCACAATCAGCACAATATGCGCGAGATGATATGAAAATTAGTATGCAGATAAGATTATAACATTTCACACCGAGCAAAAGGTGAACGGAGGCGGACATCAACGTCTATTCAGGGTATACAGCTATCTCAGGTCGCTCTCTTCGCAGCCATCATCTCGCGATATGCTTCAATCATTTTTTGGCGCTCCTCGCCCAACTGCTCCCTCTTCCTCAGACTGCCCGCCGAGTTCGGTACATTGCCCACCTTGGCACCAGCTCCATTCTTCACCTTGAAGATCTCTCTCGGCACCTTATCAAATGTTGGTGGCGCAGAAACAACATCGTGTAGGCCCTTCCGTTCCCCTCTCTTCTTCTTGAGCGCTTCCCACTCATCTTCACTGCCATTGTCTACTTCGCCAACTAGCAGCTTCCGCTTGTTCTTCTTGGCCTTCTTCTTTTTGCCGTTTACTGTTTTCGTGCTTGGAAGATCGGAAGTCTTGTCCTCCCACATGGCATCTAGCTCGTCTTGTTCCTCCTCGGCTAGCTCCTTCTCCTCCATTTCCTTTTCACGGATTCTCGCTTCTTCCTCCCTCCACCCCTTTTGCAGACGCTTGAGTCTCCGCTCGTGTTTCGTGACCCTGTGGTCGCTCACGCCCTCGACCTTCTTGGTAGACTTGGCAATTCCGGTTAATGGCAGAGCTTGGTCGACTCGTGCGCGGAACTCTGCCATGGACTCTCCGGGCTGTATCTTCAAGACAGCTTTTGATTGCGTCTGCTCTTCGCTCTTATTGTTGGCGGCGTCCTTTTCCAGATTTTCGGTCGCCTCTTGTTTCTTCTGCTTTTTGGTCTTTATCGCGCCGTCGTCGAGGCCAGAGCGCTTCTTGGGCCCGCCTTTGGAGAAGGCCATGAGCCGCTGGAAGGACTTGGGCGTGTCATCTGCGCCATAGCCTTCGATCTGTGTGATCTTTCTCTTCTTGCCCTTGGGCGCAGTGCTAAATGTGCGCGCTTTTCCGACAGCGAGGGGTGCGGCGTGGACTGTGGGAGGGAGGTTGAATCTGGCAAAGCAAAGTTAGGATGCGACGAGACGGCGCGTCAAGCTGTGGAACGTACTCGGAGTCGTAATCTTCTACGCGCTTGTGTTTGTGAGGCATGGTGGCTGCTGACTGTGGTATCGTATGCAACGGCGAATTCTGGCAACCGCCTGTCAGTACCGAAGTCACAAAAAAGTTGCGACCTGCTGCAGGGATCGTGGTAAAGTGGGGCTTTAGAAAGCTTGGCCTCACCCCGCCCTTTTCCACTGGTCAGCCTACTATGACTTGTACGGACATTCTATAAACGCTTCCTCCGCGTACTCGTCATCTTGCATTGGAAGATACAGTACCCCTCATCGATGAAAATTGGGGCCAGAAACATTGCCTCGTGTAGTTACATGACCGCGTCAATCGGTCTAGATCTAAAAGAGAAGTTTTGAAATGCGCAAGGCGGTGCCACACGTTTAAATAAGCACCGAGGATATGTTGTAACCCAGGCATACCCAGGGTTACGAAGCCACAGAGGCTGAGTGCGGCGTCAGGTAATATGCGCAACGAAATTGGACCACGTTGCGAAGCTTTCGGACCGAAGTCAGCAACATAGCAAGTCTAACGAAACGTGAACGGCAAAGGGCCCTATGTAGACAGCACTATGATGTTCATTTCATAGACCACTTACCGCTCCATCCTGAGAACGTGCTCTTTTGGATTATTACTATCTTGATCATCTGCCATCACAATCACCCACCTAAACATTTAGTGTTTGCCGGTCGGGTGTCGTTCTCTCCAGTCTGCGGCCAATCATTCACCTAGATTGCATTGCGTGCCGAAGCTCGCTCTCCAGGCCGTGCACCACACATCTCGAACACACAGCCGGTCTGTGGGTGCAGACACGGGGCACCCTGACTGTTTAAGGCTTGCATATCTAGGTATAGCCTGCTCCTTATCGTCACAGGTTGAGGTTGTCGCGCAGTCGCACTGACCTGCTACTCTTCATGTAGCAATAAATAGCCTCCCGAGACACATTCGCCTTCGTTTGCTGTCTGCAGAAATACCCCGGGTCTTCGTCACTTCTGAGGACTGGACTGGACCCTCTGTTCCCACAGGCCTGCAAACTAACTGTGGACCCGAGTGCATCGTGTGGGTCTAGACAGGACGGGAAGGAAACGAATCTGGATCACCGGCGCACCGCTTGCGACGCCGGGCATCGACTATTCAAGGGCACGCTGCGTTACGGCTGAGGGCCTTCTGTCTCGATTCTTCGATTCTTCGATTCTTTCCATTCTTTTTCATTGCAGCTGCCAAAGGACGGCGGTCAGAAGAGGACGTCGCCTTCACTCCACACTAAGTTAGGTCAAGGGTCCAGAAGAAAGAGCAAGCGAAGCAATTGGCTCGTGCCTGCCATGGCAGGAACAACGCTTTCAACACCGGGCTCGCCTACCAGTCAACCTCTCCTACGCAACCACTCCGACTCTGAACTTTTCCTCTCGCCAAAACCTTCATCGCATGTATCCGTATGTGCGTTGGAAGATGGCGGCGACTCGGAGTTCAGCTCTGAGGACGACGTGTACAAGCCGCGGCCCGGCTTCTGGAGACGGCTGAGGACGAGCATGCGGAGACGGAGTTACAGGTCAAAGGGCGACGACTGCTGCAGACGGTTGCCATTACTAGACGAGAAGCCGCAGTCGAGGAAGTATCGTTTGAAGAGGAAACATGCAGCCAGAGCATGCGTCATCATTCCTTTGCTGGTGCTCATCTTTTTGTAAGTGGTGTGCTACCCAGACGAGGCTAGCTTCCGCCCATTTCCGCCGCGAGGGTGCACATCAACAGCCTCTCATTTGATGGGAGGCGTTGCATCATCGCCTTGTCATGTTCTGGAGAAATAAGAGTAGATATACTAACCTTCTTAGCGGTCTACTTCACATTTTAAATGTTGTTCTGGGCTACGTACCGACCTTCCTAGACGGAAAAGCAGACCCGAATGCATTCGACTGGAATAAACAGGATGAGTCAACTATCTTGGATATCACTCGCGACGTTACCCCCGTTCCGTGCCATTCCCACAATGACTACTGGCGCCGAGTCCCATTATACGACGCTCTCCGCTGGGGCTGCACAGGCGTAGAAGCAGACGTCTGGCTCTTTGACAACGAGCTCTACGTCGGTCACAGCACAAACGCCCTCACGCAAAATAACACCTTCCGCTCCTTGTACGTCGACCCGCTCGTCAGGATGCTCGACCACAAGAACGAAATCGGCCAATTCGCAACCTCGTACGACGTGAAAAACGGCGTCTTCGACACCGAGCCAGCACGCACCCTTGTCCTACTGGTCGACTTCAAAAACAACGGTCATGAGATCTTCCCAGTCGTATCCCAGCACCTCTCCGCTCTCCGCGAAAAAGGCTATCTAACATACTACGACGGCAACTACACCATCGAACGCCCAATCACTGTCGTAGCAACCGGAAACGCCCCCTTCGACCTCATCACCGCAAACAAATCTTACCGCGATATCTTCTTCGATGCGCCTCTGGATAAACTCGTTTCCAGCCCCCCATCCATTCAACCCCACCCGGACAACGTCGTCGACCTAGCTAAACGCACCCCTGCACTAAGCTTCGGTGGTGGTCAAGGCACTGTAGGCACGACCCCATCCAGCGTCTTCGACGCCACAAACTCCTACTACGCCTCCGTCAATTTTGGCCGGTCAATCGGCTGGCTCTGGTTCGGCCACATATCCGAGACCCAACTTCTGAAAATCCGCTCGCAGATCCGTGAGGCGCGGAAACGCGGACTCCAGGCTAGATATTGGAGTGCGCCAAAGTGGCCTGTCGGGCTGCGCAATAAGGTGTGGAGGGTTTTGGTCGAAGAAGGCGTGGGATACCTGAATGGGGATGATTTGAGGGGGATGACAAGTTTGGATTGGGGGGTTCGGAGACATTGGGGCGTTTTGGGCGGGTGAGTAAGTAAGTGATGGAAGAGAGAGCGAGAGATGCGTGTATGAAGTACTGTTAGCATGGCGTTTTTATTTTCTGGGCACGGAGCAAAAGGAGACGAGAGCGAAGCAAGCGAAGCGATGCAAACAGTGGTGTATTGACAGTAGCGTAAGAAGATACCCCCACGTACAAATAGAACAAAATTTCCAACTTCAAAAGATCCAAACTCATGATTGGAGACATCGTTCTGATATACCTCACAAGACCTACGGCCCGCATCTCCCTCACATGGCATACCCAGTGGCATTGCACACCCCCATGTTCAAAACTTCAAAAAGTGGAATTGATGTATACCAGAACAAAACTCGTCCATCATCCCTTTCAAACCCCATCCGAGGTATCGGTTGCGCGCCAGGACCGCAGCGTCGCCAAAGTTTGATGAAATGCACTCAACGCCACAAAGCGCCGCAAAACCCAGAATCTATAATTCCTGAACCCCTACTTTCATTGGCCAAGCCATCAACAAGCCTAGGTAAAAATCCTCCGCCTCCCTCATCCTCAGTCGTGAGTTCACATGAACATACATCATGTATGGTAACGTGGGAAAGAAAACTTTGTCGGCACCAGACTAAAACATGCTCCAGCCCTTCTTGCGTCGCTCGTCCCTGTCGTCTCGACCACGGCCCATTATGCGCTTCTCCCTTTGCTCGAGCTGGCGGAGGCCCTCCATCTCCTTGAGGACGTGTTCTAGTAGATCCTTGCGGCGAACGACGTCGAGATGGCGTTTTATCTTAGGATCTTCTTTGGCGAAGCGGTCGATTTCCTCCTGTGAGAGGCCGCGGCCGAGGCGGGCGTCAAGTTCACGGGGAAAGATGTAGTAAAACTTTGATAGGAGCTCTGCGTCGAGGAAGAGGTCGGCGGTTGTGGTGAGCTTATCAGCCACGGCGTCGAGGAAAACTTCGGGGCAGTAGTATTTGTTCTTTTTGCTGGCGCATTGTTTGCTCTTGATGGCCATGAGGCGGAGTTTGAGCACGTCGATGCGATCGCGTAAGAAGACTGCTTCACGACCTGTTGAATTCTGTTAGTAAGCGGAATTAGGGAGATGATGAGTCTCTATTTGGTGAAAATTACCTTTGGCAAGGAGTGCAGAGCTGAAGCCACCAGCACCGCCGACACCGTCTCCTTCAAGGACAACCTGACCACTTCGTACGCGGTCGATAAAGGACATGACGTCCCGAACTCGCTTGCGTCCGCCGACTTGATCTTCAAGCTGCTTGACTGCGGACTCAACAACCTTCAATTCATCCTTTAATACAGCAGTCACGTTCTCTCGACCCTTGGTCCATTCATTGTCTTCGACTTCGATGCGGTACTTGTAAGGTTTGATGCAAATCTCTAGCTCATCGGAGATGTCGTATGAAAGGTCCTTCAGAATGGAGTTTGAGGCATCAGTGATGGCTTTCCGTGCGAATGGATGAGCATTGAAGCGAGAGTTGGAGATAAGCCGGTCAATGTGTGCCTGTAGTGCGCTTGCGACTACATTAGTTGCCAAGCGTCCAACACCAAGTTTCGTGAGCGCAGCGCTGGAAGCGTCGAGCTTGAGCCGCCAGGCGGAATTTTCCGCTTCTAGGTCCGCTTTTGGAAGGTCGGCAAGGGGTTCGATTTCGGGGAAAGGGCCCGTGAGATCATCGAAAGGCCTGTTCCAGTAACGTTGTGCAAGCAGGTTGAGCACCTGTTGATCCAGCTCGTGCTTGAGTAAGTCACGCACTTGTTGACGACCAAATTGCTCCGTGAAACCACGGAAAGAATGCTTGAAAGCATCCAATGACTCGGCGAGGTAGGACTCGGCACTGATAGGACGCTCGTTGTACTGTACTTTGAACTCGTATCTTGCATCCTCCAGCTCTCTTTGGATGGCTTCACTGGTCGTTTTTAGACTACCAGCCATGGTCTGCTCGAGCACGTGCATGAGCTTCTTCTTCAAGTTTTGGGTTCCGACAGCAAGTTCCTGACGTTCGGAGAACTCTGGATGTGATCCGAAGTATGCTTTTTCATTCTTTGTGATGGCATTCGTGATGTTCCCATTGCCGCGACTGAAGAGCTTGGAGCCTCCAGCGCCGGCTGGTACACGGCACACAACACCGACGTATCCGAGGCGCAGGGCATACTTTTGATCAGTAAGGAGGCTGGCGCCACGCTCGGCGTCTACGAGGTCCATCTTTGTAATAACACCGATTGTTCGCTCCCCTCGAGGATCCATTCGTCTTGACGCGCGCAGAGCGGTGCTGTTGGCCAGATCGACGTCAGCTGCCGAAATGGCAAGGATGACATTGGGTGCCCTGATGTACTTCTCGCACAGCTGTGAGATCTTCTCCTTGAGCTGCGGGGGCTGGTCTCTGCCAACGACTTGGATGTATCCAGGTAGATCAATCAACGAGAGATCGGGAACGTTTGGCGAGTATATTCTCAGCTGGATGGGATCGTCGGATACACAGTCGCTAGCCGGTACAGCCAAATTCAGGTCAGTGAGCGTCTTTTGCACGTGGCTGAAGTCTGTGACTTTACCCAGGCCAAGTGCTGGGAACTCGCAGTATTCGGCATGCGTGTCGGGCGTGTTGACGAGAGTGAGTTCAATGGGCCGTCGTGTGACCATGTTGTGACCCTTGGGCAGGAATTCGTGGCCTACGATGGCCTCCAATACTGAACTCTTTCCGGACGACTGCGATCCGATGACGACAATAGACGGTAGGGTGAGCGAATCCGACTGACCGACCGTCTGTAGCAGACCCCTTATCTCAATCATCTTCTTGGTGAGCATCATCATCTGCTCGTCCCGTGCAATCTTCTCCGCTTGCGGCGTGTCCTCATCGTCTTCCTGTGCATATCCAAACGCAGCGGCCGTCGATGCACCAGCAGCCGCCGATCCAGCACCACTCTGTTTGGGTTCTTGTGGACCTCTGCCGCCGCCATTGCCTCCAGCACCGCCGGATTCGTTCTTGTCAAGCAGATTTTGCAGCCATTCGGGGTACTTTACGCCTCCAAGCTCCTCCTTGGTCGACTTGAGCCCCTTTTCTAGCTGATCGAAGAATCCGTTGGCGGTGCTGAGTGCCCCGCCAGCGAATTCGGTGGCGCCATCTTTGGTTCGGTGAAAGAGGTCGAGCGCAAAGGTTCCTGCCTCTGTAGGCTGTCAGTATCCCTCATGAGTATAGCTGTAACGGTGATATGAAAATACACGTACGACCGGCCTGATACTGGATGTAGGAAACACCAGCAATGACAGCCCCTCCTGTAGCAGCTCCAATGGTCGCAAACTTGCCCACCAACTTTGGTATTACCCTTGCGAATGATATCGAGCGTGTAGCGGGGACATTATGCAGCGCGTAGCTCCCTAGCGGCCACGGTCTGCGCTTCACCAGACGTAGCCCGGCTTCGTTGCGGAGTAATCCGCCTGCGGGGAGTGAGTGCGTCGTGTAAAAGCGTGGGGTCAGAAGTGGTGATGAGCGGCGTGCGAGCGTGGCTACCCGGCCCGCGACGAGCCTGCCGCTCATATTGACGATAACGAGACGGCTTTAGGTATCCGGTAGGACATAGGATCAGGCGTGATGGATGTTTGTTGCCTGCCACTTCAGACTTCAAGGTGCGGCTATGCGCGTCACACTGGGCTTTTGGCGCACCGTGCCCACGTGGGGCGACAACGGCAGCCAGCCCTGCTCTGGCTGACAACACCAACCTTGCCCGCCATGGTGAGTTTTGCTAGTGTATTAGTATTTTCCAGTGTGTGACAAGAAGACTCTACACAGGTAAATATGGCCATGTTTCCTCCAACAAGTGTCACACTCAAGGTCATTTCATGATTCTCGTGTCTATTAATGTACAACTCAATGTCGCAATCACCAACTTGATGGTTTGCTCAGAAAGCAACACGGCATGATTGTTCATATGTACAAAACATATCACTTCAAACACAACATGGCTCTCTCGCCAAAGCTCTCCGGCACCGACCCCTCTTCTTGGACCATGTCCCTTAGCCAGTTTCTGGCTCCCTGCAACTCCCTGCTACCGAACTTGACTAGCACAAATCCCCTCACATTCGCCGCACTCCATATCAGACCGTCGACCTTCTCCCTCTGTTGTCTCTCGCATCGTCTCTTTTCGTGTGGCAGCAGTTCGGGCTGCACCGCATCGCCCCAGTTCCTGCCCCCGATACGTGGGAGCGCTTCGAACTCATCCAGGAAGAACGTGGCTAACGAGGAGAAGATCGGACCGCGAACGATCAAAGTGCCAAAGACAGAGTAGTTGTCCATGCGTGCTGAGAGTGGCATTCCCGTCCTGCCGTGCTTATCAAGAATCAGGTTGTCTCGCAGGAGCAGCCTTTTCTTCCCTGAGTCGTCTACCGTCCAAACTTCATTGCGGCTTTTGTATCCGTACATATCCCAGTTCTCTCCTCGTGCCGAGCGCCCACTCGTAACCCAGTCACACACGCATAGACTGCCCTGCTCCTTCTCCAAATAATATATTTGAGACTGCGCAAACGCGGTACGGGCAAACGGCTGTACCGGATCTGGAAGATACATCAATGCCGCGTGATGCTTGAGATTAACAGTCATGTGTTGCCGGGACACCAGCTCTGGACTCGGTGTCTTGAAGACCTTGGTCGAGCCTTGAGTCAACAGAATAAGCCGAGTATTGCTATCCAGCTTTACTTCCAAGTCTATGCTGTCTCCAGCGACAATCCCGCCGCCATAGGTAAGAAGAAACACCGTGTGTACCAGACATGGGCCAGTCTGCTCTGTCTCACTATCTGCTTTCTTGTCATAATTTGGTGGGGGTAATGGGTCCGGTGCAACTAGCTTGAGGGGATACTGGTAAGAAACAGTGCGAAGGACAGGCTTATCCGGCGGGAGAATGTCGAGAACAATGGATCCATGGCCGGGTGTAGATGTAGACACGCCGAATGGTGAGATAAAAGACATGACGCGTAGCTATCGGACTCTACGCGCACCTGCAAACATCTTCCAGGTGACTCACCCAAAGTCTATTGCAATGGTATTGTAAGCCTGAGGGCGTGCTTGGGATCCCGATGTCTCACTCACTAGCGTGTGCGCGGACCATGGCGCCAAGATTTACTGCGGGGCGACGTTCAACTCTTTTGAGTCTCTTTTCTGCAGTTCTTAGACCCCACCGAAACCCCAAGCGCAGCAATAATATCAACTGAACCGGTTCGACAACCACCTTCGCGCAATCGAACCTCGCCGCGACACCGCTAGGATTGCGCAACAGTGCAAAGAACACTATTTGCCATCTTGCACAGAATTCTAGTTCCGTGCGCTCTAGATCCCGCTATCAGCTGCAGCCAGTCATATCCCGAATCGTCCGGGGGCTACTACAGCAACGCGTTCGAATCGCCGCCGCGCCATCTTTGGACATGCTTTAGGAGCATATCACCCTCTTTTCCTTTTCGTTTGGTAGTTGGAAGGGGACGGGCGGGTCGTCATGGCCGAAGGCTACGACAAGCTTTTAGACTTTTTGCTGTCAGAAATTGCTCTCCGCGGTATTCAAGGTATGCATGACTCGCTGCGCGTCTTGTCTTTGCATGGATTTGCATGGATTTGCATACTGCATTGTGTCGTCGCATCGCCATCACCCTCTGCTACTCACAACCCGTCTTCGTTCGCGCTTGTCAGACAAAAATTCCTTCCCCGACTCCCCTGCTATGCATGCGAAAAGCAGTCGGATCAATTTATCTGCTTATTTTTGTATGCTAATATACTCTCGTAGGTGCTAGCAGCGCAGACTTTCGCCAACTCATTAGGACTTTCTATAACAGTACACAAAACAAAGACCAGACCGGCAATCATGAAGAAACACACCCCACAGAAGATCGTCTTGGTCGCACATTCCATGAGAAAGTATGGCAATGGCTTACGGAACATCCCGACATCCGCATCATGTACCAAAACGAGGCACATCGCTACTCACTTTCGGAATTCGAGGCGGCCGAGCTACATGAGACTGGTACGATCGGTGAGGTCACATCAGCAATCTCAGCCCGTCCCTCAAAATATTCCTCAAAAGCAGTAGCGCAGCCCTCCAAAGCCCTGTGCGCAATAGAAGATGCTCTGCGGCAACGTATTTCAAGGACAGGTCAGGAACCAAAACACCATGCTACTCCATTGCTTGATTCATCGACTACTTCGTCCGCATTCCGAAAACCTCGTCCGCTACCGAAACGCCCATCTTCAAAAACTGCAGTATTCGACGATCCCAGCTCCAGTATCACCGCACCCCGTCTATACGCTAGTCAAAGCAGGATGTGGCAAGCTTTGACTGGTCATGGTATCGATCTGAACAAGGTCCCCAGCATGGAGTTCGTGTTACTCTCTCTCATCGCTGCCCACGGAGCGGCTGGTATTAGACAACCCGACCTCATCGCACTCAGCGGCCAAGATAAACGATCTGTGCCGCACAGAACGGATGAGTTGGCTCGGAAATGCTACATCGGCAAGTTCCCTGTACAGGTCAACAAAATGCGTACTAGTCTATGCATCCACAGAATGTTCGTTTCTCAGAATACTGTCATCGAGTCCAGTGCAGTAGAAGACGTGTATCAGGCCGATGGAACATTTGTTGTTAGGAGCTTTGCTCAATTACTATACAACAAGGTGGGCGAGGGTGGCGTTGTTCCCACGCGTAGCATCAGAGAGAAGCTGGTAAATGTTCTCACAGGAAGCAACGTTCATTTCTAACATTCACTAGGGTGTACCAATGGAGACTTGGAACAAGCGCGCTACCCAGGGTGCACTCATCCGACTGGATCAGAGCGGTATGATCAAACGACGCATGGTTCGTACGAAGACTACTGGTGATCATTGGATTACTTGCATCCAAGTATTGCGCGCACCGCAGGAGGAGGATCTCAAGAATCTAGGATTTCGACGCACAGCTGATCTTGGGGATGATTCAATCAGCGAGCTGCCTGATGGGAACATGGATGAAGAGGCGCTGATGAGGGACCTGGAAGCCGATATGCTTGAAGAGACGGAAGCCCATGCCAATAGCCAACACGGGGCACAAGATGCCATCAATAAGGCTGAAAATATCCCCCCACAATGGACGCCCGACAGGTTCCTTGCCAACACGGTCTTCGATGCCGTTGAGCTAGGCGGTGCTCAAGGATGGGATGCTTTGGAACTTCGCGACAGGATCGTCGGACCGTTCTGGAGGCGTCCCATAGAATCGTATTTGACTCGCATAACGAATGCCTGGGAAAAGGCTCAGCCTATCCATATTCGACACCTGGCCGTCATCCGAGATTCGGGGGTTACCGCTCAGAGGAAGTTCCTCCATTACCTCTACCGCACCCATGCGAATTTTCAGAAAGCTGTCGATGCAGGACTCGCTGATTGGGACGGTGTTGCCAATTACGACGCTGATGGATTCGGTGATGATGTCATGCTGGACGCCTGGGGTTTCTCGATTGTCGAATCTCAAGATCTAGTCGGACAGAATGGCTCGGCAACGTTGTCTGAGGCTGGATTGTCCATCTTGAAACCACGCAAGAATGGCCCCCGATGGGATATTGCGCTCGCACAAGAGATTGGGTACGAAAAGGTCGAGAAGCCCGGGTCGAAAGCCAAAACACAACGTGGTCTAGGCCGACCTAAGAAGCAGGCAAAGACTCCCAAGGAGAAGCGAGTTCGGGTCCCCAAGGTTCCGAAACCTCCTAAGCAAAGCTCGGTTTTCTCACTCAGTCCCGAAGAGAAGGTATCGCTGGGCTTGCATCCTAATGCTCGTTTGACCAAGAGTATCAAGTCACAGGTTCTTGCGCATCGTGAGCAGACTGGAGATCCAACGTCACTACCGAGTGCGCTGTTGGAAGGTCGAACCAAGCGCCAACTTAGTGTGCCTCTGATGACTAAAGAGGAGCGGTTGGCAGCAGGTTTGTCGACTCGGGGACGCTTGGGTATAGAACAGGAGAACAAAATCCGAGCCGAGCGGGGGCTACCTAAGCTGGCCAAGAAGGAAAAGAAGCGAAAGCAAACAAATCAGCCGACAGTGATTAGCAAGCAGCAGAGAATAGCACTCGGATGGATCGACCATGGTCGATTACCCCAGGCTCTTATTGAAGGGCTACGTCAGGAGCGCGATGAAGGTATTGCTTTCGAAGATTCCAAGGTCATTCCGAAGTATAACGATGCGATGAGGGCCGCGAAATTGGCAAAGATGACAAAACCGGCCAAACTGGTGAAGTCGACCAAGTCCAAAGGTCCCACTGGATTGCCAAAAACTCCAGCTGCGCCTACAGTGGAGGAAGGCACACTTGTAGAGAACCGCGAGCTAGAGAATACGCCTGATCCCATAGCTGTAGAGCCTGAGACTCAGGCACAGGTATCTAAGCTAGCGCCAAGAAAGCGAAAGGCTAAAGATCTGGCTACTACTCCAGCACCAGCGAAGAAACGCCGGGTCAAAGCAATAGCGCCACAAGATCGTGCCTCAGTGCCACACACAGCTCAGTCGCCTTCAACAGTTGATGGCGCACCCATGTTTGGTACCAGTACTTCATTAGGCTCTACTGATGTAGACGGTACAAGCAACCAAAGTCAGCCAACTCTAGTGGCCATCCCCGTCCCTGTTCCCCTGATGCCTCCACAAGCCGATGAGAGTATAGTCCCCTCGGTAGAATCCGGTAACCCTCAAGCTCCTCGTAAAGAAGCATATATGCAGCCTGATCCCTCCAAACTCGACTCTCTGGCACGTACAGCTTTTGAGCTGTATGAGAAGCGATCATCCTCAGGTCTCTATCTTAACCCGTTGGTAAAGCGGAAAATCGGACGAGGGCGCCCGCGAAAAGCATTCATAGCAACCTTCAAGCTGCCCGAGCTAGCGCAATTTGACTGGTTCACAACGGAGCTGGATCAAGAGCAGATCGTGCCTGAGAGTCAAGTCGTAGAGACACCAAACCGTGTTTCTGCAAGTCTCGCTACACCAAGGGAAGAGACAGTCGATTCACATGATACACCTAGAGCTGAAATAACGCCCGAAGCACCTTTCCAATCGCAGTCGCCAAGCAAAGAGGAGACACGCGAGGATGTTCAGAACTGCACTCCACCTCCGTCGATAGCCAGCAATACTGTCATAGTCGAGTCCGAAGAACTGCCCATTCCTAGCGAGGTTAACTCAGAAGCGCTGGTACAATCGACCTCAGAGCCTTTGGATGCTAGTCAAGATACTCAGGCGGACGTGGCTGTGGCTACTGGCCTGACAGAAGGCGTAGCACAGCCCAACACTCTCACCGAAGATCTAGAGAAACAGTTGCTGCGAGCATGTGCACCAGCAGCCCGGATGATAGATACACAGGCGGACGTGCATATGGTTACTGGCTCGACAGAAGGCGAACCACAGCCCAAAAACCTTACCGAAGATCTGAAGAAACAGTTGCCTCGACCATGTGCACCAGTAGCCCGGATGATAGGAGGTTGGGCTCCTATCAACGCATCAGCGCGTTCCAGCACCACACCGTATCGAAGCCCTTATGCCACAAGCCCAGCCCCGGAAGCTCGTTCACCCAGTCAAGATGCAAGTACCACACAGAATGGCAGGGGACTGACTCCACTCGCCCCAGATCTCCAGCGTTCGTACTCTGTATTCGAAGATGTCGCCTCCCTTCCCAAAGACATCCATACCGCCATCGTGGAAACCCCCGCGCCTTCTATACCAGGCATAAAGCCCAGATCAAAAGACCAAGAAAGGGGTGGGAGTCAGCTGCGCTTCAGACAAAACATCATCATGGATATCTTCAAACTATGCAACGGAGTTTTCCCTGGTGGCGGCGAAATTGCAAGGCCATTTCTCACGCTATGGAAACAGCGTCACCCGAATATCAAGGCGCCATCTCTCAGCACCATTACTGAAACACTTCGGACGATGTCTCTGATCCCAAAGTTTGGGCTGAAGCACTGGAACTTTGCCTCATACAACAAGAATACCCCAGGCGTCACTACTCGAAGGATGTATACCTGGGCTTCTCTCAATGAGAGGAGCCCACAAGTTCAAAAATTAGCCTTCAATATGGCTCAGTACTCTCATATAAAAGAGTATTCCTGGAGGTTATCAGAGAAGTCTCTGTTATACTACCCGGAGGAGGTACGGCACCTCATTGGTGACATCGTTTCCTATCAACCAGTCCAGGCTCCCCCCAAAGATGAAAGCATTATTCTCAACCAGCTGAATCCCGACCTCGAAAGGCAACTCGACGAATCCAAGGCTCGGCGGCGCTCTGAATGGAGCAAGCAGACGAGGTTGGAGGTCAAAGCTCGTAATATACAGAACGCTCAAGTTGAACGAGCGCTTTCGCAGCAACTTGTGGGGTCTGGCGGTGCATCGCATGGGAAACGTGCACGACTTGCGAGCTTGAACGACACAACCAAGACCCTTCGACGGGCTCCACTATATTCTGCAGACATCGATACGCTGGACGAAGACTCAGATGAGGCGGAGACTAGCGAACACGACACTGGCACGAGCAGACCTGGCCAACTTTCACTTTCCTGGGTGCGCCCTATCGTTCCGCATGTTCCACAACGTAAGCCGGTACCAGAAGATGAAGAGTCAGAGGACGATGAAAGCGATGAGGATCCCATGGATTGGACATTGGAGCCTGTAGAGCGCATCACCAACGATCAAGACTCGCCAGCTTCAACGGGGCCCGACCGAAGCACCTCCGCAGAAGACGCTGTCACTATCCAGAAGAGCAAAAAACGGATCAGAATTGTGACTCCCGGCGGCCAGTCTCCCAGAAAGAGAGCTCGCAATAGCACATTGTCTGCTTCCCAGTGTGGCAGCGACGACGACGTGCAATCTGATTCGTACACCGAAGATGAGACAGACGATGACCAAGATTCTTTGCAAACGAAGGCGAAGAAGCAGAGAGTCAGAGCTTTCAGATCACGCCAGAATGGCCGATCTGGGCCTCCGCCGACGCTGATCGAACGCTTGACAGGTCTCACAGGCGACCCGAACGATCCAATCTACCAAATTCCTCAGCGCGCGTCACGACCTGGTTGCCCGTCACGATCTTGGAGTGAGAGAAAGAAGAGGAGAGTAGGTAAACACAAGAAAGAGCGACACTACGCTGAGGTCATTGATCCCGTGGACGAAGTCAAGAAGCAGCTCTGCACATTTGTGGTCATTTCCTCTTTGTCCGGTGAAGATGGATACATCGATTGGAGTCTTGTTCGGAAGGCACATGCTAGAGACAGGTTCTTTGATGCTACGAAAGCTCGCAAACTTTGGGAGTGGATGCAGACGAACATGGCCGAGCAAGTTGAGAAGCTCACTACAAACTTCCAGTCGCTATATCTGGAAGCGTATGAGGCTAGCAAAGTTTCTCCCATTGAAAATCCCGAGACGCACGATTGGGCGGAACTCGTGAGATGGGCTGTGCGCAAGTGTACATACCCTGAGATTCCTCTACCACTACTCCAAGAAGCACTTGCTCAGTTCACTGTCCAAGAGTCTAACTACGAGAATCTGGATCGAGTCAGATGGTTCAAGGTTGGTGCAACAGATCGTAACAGAGCAATGCTCCAGCTGCACACTTCGTACACGGCCCCTCTTCATCGATCACGCAAGGCAACTTGGTCGGCCGAAGAGAAGCTGCTGAAGGCACGATCTTGGGTACGAGCGAACACGGCAACGTCACAAGCTATTTATGACGGCACCCTGGCACACGAAAAGTTCAAGAAGCTCGATGAGACTACACTCGTCAACGTTGTGGGAGACTTTGTCGACAAGCAACATCTGAGGATGAGAAAATTGAAGCGCCTCTTACCCGGCCGCAATTACAACTTCACACAAGCCCTGGCGAAGAAGTACGTGCGTTCATTCCAACTCGACGACTTTATGCACGCAGTCGCGGTCAAGAAGAGAATGGATGCTGCATTCTCAGATGCAGATCCTGGCATGCGTTATTACAGTATATCGCGTTGCGAAGAAGATGCGTCTTTCGCAGCAGTGATGACTATGGTCGGCGAAGGAGCGGTCAGGCTGGTACCTCAGCTACCTCCTGTCAATAGTGACCATGGCGCACCGCTTCCAAGACTGTCAGTATGGGGCTTCTGTGAGGGCGGCTACCAGCATCGGGCTATCGACCGCAATCGCTTGTTCTGGGACATTCATGTTGTGCCTACAGCAGACTACAAGTTTGGCAACCCACTGCAGCCACTATCCTCGCTACTCGCGTCTATGGATAGTGACGAACACGCTGTTTGGTCGAGCCTTCCTGAGCCCCCGCTCCCTGGCAAGGATAATCCTGACGCATTGCTACCCATATGGAGCAGCATCGACGGAAGAACTGTGACATGGCCGTGGTGGTACCGTGTTCTCAACCTCGTGCTTCTACCCTTCATCTTCTTGGCAGGCGCAACCGCTGCGGACATACAAGCCCACTGTCCCGAAAACACAACCGAGCTTTTCGAGATTGAGCTCGTTCTGGAGTGGCTCGAATCTATCAACGCGATCAAAAAGACGGTTGGTGGATACATCACTGGACCGTACTTCTGGGCTGTCTTCGGTGACCAGCTGCGCGATACGGAAAACGACTGGTTCGGCGAGCATGCCAAGCGCAAGGCAAAGAATCATGAAAAGCAGCGTTGGCGCGAGGACTACAATCTCAGACACTCTACGCTACAGGCCCGCAATGCGCAGCAAGATGGAGGTGGTGTAACTTCAGCTGTACCTGCGGGGGAGACGAGCACTAGTCGCCAGATTCTTAAGAACCCAAAGCAGCAGTACAGGATTGTGCATGAAGCTCTCGATGCTGAGAGGGCGCAAGCGGAGAAGGATAGATCAGTGTTTACGGCTAGGAACAGTCCCACGGCTACCCAGAACCAGACCAACCACGTCGCTACCACTGAGTCAAAGGCGAGCGCATCGCAGACACCTGAGGCTACAAGCACGTCAGGTGATGATGTGTATATGCCAGATGCGGGCATTGATGCAGAAGGCGAGGAAGATATTGACGCTGAAGGTGAGATCGACGATGGCATATACTGAGGCGGATTGCTGCCTTGTATGTGTAACGAGAGATGATGCAGAGGAATGGCCTTTGTGCAACGGTGGAAATTTGTTTTCTTACATTTTTCGATATTCGGTTTCGATATCTTGTGTTTTTAGTACATGTATGCATAGCGAAGGCGCGTTAGCTTGATGTGGTTTCACCACAGAGATAGAGTGAAGCGAGAGTCTAGATATAGTGTGTAATGGATACGATGCAGAGATTTTGCAATATTGCTGTCTGGTGTTTGCTGCGAGAGAAGGTGTGAGATGACATAGTGAAGTGGTGCGAGTAACATGAATCAAAGTATACTAGACTCGTACAACCTTCTTGCATGTACAGATTCGCAGGGGTATTTTAATCCAGATCAAGCAACAATTGTTAGTGAAAATCGTGTATTCCAACTACCTCAAGCCCAGCATCCATCCCAAAACTCCGATGGAAACCCCTAACCAATCCCATCCCTTTCCTTTCTAAGTTGCAATACCACCCTTCCCCTTCCGTCCTGTAAGAACCCACTCCTCCCCCCTTCTAAATGTCTCCTTCCTCAACACTCCAAACTTCCTTCCAATCCACTCCTCAATCAGCACCTCCTCCTCTTCGTCACTCTCCCCCATCACCCTAACCTTGGTCCCCATCTCCGGCCGCTGCAAATACGCAAACGAAAACCGCGTCCCCATCGCCTGCCCAGGCAACGGCCCAACCCTATGCAACGCCGACTTTGTCCTTCCCCCCGTCAACATAGCCAGCGCATCCCCCAGGTTAACAATAGCGCAGTTTGCGCGGGGGGCGACAAACTCCCAGTCCGAAACCCGATCCGCGGCGGCGGTGGGGTTGGGGGAAAGGATTTGTAAACCGGGTTCGTTGGAGAAGAGAACGGTTAGGGAACCTATGTCGGTGTGGGGTGTGTGTACGATACCGCGTTCGGAGAGGGGTTGCGCGTGCACTTTTAGGAGGCGCAGGATGCAGGGGGAGGGGTGTGTGGGGCGGTGGGAGTGTTCGAGGCGGGAGGGGTTGGGTAGGTTGAGCTGGGTGGAGAGGGTGGTGTAGATGGTTTTTGTGAGGGTTTGGGCGTGGTGCATGAAGGTTTGGACGAGGGGGAGGTGGGAGGATAGGAGAGGTGGGTATGCGTATTGGGTGGGGTTGAGGTTGAAGATGGCGTTTTTGGGGATCTGAGGGGTGGGTTAGATTGGGGGCTGGGGCTGGGGAGGGTAATACGTACAGCCCAGCTTTCATGTCCATCTCGGTTTCCGGGTAGGCCGCCTATGTTTCTGCCAATGGGCTTGTAACCACTCAGTTTCATGGTTCCTTGTTTATCCACGTCGTAATTCATCTTGAATTCGTCTGGAAGGTCGAAGAGTTCATGCTCTAGTTTGTATATGCCGTTGACGGTAGCGGCGAGGTCCTCAAACTCAGGCATGTTCTCGTAGTTTAGATAGAAGAAACCTGCTTCTGTGGCTGCTTGCCAGAGCTTCTGCTTCTCGTCCGCGTCATCGGATCGCAGCTTTTGGAAATCGATGGTTGTAAGGGCTGCGAGTGGGATGCCAGCGGGCATTGTAGGGATGATAGGTGCTACCATTGTGGAATTCGAATTACTATGTGTTTGACGATGAGGAGGTATGAAGGGAAGATTGTAAAGCTTACCAAATGGAAGGAACGGAGCAGCCACATCGAGCTCCCAACAACCACAATAATCACATGTCATTAGCTTCTTTCAGGGTCTAGCCTTCGTAGCTACCCTGTGATGAGCGGATAGCTACGCAAGTCACTCAACGTCATCAGCATGGCAACGCGGATGCAGTTGCTTTGCAACATAACATCCAGCACAATTTGTGAACCCGGAATCATTCACAGTCACGTTACAAGCGCGCCCGCTCTAGTACTCAGTGTAACGGGTATTTCGCGCGCCTGTGGCCTAGCTTTGAAAGCAGGGGTATGGGTATATGCAACGTGCGGAACGGTGCATCGGAACCTGTCAGATGGAACAGTTGGTCCGGGGCCATGGTCACTCACTGGGTTACACTAGGAAAGCATTGATCGGCATTTTCCACCGTTCTTGCCCGCTGGTTGCTGTGGAACCATCTTCTAGAACAGTCACTGGAGCGCTTGTAGGATGTATCAACGACAGACTAATTCGTTTCTAGATAGCTTTATTGCCCTCGTGGTACCAAGACAGCTAATTTAGATCGCTTCATTAGCGTCCTATATTTACAGGATTACGTACCGCCCAACTGGTTTGCTGAAAACTCTCTCCTACCTCACTTGAGCTCAGCCTGTCTGTATTTTACATTGATATAGCTAGTCTAGACGGAAGGCTGGTCACGCTCGACTATTGCTATGACCGTTTCTAAGGCGGTAGGGTAATGTGAAGACTATTCATTCTCTAGTAGGTAGGCAAATTATGTGTAAAAGTTAGGTTGGAATCTGCCACTGCAGCAACATGTCATTCAATGGTACACATTTAGAAATTATGAAAAAACATTAGTGTAAGACTTTGAGACTTTGATTTATTTTTGGAAGTCTTTGTGCTTCTTCTGATGATCTAATGTACATATGATGCCTGTGCTTCCAGACTATGGTTTGGTGCTGTCTTGAAGAAAGCTGTCTGCAAAGCCGCAGTAAGATGCTTAGAGCTAAGATGTTCCCAGCATTCAACCTATACATCCATAGCCCCATTTTGGGCTCATGGTAGAAAGTAAACGCAATCTTTTCGAGACTAGACAGTAGGCAGTACGACCTTGTCGAGTCCTGGGGAACTAGCATCCAGCATGGTCGAGTGCTCAGCCACCATACCTGGAGTCATCGGTAGGGTCGCGTCGAATATCATGCCAGCTGGTGGGCTTGAAGGCCAGATGGTCCTTATGGGCTGGATTCTCCACAGGAGTACCGTCAGCACCGTAACGCATGGCACCTAAGTGATAAGACCCTATGGTAGAGTATGACAAGCGTTTGCCATCTGGAAGCTCGTACAGGACAGGTTTTGGGCCATGCTTGAGCGCAGCAAAGGCCTCAGATACAGTGAACATGACAGGTGGAGGCCTCGGACTTGATTTTGCGACCCAACGTTCCTTATTGTCCTTGCTCTCTTCGTTCATTGAACCCCACTTCTTGTTCTTACTGTCTACGTTCATAAGACCCTGCTTCTTGCTCTTTCTGTCTTTGTTGACTGTACCACACTTCTTGTCCTTAGCCTCTTCGTTTGTCGAATCTTGTTTCTTGTTAGCCAACTATCGCCCTCCCAGCTTTGCCCAGGCATCTGACCTTGGTGAGACGAACTCGCGAACGTCTCCTTCCGAACCGCTGCCGAATTTGGTACACGCCACCTTATCTCCCCATCAGAGTCTTCCACTGCGTCTGCTTCACTGGGCAACTGGTATACCGATGCAAGCTTTCGGGGTGGTCCTGTTGCAGACTTGCGAGATGACTCCGCAGGAGGGTTGTATGGCACACTTGCTGCAGTCGTGTGAGTGAAAGCTATTGGAGGCACATAAGGCAATCCTGCTGCGGGCCTGAGAGGTAGACTGAGGCTAAGATGATCAGACGAGTACACGAAGGGCTGCGGCCTGTAAGAGCCCGTGTTTGCGCGATCGTTTGGTCGGCTAGACTGAGCGTCGTCGTCGTCGTCTAGGGCGCGCTTCTTGCGTGGCCGAGTCCTTGTCATGATGGACGATGAGGTAGGGTAGAGCTGTAATTGTTCTACACACGAGGGCCCAAGGTTGAAGTAGAGGAAAGAGCTAATGGTTGTGGAAAAGACTGAGCAAGCTCAAGAAATCGAAGCCGCAGTAATTTAAGAAAGGTAGATTCGAGAAAGTGACGAAGGTGAATCTCAAGAAAGACCGCACGGCCCACTAACCATACGCTAGCGCACGCTCGAGGAAGGCACACCTCCAGATTTCCCAACTCCCAGCCCATTAACTCCGGCCCATTGCCAGGCAACAGCAAGAGACCATGAACCGTACTCATGATGCTGTGATACCGACCCAAACTCCAACGCCAAAAAAACCCACCCCCAAAGAACATGAGAAAGACAAAGCCTATGCAATGAAATGTTACACAATCAAGCCCTACTTTGAGTTTGTGTCTTTTCCCTATAGTCCTGCAGTGCCTCTGCAAATCCAGACCAGGATTGCCGGATTTTCGGGTTGCCCCCCATCGTCTTAATGTAGTGCTCGTCCACATCGTGAAGTGTCTTTCCCTTGTGCATACCTTTTGGGAACCTCCAGGTATTTGATATTGAGGAGCGGCTCGAGGTACCGTTGGGGGCACCACGGGAGGGGCCACTTGAAGGACCGCTTGGAGCACCTCGCGGGGGGCCACTTGAAGAACCACTTGAGTGACCATTTGATGACGGATTCCGGGGTCCTCGTGGTGCTGACGGCGGGGGCTGTGACCGTGATGGCCCAGCCTGAGACGGCCGGGTCTGTGTTTGTGGTGCTTGTTGTTGTACTTGATTATACGATGATTGGCTTTGTGCCTGTACCGGTCGCGTAAAGCGTATTTGTCCTGGCATAAAATGGGATTTGTAGTATTCAAACGCCTCCTTCAAGCCTGGGTGCTTGTCCACGAAGATGTATAGCTGGCCGCCGATAGTTTTCAGGTAGGGATCTGATGGGTTCGCAAGAATGTCAGCAAAGCGCTTGCCCGAATTTATTCCCCAATTGAACACATAGTCGCGACCCGGATTGTATGTCTCTGGCTGAGCTGCCGGTGCTGGTGCCTCTGGTACAGCTCTCGCTCTTGGTGCTGCGATAGTCGGTGGTGGAACTCTGGCCGTTGGTGCAGCGGCGGCCTCCTCGCTCGTCGCGCTGCTAACACTCAGTCGCCGAGAAGCTGGTGATGGTGCAGAGGAGATGTTGGTTCCCGAGTGTGGAGTCGTATCTTCCTGGAACAGGCCGTACCGTGTGCGAGTCGTCGGTAGATTTAGAGGATAGCCGGCCCGGCGCATCGTCTCAAACTTCACCACCGCCTCAGCTACCGTGAACATGACTTGCGCTTTTCCAGGCCTACTGAAGCTTATCAAGGGCAGACCCGCCTGCACGTTGATAGCGATATCGTCGGCGTCATGCATGTCGTCTTCGTCGATGTCGTCGGAATCTGTCTCGCTGTCTGAACTAAGTTCTCCATCTTCTAGCACAATGTCGTCGTCTCTGCTTGCGCGATAGAGGGCATTGAAATCGTTCCCTCCCGACAGGGGTATGAAATCTTCCTCCATGTTGTTGCCGCGACTTTGCTGATTCTGCGATGCATGTCCGTTGTTATTTTGTGAGAAGCGACCGCCATTGTTTCCTCCGCGTCCTCCTCCACGTCCGCCCCGTCCTCCGCGCCCGCGTCGTGCGTTGTGTATCGCCTTTTGCTTTGCTTTATGTCGGATCGGGGGAGGTCCAGCCGGTTTGGAAGGCTTCGATTTGCGATTCGCAGCCGCGCTCGCGCGCCGTTGTTGGCAAGGGCGCGGCATTTACGAGGTGTGGAGTTGTGAATTGGGTATGGATGACGATTGTGGGATGGGTAACTTTCAAAGTTCAAAACGCTCGGTCCCACGCCTATCACTATCACCACCAACATTCCTTTACCGCACTACCTTTACCTGATTACTCGTTGAAAGAAACTCGGGCAAAGCAGAAAGCATAGTCTAATGTACATGTCAAGAAATTGGGTTGTATAGATGTTATTGAAATTGAAGCATGCTACTATCTGAGTATTCAGTCCTACGTCCTCCCCACAAACCTTTTTCCCCCTCGTAATAGCCAGAATATTCCAGCCCAGCATGTTAAAGACATAGGGTACCATTGAAACGATAGCGATATCTTGAGCGGAATCACCAGCTGCTTCCCGCCGTTCGGATCAAAGCAAGTAAAGGGGTTCACAAGCAAAGACCGCAGAATCGAAGAATTACAGGGTCACGTATGTTATAGGCGTATTTGTAAGGGATAAGATGATTCCTGCAAGACACACACCATACGATGTAGTTCTACTATCTGCTAGTGGATAGTTTTGAGACTGCAAGCTAAGATCGGACAAAGTTGACATATCAAGAGCCACCAAATATATACAAGAACAGAAATTTCATCTCACTATCCCACACTTCCCCAGTCCAGCTCTCCTCCATCTCTCCCTTCCTCGGCCCCCATCTAACCCTCAGTTCGCAGCCGTCCACAGCGCTGGCCCAGGGAATGGGTAAGTGGTAGGGTTCGTGTAAACATTAAACACCAGACCCGGCAACTCCTTCGTGTACAAGCTCGTACCGGGCACGCCTCCAGTTGGCGCAACAGTACCACTGCCACCGACCTTGAGGTTGATGCACTGCGGGTACAGCTGCGCACCGTTGACGTTGGAAGCAGCATGCAGAGCAATGATTTCATGGCGAATGACGTAGTTTCCCGGTGCCAGCTTAGCAGGGAGAATCATTGAGGTCTTGAAGTTGTTCTTGATGAGGAGGTCGGTGATCCAGGTGCCAGGGCTGACAATTGCGGATTGTGTGATTTTGGACCAGCGGAGGGCGGTGGAGGAGAGCGTGCTGCAGTCGCCTGTGGTATGGCTAGTTAGTACAACACGCTTGTGATTGTGTTTTTAACGATGGGGATACGTACCGTTGCAAGGAGCAATGTAGTTTATGATTGGGCCGGTGTGACCGACTGGCCAAGTGTTCCAGACGAATTCTATGGTATCTCCAGGGTTAACGTTGGCGTAGAGTTTGCCGGCTGTGGCACTCTTGTGGCAGTTGACGTCTGCTGTTCCGGCATTCGCGGGTTCAACGAAACCAATGTCTTGGTTGAGAGCATCCCAACCTGCGGTCTTGGGACGGTTGTCCTTAGGGGCATATATCCATAGGGGATCCGACCCGTTGGTGAATGTGCCTTTGATGTTCACACCCTTGACGAAACCGTGGGCGGATGCCGTGTCAAGCAAGACAGCAAGGGCGCCGAGAAGTAGGGCAGAGGCATACATTTTTCTGGTATCGGAAGGCTCTTGTTGTTGCTGTATCGTTGGATAGTTGGCATTGGTACTCCCTCTTATATGCCATCTTGGAACTGTTCGTGGTGTTACCACCTTCTCGAATATTTCCCAACAGGATCCGGACGACTCTGCCCGGTCATTTCCGGTAAGTCAAGACTTCCATAGTATTCCAATATTATGTTAGGCCTATTGTCGACGAGCTTGTAGCGGCAATCGGCATGGTTACCAAGGCGAAAAATAGCTTTTCACCCTCCAACTTGCTGCCATGCATGTTGCGTGGCTCCTATGGCCTGTTGTAACTAGGAATATGACTGGAATCAAAGCCACTGATATTACCGCTATATTATACCTGCCCCGGGTTTGGCTGTGGCGTGCAGTGTTGTGCATTGCGACTACAAGATCGGATGTTCTTATTGCGTATGAAACCTAGGTGTTCCGCGATTAATATAACTTCCCCGGGAGGCTCATCTCAGGTGCCGTTAGCGAGCAATGTATTATTCCAGATGTAGAAAAGGACGCTTAGATGATCCTAGATTCTGTCTCAGGCTTGTCACGCGAATAGAATCCGATGCCTAGTGGATGGAGAATTCTCCTGCGACCACTTAATCGTGTTCCACGGATCTCTGATCTCTGGAGCTTTTCGCTTGACACCGGAAATTTTATAGTATCAAGTTGGATAGACGGTCGTCCGATTCCACCTATCGAAAGCAGTAGTCTGGGTTCTCTGCACATATGATGCCGTCTGAGAGTGAATGGGCAGTCATAGGCTTCACCTGATGCTGTCGGCTAAGTACCATTAGGATCCACGAATGATGAACATAATCGAGAACAACGAAAACGAATGTGAATCGCGATGGAAGACTCAAAGGAGACACCATGGTGAGAAAATGGCATGCAGTGGGCGTAGTGTTTCGCGGGGCACGCTGGGCGCTAACGAGGTACCTAAGTATCTACTTATCACTCAGCCATTCCTCGCCCGTATCCCCGTCGTATCCCCACCGACGACGTCTCTGTCACCACCAGCGCACACCAAGCGTACCAGTACATGAAGATTGATCATGTGCACCATGAGCAACACGCGCAGGCCACTCCAAGACCTGCGTACCGAAGATCCTCAATAACAGTGACCTCACCACGCCGCCCTAACGTCCTTGCCCAACCTTAGTACCTCAATCCATAGCCCAGTGCAATCATACTCCATGAACGCAAAAACTTACCAACGAAGAACCGCGAATTTTACCTCTGCAGGCTCATCCGGAGAGCAACAAGGCGTACTGTGTTAGCGCCGCGGTACTTTGGTCACCACAACCCCGCTCGCAGCTTGCAGCAGGCAACCGCCGTATAACCCAGATTCGGTAGGTACAAGGAAAGCGGGGATCGTCAGACACCCCAGCATAGGCAGCGATAGTCTCCTTTGAAACACCAAAGCGCGCGTGAATAACGGCGCAGTTCTGTTGATCGATCACAAATCCTCCTGCTGATCCCGCCTGTGTTGTTCATCCAAAGTACAAAGGTTAGCTATCAGCCGCTTGTCAGCCGCATACCTATACTTGACAAATACGTCCTTGTTCCAAGATATCCGCGTCTCAACTCCATTTTCTCCGCCGCTGGTTTGTTGAACAAATCTGTTAGTGTCTACGGCATACCCTTCATCAGATTGCTTTTTGGTTCCTTTCACCGACTTTAAAGTACCGGATACCTTATATTCCGGCAAACACCACCTTACAACAGAAGAACACGTACACCTCTCTCTCTCCAAAATGTACACCACCAACTTTCTAACCACCTTGACCACCCTCATCCTCCTCGCCTCAGCACCAACAAACGCTCGAGTCATCCCACCCCTACCGCCTCACATCTTCCGCCGCAACACACCAGCACAATCGCCAGCCCCATCACTGAACGATAAATGCACATTCACCCTCTTCCACAAACAACTCCTCACAACACCATCCTCCCGTGACCGAACAAACTACATCCAACTAAACGCTCTCACCGACAACACAAACGCCCTCACTATCGACATCGCAGCACAGAGATCCCCCGCGGAACGTAACTCATACGTCAAAGCCAGCGAGCAAGATGTTTTCGTCGTAGGAGGGTTGTTGGATAATGCTAGTTTGAGTATCACTGGGAGAGAGGGGAGTGATGTTTTGGAGTTGGAGAGTGACGGGCGGAAATGGTCGACTGTAAGGGCTGCGAAAGATGTGGAGGGGATGGTGGCGTGGTGTAACGCTGGGGAGTGGAATGAGGGAGGGAATGGTAGTAGGGTGAGTTTGGATTAATTGTATGAATGTGTGATGTAAGGGTGATTGCTAATACGGTGTGCAGGAACGGAGTGTGGAGTGTGGGTTTCCCTGTGCGAGGATTGAGGAGGCGGAGGATGAGGAGGAGAGGGAGGAGCTGCGGTAGCCTGTTTCCATAATGGGCTCTGCTGATAGATATGGATTGGTTGTCGAATAGTCCGACCTATTGGAGACATGCTAGTTGTTCTTCCCGCGTCCCCTGAGAAGATTCACTGAAGCAGAGATTAATCCATAGTGTCACTGCTGTCGGCGAGTATATGCTGGTCGAAAGACGAGAATAAGAATGAATCAAACAAATTATATACAACACGTCAATTCCGTACATCGTGATTGGAACATTCCAGGCAAAGCAGCTTTCAATAGCTCATCATTCAACACAAAGATATAGCTATGATACCTAAGAAAAGCCGAACCCCGAAGCGACAAGAGTCACATCCCGCTATTTCGTACAAAGAAACAGAACAAAACGCCAGACACCTCATCCCTTTTGTCACAGTTGGCATGCAACAAGCCACCAGGAACGAACAAGTCTCCTCCACCACAACAGCCACATGTTCTCCCTCCCTTCACTCATGCACCCTTCTCCCATCTACTTCCTCACCGTCTTCGCCGCCTTGCTAACAACCTTGACCAACTCGCCATACGCCTCAGCAAACTCGTCATCGCCCTCACCCGCCTTCTTCCCCATGCGCTCCTTGCCAATCATGACGACGCTGGTAGGCCTCTTGGTCGCGCTGGCCTCGCCCAGCTGCGCGCGGCTCTTGATGTAAATGTACGGCACGTTGTGGTCTTCGCAGAGAACGGGAATGTGCGCAATCACATCCATGGGCGAGATGTCGGCTGCGATGACGACAATGGCAGAGGGGTGGTCTGACAGCGAGGAACCAGCGCCTGCGGCCGCGGATTTGCGGAGCGCTTTTACCACTTCTTTGACGCCGCGGCGGAGGGTTTTGGATTTGGCGGCTGTGAGGGTGGTGTTAGTTCTGTGTCTTTTTTTTACGCGCGCTGGGGAAGTGCAAGGCTGAGTTATGTGGGAAACATACATTTCTTGACAGTCTTGAGGATCTTCTTGACTTCCTTGTCTTGGTCGGCGAGGGGGAATGCAAAGGGAACGAGCGCGCCGCGAGGCTCGTCGTCGCCGTTTACAACGTTGACCATGGAGACTTCGGGCTCCTTCTCAAGCTCGGCCTCGAGCGCATCGACCATTTCGACATCGCCTTTGGACTTCTTGTCCTTTTTGTCCTTCTTGTTCTTGGAAACGCCTTCCGTCTCTGCGCGCTTCTTTTCCTTCTTCTCCTTCTTGTCCTTCTTCAGTCTCTTTTCTTCAATATCTTTCGACATTTTCGAATCTGTGCGATGGGTTTCTGCGTAGGAGGTTTGGGAAGAGACAACACGCTGGTTGTGGCTAGTAATGCGTCGTGGGGTGGGCTGGTTGCGATAGCTGTGCCTTCGAAATTTTGGAAAAGTTCAATTGGAGCTCGAGGCGCTAGGCATGCAGTGTGGTCCGTGGGCAACCACTGTCCATTAGCGGCTCCACCCAACATCAACCATCCATGGTCAGCAGCATCATTAGTAACGTCACGTTAGGAAACTTTTGCTGGTTCAAATAGTCGAGGGAGATATTTTTTGTACAGTACTATCTTAGTTCAAATACACCTTGCTCCAACATTCATCAATCTACTACCTGGATATTACCCGTCCCGTCGCCGCAAGGACAAATCATGATATACTCTGCTTTATGCAGGACAACAACTTGATAGCACCCAAACGAGATGATAGGAAATGCAAACAGGAAGAAAACAGTTATTAGCAAGAAGGCAGAGGCAGCGCTAACAGCGGAACCGAAGTAGACTGAAAACGTGCATGGGGCCAGCCTCCATTAGTCCAGAAATGCCGATGATGGGTATGAGCGTGAGAAAGATATTAGAAGGGTGAGAAACAGCGTGAGCAGAGGCTCGAGCGTGTAGGAATCTGGACCATACCATCCCCGTGCGCCGTATTACCCAGATCTTGAGAGAGAGAGAGAGAGACAGAAAGAGATGAAAATGCATGACCAATGGTACGCCTACCAAACGCCATGCCATGCTCCCAAATGCGCGGAGACGACTACAGTGAAAAGATGGAGGAAAATGAAGGAATAACAAGAGACATCGCAAGCACAGACTAGCGATAATGCGGCCTAGTAGGCCATTTGCATCTCAAGGACTTGAACACCGCCGGCAGCCATTGACGGTGTAGCAGACCCGGATCGCGACGACATTGCGTCTTCATAGCCGACGAGGGCTTGCGAGTGAAGCTTGAAAGCTTCGCCCATGAGTTTCGTAATACTGTGCAACGTTAGCGACAAGTCTCGCATAAGTATTGGACGATTCACATACCCCCAAACAACAACTTCATCGATCATGCTACCCCAAAGCCGTGCGACTGTGGAGCTCAATTTTGCACCATACACGTCCACAGAATCATCATCGAACAAGTTGCGCAACTTGTTGTACATGGCGAGTTCTTCTTCGGTAGCTGGCTCCTCGTCGTGTTCGAGGCGGTAGAGCCATAAAGTGAGAATGACCATTAGATCCATTCCAGTCAGAGGGTGCTCGATGCTCCAATTTGTTGCAGAAGTACGAGCAACCCAGCGAATGCCTTGCACAGCAGCCACTTCAATACAGTCGAAGCACTCTTGGATGACTTTGATCATCTCAGGCGACCGCTGGACCTTGTCGCGAGCGTTCGTCATGGCAGCAGCGACTTCATACGAGTCGTGGTAGCGAAGAGCTTCCTGGATCGACTTGAGGTCTACCACGAGTCGGGCGCGGGTGTTCCTGTACAACGCCATGGCGTTGAAGATCAGAGGGTGGCCCTTGTGAGGGGCGCTCAACTGGACCACAACGGTTTCCGGCTCGCACAGCTCTAGTGATTTCTCCCAGGTCTCCAGCGCCAGTCGGAGCTTGTACTCTGTGACTACATCTTGGAGGGCCTCTGGACTCCGCTTGTGGTACCACACTTCTAGGAAAAGTGCGTTAATCATGACACGAGTAGCAAAAGCGCTATAGCGGGCAGTCTCGCCTTGGAACAAGTTGTCATGTGCTTGTCGGAATGTAATGATCTTGGACGACGTCAGGCTTTCTCGCCAGGCTTCATCATCTGAAACCTCCATGGTCCATAGTGATTCGGACGACGGCAGCTCGAGGGTGTCAAACTCGTTGAAGCCCATGGCTGGAGTGTGGTTGTAGGTGAGAGTCAGCAGACCGAAAAAGATGTAGACAGCATAGTAGGTTCGCCTGCATTGCTCATCGACGACCCACTCCTCATGGTTTGGCTGAGCACCATTGCGAGCATCTGATCGAAGCTTAAGCTCGTAACGGTTACCAGCGACCATCTGTCACGTGTTAGAAAGGAGCATAGCAAGCGACGACATGTTACATACATTGGCAAGAAGACTCTTAATCGAACATGCCCACTCGAGTCCCTTTGGATCACCGCTCCAGCTGGAGAAGATCATGTTCAACAGCGTGCTCTGCATGGTCCACAAGGGGCATTTGCGAGAGCTGAAGTTTTCTTTGTTCTGCAAGAACTGATTGACAAGAACCTTTGATCCGATGTGGAGCATGTAGGCCTGGTCTTGGTCGAAGATGTACAGGGCACCTATCGATAGCACCGCGAGCAGTAGTGGGGCAGACACTTCAGTGGGGTTGAACGTGGCAGGGTGCAGGAACGGGAGGTGGTGGTGGAACAGATCAAAGTACGTCTTCAACAGGCGGTTCAGCGTGTTCAGACTCGGCAGGTGGAACGTCTCTAGGAGCGCGCTTTCGCTGTCATACTGCTTGATGTTCTCGTAAATCCTAGCGCACTGTTCTTCAGAGTCAAGCTGGGGGGCTCGGGTCATCATCAGCGCCTGGTTGGGACCGGGCGACTTGCGGTAATCAACAGGCGACACGGGCCCCATCATGGAGGGGTACGGCGAGAGAGCACCAGGCGTGCCAAGACCATTGCCACCGTTCATGGCTTGGAAGGTAGGCGCAAGGGTGTCACTGCCAGACATGGTGCGCTCCATAAGAGGAGGCAGCTGATGCGGATGCGAGCCGAGGGCGCTGGCGGTGTTGAAGGCCGAATGTGTGTTGGGCGACGACTTGGGTTCCGACTGGGGAACCATTGAGTCTCTCCAGGGCATCTGGGGGAGCATGTTCTGGCCAGGGGCGGTGTACGGGATGACGGGCTCCATCATGGACGGGCCGGTGGGCGAGATGACGGGCTCGTTGTGCTCCGGAATCATCTCGGGCTCCTGACTGGCCATTGCCTTGTGGTGGAAGTCGGTCATCAGCATAGCGGCAGCATTGAGATCCTCATCCTCGTGCATGGCATCGTTGTCGGCTTCGATGCGCTCGAGCGTCGTGGCACTCTCAACAAGCGCGGGCTTCGAGGGCCCGGCGTCAGTAGCCTTGCTGGCCGTCCGTCGCTTCTGCTCGCTGGGCAGAGGCGCGCCGCCATCCTTTGCGTGGACGGTGCGGTCGTGGCGCAGGAGAAGGTCGCGCCGCACAAAAGTGCTGCGGCACTTGAGGCACTTGAATGGGCGCTCTTTGGTGTCTGCAGTGAGGGGCAGTTAGCAACACCGTCTCTCTCTTCCCCGCAGCGCGACCACGGCGCGAGTGTCCCGCATCAGTAAACAGCTACCCCGCTCTAAACAAAGCAAGCTCCATCGCGACGCTGGGTGGGGGACTTACGAGAACGCTCGTGGCGGCTGCGATGCTCGCTCCTGCTGAAGGCGCGGTTGCAAAACTGGCATTTGTACTTCTTCTCGGGCGCGCCCGTCTTGCGGACGGCGGGCGAAGAGTTGCTGGCCATTGCGATCGGCCTCGGAATGGGGATGGGATGCGATTAGCAGTAGATGCAGGCCGCTGCGTGAGGCGTGAGGCCGTGTTGGGACGACCGGCGCGCGTGGGGATTAAAGCGTGTTGACGGGTGAAGTGGACGGGCTGTGCTCTTCGTTCATGCCGCGAATTTGTATACAGAAGGTGCGAACAACACCGGAGTGGCGGGCGAGTAAGAGCAATGGGCCTGCACCGAGATGGGCAGATGGCGGGCAGGGCGCGTTGAGATGGATTGCGAAATCTGAGGGCGGAATAAGGAGACCAAGAGGGGCAGCTGCCAAAATCAAGAGATGGGGAGGGGGGAAAGGCAGAACGCACTGTCCGCCAAATAGCAGCCTCACCAGCCCAGCCATCCCCTGTGATGTCGCGGGACCGAATTAACACGCCCAGCATGACTGCGCTAGTGAGTCGAACGCCATTCAGCAATTGATTGCAACTTGTGCTTTTGCTACTGTCTTGTTGCCATGTGTCCATGTCTATCCCATCGCGCAGTGCATCATGCGTCGCTCTTGCCACTCGTCTCACTCGCGACTGCCCCCCTCCCCGCCAGTGCCAGTGTTTATTTACCACGGCAGCCCTTGACGTGATGCTCTGTGACTCGGCCTTTTCCGTATGTACTGTACTGTACATACAGCCGTAGTCTGAGATACTGCCACAGCCCAGACGCTCCCCACGGCGCTGGCTGGACCCAATTGCAACATGGCAGCCGCCTGGCCAATGGTTTCTTTCACGAGCGCCTTTTTGAGCATGGTTTCGCCGTACCACGCTGCTGTCAGCCGAGTCGACCGTCCGTCCGCCAGTTGTCGCACGACACCGCAAAGAAGCGGTAAGAACGTTCAGTCTACTTTTGCCTGTTGGAGGAGTAGTCTGCCGGGGCGCGAGTTATCAGATGCATCCGGTCCGCATGTCGGCTCACCGCCTCATACCTGCACGCCCTGCGCCATACCAAGACCTAGATACACATGCCAACAAAACACCATGTCCGGTACATATGACAATGACATGCCCACGTCGCCCCCCCCCCCCCCCCCCCGCTGGCCTGGCCTGTATCGGCGGCGATGACGGCACAGATAAAGGGGCTCCCCCTCGCTCGCAAACACCACGGCGCCAGGAGCGCCCTCAAACCTTCACCACCAAATCTTGTGGCTGCGAGTAATTACGAGACGATCGTCGCCTGCCCTCTCTCGTTCCTGGGAACTCTATCCATACCTCCGGGCCACGTTCCCGCTCCCCGGACCCACACTGCTTCTTAGTCTGGCCCACTCATGCAGCAGCCTGCAAGAGCTCGCAGACCGTAGACGCCTTCAAACGTCGCAAAGACACGATGCTTCTTGCAACATGCTTGCACACTTTGCAATAGTACCGAATTGTCATCAGAGCCTCTGACCCGGCTCGGGGCAACACCGTCAGCCTGCCACCATCTCCGGAGAGGCAGTCCAGTAACAGAGTCCGCTAAATATGATGCCCCGCTTGTCTTCCTTGGATCGGGGATGATGCGCCTCTGATCCTGGAGCATATAGCGTGCGTGGGTCGCGGCCTAGCAAACGGTCTTGCTACCAGCTCGCTTGCGCCTCTCACCGTCACTTTCTATACGAGCCCACGACCACCACTGCAACACATGCCTCCCACAAAGCTTCTGGCAACCCCTCTGTGGCCGCTTTATCAGAAGAGGGGCATTGCTTCTGATTGAAACCCCCGCGCTAGTACGCTTTTCGTAATGCTTTAGAAGCGCAGCAGCGCGAGTTTTGTGGTGGTGGTTTCAAGTGGCATTGGATGGTCTGTTCACCCAACACGGACGCGGTAGGACCGGTACTCTGCCGCCTTCGCCGTCAGGTAATTTCAATGTGGTCGACACGGTCGTCATCTCGAGCCGCTCATTGACAAGGGATTGATTGTCTTCACTATGAATCTGACTGGGTAGACCTTCCCGTCTCGTCGAGTATCCCATTACTAAGGTCAGATATGAACAACATTGTGAATCCACCTTGGAGCGGCAGCTATCGCGACCTGCTCACCGTTCATCGCTACTCCATCTCAAACGATGCATGATGCCTCAACAATATTTCCCAGGCTCGGGAGCACCAGATCAAGATCGAATCAATGGCCAGCCCACTCGTCACTCCGGCCCACCAGCCCAGTGTCGCAGAACCCCGACGATGCCAATTCCGCTTCCACGCGACACACCAAGCAGGTTTGAGACTGGCTTCGGCCACTAAGATCCGCAATAATCATTCCGAGCTTCCAATGTGCGTTCCATGCTGAGATGTATTCGTGTCAGTCACCGCCCTCGTTCACATGGACTGAACGAGTGTGGAGTACCATCGTCCGTTCTGCAAGCCTTAGACGTGCTTTTATCGTGCTAAGCCCTCGGATACGGCTCTACCCTTGATGCGTGCAGCCTCATCTCACCAGAGTGAGAGTCAGCACCCGAGCCAAGTGAACGTCTCCCGCTCAATTGTGGGCCATGCAGCAACGCTCCACGCAAACGCGATGCAACGGGAGCACGAGAAACGGTAGCAGAGCAGTCTGAAGGCGAAGACTGCTGGACATGGATCGTGGTGCAAGATCCTTGGTCGAACACGGCATCCGCCCGCCACGGGAGGGAGCTCCTGGCTACCCTGAGGACCACGTTTCATAGCGCAAAGGCCCGACAAATATCTCTCGCGAGTCAGGCAGGGTTCTAGACGAGCTGACGAGTGAAGGGAAGATCAGAGGCTTACGCCCTGTCAGCCTTTTTGGCAATCGCAATCGGATGCTCATGCAGACTACCACGTTCGTCAGTACCGGTCGAGGGCATGGGCACGGGGGCATGGGTTTTGACCGGCTCACAGCGAAGCTAAATTACTGTATACCGTGCTTGGTCTGTGTAAGCCGCCCAGCTTCAGGCATGTGTCAATCACTGGGCAGCGGCGTACGGGGCAAAAGCTACCAAACGTCCTTTGACAGCTGCAGCAAAGAATAGACATGCGCGCGCTGCCTGGCTCAGGGCCAAGCGCCTAGGTACCGCCTGGCTATATTGTGTGCATGCACAACATCAGGCTGCATACAACCATGGCATTGCATTCAAACCAACGTGAGATGGTAAAATACAGATGAGCAAAGCGGCTCCGAGAATGACCCTATGGCGAGAGGGGCCCGGGTGTCGATTGTCATTGTTGGCTGCTTTTACCCAGCCCAGCACGTGATGTAGGGCATGCAACGTCCCCACAGAGTCGGGGCCTCCACCGCTCACGACGCCTGCCAGCGACCCGCCCTTGGTGTTGCAGTTTCTTTCGCTCCTAAGCTTTCTTCTGCTCGACCTTAACACTACTCGAGTGTCTGCTGCGAGGCTCTATTCGCTGCATCACTCAGCTAGGCGCGAATGCAAGGCTCCTCATTCGCATGCCGGTCCCGCCTCTAGCCCAATTGCATGCCCTCACACCCACCCCCGGCCATAACACGCGGGCTATCTGATTCTCGAAAACCACCGCGTCGCAAGATCAGCCGGCCCACCTTGCGACGGCTCCTGGTTTTGCCTGGGTAGCTGTAGAGGGGCACTTCACGTCTACGTAGGAGAGCAAGCCTCGTTCTTGCCTCGCCCTTCATTTCCCCACAAAGCCCGTCGCGCCTGCCACCACCATGAACGGCTTCAGCGGTACCAGCGATGCCGGCGGCATGTATGTCAAGGCCCTCTACGACTACCAGGCCGACGACCGCACCAGTCTGAGCTTCCGGACCGGCGACATAATACAGGTTATCACCCAGCTGGAGAGCGGGTGGTGGGACGGAGTCATTCACGGTGTCCGCGGCTGGTTCCCGAGCAACTACTGCGCCGTCGTCCAGCGGCCGAGTGAAGATGTCGAAGACGATCGAGAGGGAGCCGATGCAGACGACGACCATGATGCGCGGTCCGTTAGTGGCGCAGAGGGCGACTACTCGGACGCCGACTCACTGAGCGCCGGCAACGACACCATACTACCCATCGAGCGCAATGGGCCGCACGACAAGGAGGAAGAGGCGGCCTTTTGGATACCCCAAGCTACACCAGACGGAAGGTTGTTCTACTTCAACACCCTGACTGGTGTCAGCACAATGAACCTCCCCTTGGAATCGCCTTCTGCCAACGAGAGCGGCCCGCGCAACCGCACCGATGTCTTTATTCCTGAAATGTCGCGACCGCCCGCTGAGCTACTAGCATCAGGCTCCGGGTACAACATGGAGGACACGGACGATGAAACGTCAGCATCCGACTTTGAAGGTCCGGGCAACAAGGGCTCGTACAGCTCCCGGGTAAGTGTGCACTCAAGTATCCGTGACCAAATGCGTACTAACTAGGAATTGTAGCACAGGCAGCGCCTGTCCGGTGGCCTCTCGTCGGCTACCTCGATGGAGTCAATGAACGCCGGCTACCCCAACCGGTCGTACGATCAAAGTGGTATGAGCTTTGCAGCTTCCACTGCCATCCCTCCCACAGGTACCACAGCTACCTCGTTTGCGAATAGCCCTGGCCTAAGTGGTACCGACGGCACGTCCCGAAAATTCTACGACGATGTGAGCCCTGTGCCCCTTACCTGGAACAGGATGGTCGAGGACATGCGACGCGCAATCGAGCGGTATAAGCAGGCCATAAACAACAGCGACAGATCAGAGTTCGTGAAGCGTGCAGAGGACATATCGGACCACCTCCGTTTATTGCTGGCTGCCGGGTCTGGGACAACCGACAACCACTCCGGCAACCCATCCATCATATCCACTAACAAAGCCCTATATCCCCACTTTCGAGAAACCATGTCCCGCTTCTCCAAACTGGTTTTGTCTTCACACATTGCTGCATCCGATTTCCCACCTCCGGATTCCTACTCCAAGTGCTTGAAAGAGGCCGAGGGCGTCCTGAATGGTGTATTTGGATTCGTCGAAGTAGCGCGTCAGCAGCGGGGCGAAGAGATTCCCCGCCTTGTACCTGGATTTGTAGTAGGCAACCTCACAGGAGGCAGCTGGCAAAATAACGGAACTGACTCGCACGATGCAAATACGTCCTTGTTTTCCGACCTCGATGACTACGAACCTCCAGTTGAACCGACGCTCAAACTGGACTCTCGCATACTGGAAAGATTACAGGACCTGAGGAGGTTAATCACGTCAAACCTCCGACGACTGGATGAGCAATTAGTACTGCGGGATACAGTCATATCGCACAGGAAACATCAAGCTATAGGCGAACACGTATGCAATACTGCTGGAAAAGTGCTCGAATCTTGCCGGCCGTGGCTATCAACCATTGAACAAATCAACCTGGCCTCGCTAGATGCAGAAGTCAACGGGCAACAACTAAATGAGTTTAGCGTTCAGAAGCAAAAGGCCTACGACGTCGTTTCTGAACTTGTCATTGCGTGCCAGGGAGTAGCCGCACCACTGGGCGATGAATGGGCTGAGCTACGTGGCGACTCTCTTGAGGACCGTATCAACGCTGTGCGAGCCGTCACCCGGGATTTGGAAGCGACATGTACTCATCAATACGGATTGTTGCAGTCTCTGTCAGACACCGTACCTTTATCAGACATCGTCAGCCGTGGGGAGTCGCGAAGGAACACTGATGGCGAACTAGCGAGTCATGCTCGTGGACCCTCCGGACCTGAGAGACCTTTACTTGGAAACATCCCCAAGGCAGAGACATATAGCGCAGGCACTCCACTTACTGGTGACGACGGCAAGGTCGAGCCTGTACGGTCGGCGAACAGCAACAAGAAGATCAAGGACTTCTTCGGCGAGGTACCAGTCATACCACAGCAGGCAATCGAGGAGACTCCTGAATTTTTGAAACTTGACCATGAGGGCGAAATCTCGTATGACCACAAGTCCACACCGCCTCAGTTGAAGGGAGGCACTCTGGCTGGCCTTGTAGAGCAGCTGACTCGTCACGACCGTCTCGATCCAGCATTCAACAATACGTTCCTGCTCACCTACCGATCGTTTACGACTGCTTCAGAGCTTTTCGAGATGCTGGTAAAGAGATGGAGTATACAGCCGCCGCATGGCTTAGACAAGGACGATTATCAGCATTGGGTGGACAAAAAGCAGAAACCCATCAGGTTCCGTGTAGTGAACATCCTCAAGAGTTGGTTTGATAACTACTGGATGGAGGGCAATGATGAAGAGGCGCGAATTCTGATTCAACGAGTGTACAACTTTGCCAAGGATCACGTCGCAACCACCAGCACTCCTGGAGCTGCACCGCTGATGACTTCTGTCGAGCAAAGATCTCGTGGACCGGACATGCCAACAAAGCGCTTAGTCCTTACCCTGAGTGCCCAGACGCCACAGCCCATTCTCCCCAAGCACATGAAGAAGTTGAAGTTCCTTGACATTGACGCCACAGAGTTTGCTCGCCAACTCACCATCATTGAATCCCGGTTATATGGCAAGATTCGTCCCACCGAGTGCCTGAACAAGACGTGGCAGAAGAAGCTATCCCCTGGCGAGCCTGACCCAGCTGCGAACGTGAAGGCGCTTATTCTCCATTCTAACCAGTTGACGAACTGGGTTGCACAAATGATTCTCACTCAACAAGATGTCAAGCGGAGAGTCATCGTAATCAAGCACTTCGTGAATGTCGCTGATGTGAGTTTGTCGGTAGCCATCATGCAGACGCAGCTACTAACAGACTTCAGAAATGTCGGCAATTGAACAACTTTTCCACACTAACATCCATCATTTCAGCTTTAGGTACCGCGCCCATTCATCGTTTGAATCGAACATGGAGTGCCGTCAACCAGCGATCAATGGCTACTCTAGAGAGCATGCGCAAGCTCATGGGTAGTACCAAGAACTTCGCTGAGTACCGAGACACATTACATAGGGCAAACCCACCCTGTATACCCTTTTTCGGTTCGTGACCACTCATGCAAACTCTTGCATCGCCAACTAACGCGTTTCTTAGGTGTCTACCTTACGGATTTGACATTCATTGAAGACGGTATCCCTTCGCTCATCAAACGTACAAACCTCATCAATTTTGCAAAGCGCGCAAAAACGGCAGAGGTAATTCGTGACATCCAACAATACCAGAACGTGCCATACCCATTGCAACCGGTGCCCGAGCTGCAAGACTATATCCTCACCAACATGCAATCTGCGGGCGATGTACACGAAATGTACGAAATGAGTCTGAGCGTGGAGCCGCGAGAGCGCGAGGATGAGAAGATTGCAAGGTACACATCCTACTTTTCTTTGGATCGATCGTTTATGAAGCGGGACCAAGAGGACGTGGTTGAGGTGGTTTGATTGATTTATACGATGAGAGCCCGCCAGCCACGCATTTTAGAAACACTGAGAAACCGATACCCATCGTTTGTTTGTTTTTACACAGAGATAGATGGGGCTAACGGGCGTTTTTAGGCTTCTCTCCGAGAGTGGTTTCTTGTGATGAGACTGTTAATGACGATGATACCCCCACCCTACTCTTCCGCTCCAATCGAAATTAGCGTTTTGGAACAACCTGGATCAACGCGGCGTTGGTTCTTTTTTCCTTTCCTTTTCTGGGCGAAATTTAAGTGGCATTTGATTGGTGTGCTTTGGTATTTATTTTCATCGGGACCTTTTTACAGTGCGCGGGTTATAACGAATTGGAACGATATATTCGGGTCATATTTTTTCCAGAATGGCGTATAGTAAGCGCGTTTTTAACGCATTCCTCAGCGGGGGTATGGGACTTGGACACGGCGAACCTGCCTCGGGTGGCGAATATCACAGCCACGCCGAATGCAGGAGGAAAGGGGGGCGAGGGCGAAGAAGAAGAAGGAGAAGGAGAAGAGACGGACGGTGAGATTGTCGGGCTTGTTCTTTTATTTTTTTACCGGCCAGTTGAAAGACATTCTTCACTTGTTTTTTATTCTTGCGAGTGCCCCTGGCACTTAGGGGCGTGGGTTTTGTTTGTTAGGTTCTAAGTAGCGAAATTTCACACACGCGCGCGTCGTTTATCTTTGAATGGGTTTGCAGATCTCAAAGGGACTGATGGTGTAACCGATAGTTGGTTTCTTGGGCGGATCGTCAGGGTGAGTGGTGTGGGTGGGTTTGGTGTCCGTATGGGGACTGGTAGGCTTGGTTTTCAGAGGTTGGAGAACGGCTTGCGCGGTCGATCAATCCATTGTGGGCGAGGCTGATCTGATCCCTAATTAACATTGTCCTGTTGCGGTCGCCGACTTATTCTTGCCATCAAGAATTGTCCTGTACACGCCAAGTCGTAGGTGAAAACTCAAGAAGCTTGGAATTAGTATCGAGCGTCTATATTGAGTTCCTCGGGTCTTGCGTTCGGCGCAGGAGTGGCTGTTTACGGATACGAGAAGGAAGCCATGGGCTTGAACACGAGGTCTCATGCAACAGCTATTTGTGGTATTTGATGATGGCGGTTTTCTTGTCCACTGCAATCTATCTACGTAGACTGTGTGTGTGTTCGGAGCAAAGGTCTTCCACAGTTAGTATGTTCCAAACGAGCGGGTGAAAGAATCGATCGACGCTTGCGTGAGCCTATGAAGATGAGGTGAGTTGTTCACACGCATGAGCGGATCCGTAAATACGGGCTCTGGCAAGACTTTAGTGTTGCAGTAGCCGGAAGCACGAGCTCGATTGCACCATCTTGTCACGTGCAAAACTCGCTGAAAGTATTCGCCGTAGTCCACACCACGGAGAAGCATCGCAAACCAGATGAACCTACATGCCCAGTCCAGCCCAACTTCGCTTACAAGTCTTGCATGGAACCCTTGGAATAAGGAGGATGTAACGTTAGCATGGAAACAACGGTACACAGCTATTCACATGTTCAAGACGCGGATAAGTTTCTTTCCTGGAATAAAAAAAAGAAGTTTCCTCCCCCGGATTTTCCATCCTTCTATCGCTAATGTTGCCGCTGCGCGACTATGTGCTGTACAATTTACCCAAAGAGTCAGGACGGCCGACACGACACTGACAGAGGGCAGGCGTCTAGCTACTGATGGCCTCACACCAAGGTATAGCAGGGAAATTACATACCGGGATTGCGGAAATGAACGACAGCCGTTACCGGCGGTGCGTTCCCCAGCTTTTCCCGCGCACGAGCCAATCCGAGACGGGCCATGACACAAGTAACTATCACAAAGAGCGCATTGTTGAAGTTTCAGTGTGTCAATGTCAGTTTTGACAGCCGCGGGCTTGGATGGGTGCCGCGGGGTTTGTGGGAGTCGGGATACAGGCTGAGGGCGCGAGTCACCGTTTCTGTGGTTGTTGTGCTGCGTGGGTTCCGCATGTTGCCGGCCAAAAGGGGCATACGGCATAAAGTAAAGTGGGTGATGCCAAGGAGGCAGAAAACGTGACGACTTGGAACTTACCTCACAACAAAACCTCAACGTCAGCTCAATGTAGCAGGCCACTCCATGCTATATATCCTGTCCTCGGTCACCTCTCACATCAGCATTCAATTAGCCCATTCATCCACCCCACAGAAGTTTGCAGAAAAAGCCTGAGCGAAGATGAGAAAAACTTGTAATGCACACAAATACCCCTGCCGTCCCTTCCGCCTGATGATGGGGTGCAAATCTCCTGCAGGAATTCGTACAACCTTGCTATTCAAGCGGTACAAGACGGCAACGGCGCGGCAGGGGCGTCGTCCTTGTGCGGTGTGATTTGTCTGTATTTCCCCGCAGTATTCCAATTGGCAGCTACAAGGTGGGAAGGATTTTGCAGGATGCATGGCGCTTGGAAGGTTGGACATCCCAAGACTACACGCGCTTCCATGGCACTTTATAGCACGGAGTTGATGGATCTGGGTAGGAGTTCAGGAGGCGAGTGGGCAGGGCTGAAGAGGCAAGGGAGTGGCCAATCAAGCAATTGCAGGTCGTGTGACAGCAGCAATGGAAGACGCGCATTTTGCTTCCGAGCCTCTGAGGGGGGTGTTGGAGGGACAGGGAGGGTGCAGGCCTTCCTTATCGCGATCAGTACGCGTCGTCGAGCGGATTGGCAGACGCGCAAATGCACGAATGAGCGGATGCATGGACAGATACCGTACATTCACAGCAAACAAAGACTGGGTTGGCAGTTAGTTTGTATAGCGCGCCGCTAGCCGTGCAGCTGATGAACCAGAAGGTTGCATACGAGATGCTCGTCAACACTACACCTCTTAGCCCAGGCTTGGGACGCTACTGGGCGACCCACCAAGCGACCTCGTACACGTTATTTCGGTGCCATTGACGGGCGATCCCTGAGGAAACAGCGGAGGCGCCCAGACCACCTAGGCGTCGTGAGTGGTTCCTGCGTCCGTAAATTGCTCTCTATTGGGCTTGCGCGCCGGCTTTTGCCTTTGCGAAAGGGAAGCAACACTGCTTCATCATCAGCCATTGCGCTGCCCACCTCCCGCCCTCTTTTACTTTTGCCCCGGCCTTCGCAAATCCATCACACACAAGCTACGCCGCTGCTCTCTGCGTTTTTTCTTTTTCATCCAACCAGTTCAAACACTACAGTCGTTCGCTATAATATAATTTTTTCCTACTACCGCTCAACATGGCATTTCGCAGTACATGGGGCGCCTTGCCGTGCCTCTTATTATTGGCCTTGTCTCGCTTCTGTAAGCTGACCTCCTCGCTTCTTACCGCGATGTCGCCTCGCGCAATCAGTCTTTAAGGCTTCCAGCTGACTCCCTTTTAGCGAATGCCGCCTGCGAATGCGGTTACTCTGTCAATTCGACAAGCGATCCTAATTACGCCGTCTTTACCGAACTAGTCGAAAATGACTTTCTACACACTTCAACAGACAACTTTCACCAAGTGGGCTGGGCGCCGCAAGTTTACAACGTTACCCCCGCAAATGCCAGAGGACCGTTCGGAAAGAGCATGGAACTGGAGAATGTCATCGCAAACCCATTGAAGGATTCAAAGGCCTGGTCGGGTGAATCGAAGCTTGGTGGGGATGCAGGACTCCAGCTTTGGGTGCGCGGCCAACATCAAGATGGCTATGTTAGCGGTTCTGAGCTTGTGTCACTGCGTAACGACTCGTTACTTGGAAGTTTCCGCGTGGGCATGAAGCTGTCAAACTCTTCCGGAACTTGCGGCGCATTCTTCTTCGTACGCCACCCCTTTGCGCTATAAACAACTTTGACTAATCATCGCAGTACCACAACAACTCGCAAGAAATCGATATGGAGTTCCTATCTCACCAATTCAACAACTCCCAAGGTGCTGTAAATCTCGTTCTCCAAAGTCCGGAATCCGTCAACCACGGCTTTGCCGCTCAAGGAACCAATGGCTTCAAGGTCGAGCGACTCAACTTCCGACCGGACGAAATGTTTCACGAATACCGATTTGACTGGACCAAGGATGTCGTTTCTTTCTACGTGGATGGACAGCTGCTCAGCGAAATTCGGGATAATGTCCCGACCGACAGCGGTAGCATCTTCTTTAACCACTGGAGCAACGGTGACCCATCATGGTCTGCTGGCCCCCCGGATCGTGACACCGTCATGACCATCTCGTACATGAAATCCTACTTCAACTCTACGGATACCGAGCGATCGCAAAACGACTACAAGAAGCGCTGCCCAACATTCGACCCAGCCAAAGTGTGTGCTATCCCGAGCCAGACGACCATCCCAGACCCAAGCAAAGGCCCAGAAGCAGCAAAGACGTACTTTTTCTCGCAAGATAAATCCACGAACAAGACACCAGGCCAGAAGATTTATTCTGGAAGTGCTACGAGCACCTTTGGTAGTCAATCATGGTCACTCGCAATCCCAGTATTCGTCGCCCTACTCAGCGCAATACCAGCGTGGTAGGACATCCGCATTTTTCTCTATGACACGGATACCTTTGCACTTTCCACATGCTACAGTTCATTTCATGTCTGCTGGCGTTTCGAGAATTGGTAACCTTTTGACGAGCATACGACCACCTTTACTATGGAGTTTAATACGGCTACCTTGAGCCTCCCGCCTACTACTTCTTTGGATACCCTCCCATCTTTCGGAGTCTTTCCCCTTCTTTCTGCGACATATTCACCGCACGACTTCTCATCCCCTTGTTGTTTTCTTGTATATACCCTTTTACCTCACACGACTGAGCAGCACGCCCAGCTTCTCTCTTTTTGCGTTCGCCATTATCGGCGCCCTTTTCTTTTCGGTTCTTCTTTTCTCTCCTGTACCACTTGGACGGGGATCTTTGTCAGCGATTGGAAGGAGCTCCCCGCTGCGGCTTTTTGTTGCTTTGATTACCAGCTTTCTTTCTTTGCATACCCGCTCCTCACGGTTCCAGCAACAACCGTATTTTTCTTGTCTCATTTTCCGCAGAAAGATTACATGGCAATGCGCGTTTGCGTTTGAAAACAAAATGGCCATCTTATACCCTGCCCTCGAATGCCGTATCAAAATATCTCCTCCGCAACCTTTTGGTAGAAAAATAGCGGAAAATTACATCTATTAGCATAACGAATTAACACCAAAAAAACCCACCATCATACACACACCAATACAACATAGATCATATCTGAATCACATCGTATGTCGTGTTGTTCGCGTTATTGCCCACTTCTCCTGTTCTGCTCCTTTCTTCGGCTTCTCCGGCCGGAACCGGACTTGCCGCCTCACAACTTGCCGGCGGCCCCGTCCGTCCGGATCACGCCGTGACAAAAGCAAGTACGTATGCCAACGCAGCCCTGACCCGTGTCAAAATCCAGATTAAAATAGCAAGTAGGATTAACCTTTGGGGCTTTACTCTTTGGACTGTGCACCATCAACAAATATGTTTGCTGTCTCCTTTTCCCATGCTGCTCTTTCCCACATCCGCTGTTGTTGGTATTGCGATCAACTGGTTAGCTTCATTCTTCCACACCCACACAGGCACACACTTATATACGTGTACCGAGCGAATAACGTCATCGATGTCATAGGCCCCTTTTTTTGCTTCCACGTCGCTTCGCTTTACCCATTTCTAGCTTGGAAGGTTGGAAGATTGGAAGAATAAAAGATGATGATGCAAAGAAATATAGAAGATGAAGGTTAGTACAGAGAGTAACTGGCTAGCTAGTTCTTTCCCAACCGGCGTGTTTGACGTTTACCGTACCCGAGACCAGCGTGTCGAGGCAACTGGAGATGGGCGCGGGTGGGAGTGTGCTGGCGATATCGTTGTCATCAACGTCATCGTTGTGCAGCGCTTTGTTCATATGGGTGTGGGTGTGGATATGAGTGTTGTTTTGCTACTGCTGTGCACGTGGTTGCGATGGGTGCGTGGGTGGACTACTGCTAGGCTGAGAGGGGGGCAGATGGTGGAGATTGAAGTTAGATGAGTAAGGGAGGAAAAGGCTATTTGCGATTTGTATTCCTTTGCGCTATCGGCGGATGTAGATGTGGATGTGGGTACTGGAATGGGGGATACCATACATAGATAGATGGGGGAGAAGCGGAGGCACTGATAGAAGACTTATCTGGGCTCGTGGGTTAGGTGAATAACTAGCTAGAGGGGGAGTCTAGAACCCTTAGTTTAGAGTTAGTATTATTATTATTATTATATTGTTGACCGTTGTGTTGTGATGTCATGTTATTATAATGATTCCTCTGTTGCTGTGGTGCTACGAAAATGCTAGATAAAGCTTGCATATAGCATGCATTCACCTTTACTCAACTATCTTAAGCAGCAAGGACTGGGTGACTCACACGGAGCACTTGCTTGCTTGATGCAAGTTCATGCTGTACCTCATTGTATCTTCGGGACCCCTCACTCCTTGCGCCGCGCCACATGTGTTCTCGACTCTCGACTCTCGATTCGTCCCCTGTTTTTCGAAATGATAAGCTTTTGACTTGGGGCGCTAGGGCGATTAGAAAAGCTTGTTTACTGCTAGCGGCGGCGCTTACAGGTAGTAGGATATATCGTGTTTATGGGACTTGTCTCTTGTTTCTTGATGTTGTTGCGAGGGTCAGCTGTAGGTGTTTTCGGGTAGGGTTTTTTAGGCGGAGGGTAGAGTGTACCGAGGCGGCTTTTTGGGTTGGGAGTACGGTAGGGTACGACAGGATATGGGGAGATATGGGGATATACAACTAGAGCTGTGTTGTTTGTGAGCGCAGCTGTCAAGGTAATAGTCATGACATTGAGTCGTATATCGATACAAAACTGTAGAATGGAGGTTTAAAAGAGTTGATACTGTTATTACTGGATAGTACATTCTTCTTGCTAGAGGAGGATTCGTTAAGGTTGGTCACACATCTGTCCATGAAACACACATGATGCTCACTTCGCCCCTTTGCGACAAACACGCGTCCTACGCTCCATACTATCATGGGATGAGACACTCTGCTCACACAGGATATATATGTTGCAAACGGGCCAAGTAGTGAGTACTTTCTACACCAAGAAGCGCTCCTGCAGCATCCGGTTCAGGGTCCAGTTGCCTGCATTTGTCACCCCATCAAGACCGTAAACACAGCTTCGCCCAGTCGATTTCTTCACCCTCAACGCTCTTTTGCAATCAATCATATAGAGCGCGCTCTTTTGGCGTTTGGCCCATTCACTTCTTATCTGTCACTTTCCTTACACGGCGTGTTTCTTACACCCTGATACACTTCAAGAAGCGGGGTCGACAGTCGTACGACTTTTTTTTGTTGCTGGTACGCGCGTCTGTACTTTTTCGCAAAATATCACAGCTACAGGTCTACCTTTGCGACATCTCCATTCACGCGCTGGACGGATCCTGTCGGACGAAGACACCGGAGCTTTCACAGTCAGTCGCACCCGCCGTCCTCAGGGCAATCGTAACGGGGAGTCCTGTCGCAACACGTAGTACACAATGCGGGTCTACGCAATCGTTGCTATCCTCGTTGCGCTGGTAGCATGTAGGCCGTATGAGGAGTCCTTGTACCAGCAAAACTCTCCGACAAGCATGATGGCGAGTCCTGCTTCAGCGCCGACTTCACTTGGGCCTACTATGACAGCTATAGCCAGGCCAGTCAGCATTGGGTAGGATATGCTTCTGCATGTGAGTGTGTAGTAGATACTCACATCTGAATAGGCTTCGTCAAGCACCACGTGTTGCGCCATTCGGACAGCTGCCTGCTCAAGAACCACCAGTTCCCGTCACAACACTGCCAGTTGTAGCTCCGGCTCCTCAACAACCCGCGAAACCAGTCCCTGCCATACCCGTTCCCGCCGACCTCAATCCAATTCCAGCACCAGCTCCAATTCCAGTTGCAGCACCAGCACCAGCTCCGACAGTCGTTTCTTCGGTCAGTCTTATCTTGTCAACCGCTACCACCATTCTACCCGACGCAGTCGTGCCCGCTGTATCACCCACAACTGTACCGATAGCACCGTTTAGCAATGTGCCCTTTGTCACGGTGGTATGGGAAGAGACTTTCATCGGCGGAACATTTTCGACCTGGGTACCATATACAGTATCCCTAGACTTCAAGCCTTCGACAGTCCATGCTCCGTTGCCAGGTAAGGGTGGGATCGGGTTGGGTACGCTGACAGGCGAGATCGGGCATACTCAGACAGTCGTTATAGCCGCTGCGCCAACGCAAGTAGCCGCTGCGCCAACCGCAGGGGGAGTCTGGATCAGAGGTGTCGCAGCTGCAGTCGGAGTCGGTATTGCGGGTATCGTGATCTAAGAGTTCAAATCAAGTGAAAGGGGATGAAGAAATACAGGCCACAATAATGTGAAGGAAGAAGAGACGTCCAGACCTGCCCTGGGGTACAGATTTCAGCACACATCCAGTGTCAACCATGACAACGGAACGACTTATGAGACATGACTCGTGTACGATAGCAAAACCAGACAGAAATGAGACTACGAGAGATGGTATACTTGACGTTGCACCATATCGCGTGAAATCCGAGCGAAATGCGAGAATTCCACCCCGGCTCCCTTGACCGACTTTCGCACGGCGTTGACAGACACCAATCACGCCACCATGCCGCTTCAAATGTCGCACACCGGGTAGGACCCGTCCTTATCCATTCCCAACGGGGCGCAGTGTAAGTCCTGTGCTCAACAATTGTAATTTGAGCTGCATCAGCCGTAGCAAGAGCAAGGAGTTTTGATGACCCCGCAAGGCTGATCCAGCGACGAAATCTGGTGACAAAGTGAATGGAACAATCATCGTTCTGTGCAAGGAGATAAGATCGAGCAGTGTGGTCATGATGAAATTATATCTAAACCGCTAGGCCTTCGAGACACTGAAGAGCGCCACATGAACCGAATTGGTGGAGTGATGCCAAGCTGTTGGTGGCGCGACCTTTCCCAAGTCACGCTATCTGCATACGATGTCGTTGGGCCCGACTCCTTATCGTTGAAACCGATAACGTGATGACGCGCTGGATGTCTTAACATGTTCATGACTCAATCTTCTCGAATGACTTTGTATATAAGAGCAAAGTAAGTTCCGTGTTGGGAGAAGCATATTCAGCCGCAACAATACAATCAGCCACTACGACAACTACCGTTAGTAGTCGACAACAACTGATTACCCGATTGAGAGAGATCAAGTTGTATCAACACCGATAATTTACGATCAAGGCTTTTACGACAAGCAAGAGTTTTTGTACCAATTGGCACTCAACATCAAGAGCACTACATCAACCACACGATGACATCTGCATACTACTTCGCAGCGCACTTCAACATGCCTATAGCGCGGACAAACGAACCAACACTGATGTCTACCACTACGCTCAACAACCCATCACCCTTGGACAAAGGCGCCATACCGTCTGAGAGGCCTCACCCATCTCAACAACCTCGAAACCGCTTCTCGAGAAGTGATCAAACAGACTCCCTATTCTTCCGTCTCCCCGCCGAACTACGAAACCAAATCTACGAAGAACTCCTCTGCGCCGGCACACCCAGCAGCAAAGCTCTAGCCACCGATCCCATCAACGCAGTTGCTGGGAAATCCACCCCAGTATATCCTGCAATTCTCTCAACCTGCAAAAGAATACACGAGGAAGCACAGGACCTACCATACACAACCCACATCTTCAACGCCCACGCCTCAATTCTCACATCACTGCCTCATCTCATCTCGCCCGCGAAACCCGTCTTGAACACCACCCACATCAGCAAAATCCGTCGCTGGAAACTCAACCTCAGACTAGATACTGATCCGCGGTTTTCAGCAAAAAGTGTCACGGCAGCTTTTACGGGTGCGGAGTACTTGGAAATTCACGTCTGGCAGAGCATGTTCAACGGGTGTGATGCTAGTGTGTTGAGACTCTTTTGGGGGATTAGGGGCGTGGGTGTGGCCAGAATTACGGGGTGTGCGGATGAGGCGCTTGCGAGATGGTTGGAGGAGAGAATGATGAGGCCATGGTCTGCGAAGGAGGATGAGGGGTGTATGTGTGAAGAGGTGTTTTGTGGGAAGTGTGGGAAGAAGGTTAGTGGAGGTGAGATGGAGTGGTTTGTGAGAAGCGAGAGGGATGCTTGGACGTTTGGGAATCGTTGAGGGGGGTTTACGCAGATAGAGGGGGGTTCTTTTCTTTTGGGTTAGGTTTCTATTGCGGTCATATATTAGATGGTTCTTATAGTCTTTTCTAAAATACATGACTCTGCTCTTACGTTACCTTTCTATGCCCTCCCAGCGCTCTTTCTTAAAACTGGACACCACATTGTAATAGGAGTGTCTCATTGCCTTTATTTACGCATTTTTTTCTGTTCATCCTTACATATATTGTCGCTTCCACCATCTGCCCATTCCGGTTGCTTGATACGTGAAATTATCTCTTCTCTCAACCTTTGAGTGCTTAACGAGTACCTATACCGGACATTATCGATATGGCAGCGCCACCAGGGAGAATTATTAACGACACCCTCAACTAATAGACATTAAATCGCCATATCAAGCACTTCATTGTTATTAGACAAGTTTTATTCTTTCTGCACTGCCACATTCTGTATTCTCGAATATGAAGTTCGTCTACACAATCTCTCTATCCTTCCTTCCAGGTTTGTTCCTGGGAAGACATGCCCAGCGCGCGGCCTGATTCAGTAGTACTGTGTTCCGTTGGGACAAACCGTCAAAGGCTAAAGTACGAACTAAATTTTCTGTTAAAAACGAGTAACAATATGCTCACATCCAGCTCCATAGACTAAGTCGCAATTCCACCTTCAGACTTGAATCCGAGGACTCTGCCCCGCAACCCCACTCATCATCTCCATGCACTACACCACGATGACGCCACAACCACAACCAAGGTCACAATCGAAAGCTCACACGCCAAACCAAAGACAACAATGTCTTCGAACCAAGAAATCAACAATGCGCGCTTCAGCAAAGAAGCGCTAGAGTGGGATTCCAACAAGAAGCACGTCGAAAGCACTCAAGCCGCGCTCGCCGCGATACAAAAATACGTGCCAGCATTCAAAGATGGTCGGAATAAAGGTACATTCGAAACTTTCACGAATACTCCATTTAGATAGAAACTAGCTATACATATATATGAAAGAAACCCACCAACAAAGAAAGATACTAAACGAACTAACCCACCCCAACAGACCTCGACGTCCTAGAAATCGGCTGCGGCACCGGCCTCCTCTCCTTCATGCTGGCCCCGCGCGTACGCAGCCTAATTGGCGTCGACACAGCTTCTGGAATGATATCCGCCTTCAACACCAAGCTCGCCGACCTCGACACCTCACACCAGAACCTCACTTCCGTAAACCATTACCTCACACACCCCGATGAACACGAACTACAAAGTGCCGCCGCCCTCCTCGCCACCCAGCGCGGCGAGACTGCTGAACCGCCGTACTCGTACCGCTTCGATCTCATCGTGTCGCACCTGACGCTGCACCATATTCCCTCCATGCCGGATATCCTGGCGACGATGATGAAATGTTTGAAACCGGGGGGTGTGGTTGCGTTGACTGATTACGAGGATTTTGGGCCAGAGGCGGTGCCGTTTCATCCGGTGGAGAAGAGGGAAGGGGTGGAGCGGCATGGGATTAAGAGGGCGGAGATGGAGGAACTGTTGTTGGGGACGGGGTTTAATGAGGTAAAGGTTGAGGAAGCATTTGTGTTGAGGAAGGAGGTTGAGGCGGAAGATGGGAAGCCGGCGAGGGAGATGGATTTTCCGTTTCTCATGTGCTTTGGGGTGAAGAGTTAAGTGTGGGTGATGAAGACAGTTGAGGCGCGCATGTTTTCGGTAAGTGGGTGTATGTTTTTGTGCCATGTGTTATCGGTTTTAGAGATCTTTTAGTAGGTCATTGACTGCTTTGGCGGCGAAACGTTTTCGTTCTGCTTCTGACATGCCCTCTCCCATCTCTTTGATGGCTACCATCTTTCGCATCATGACTTCTAAATCTTCGACCTCTTTATCCCCAGGTTCTGTGCTTTCGTCCCCATCGTATCCCCCAAGCGCACCCTTCATGTCGAACAGCTCCATATTCATCTCCGCCTCTTCTGCTTCAAAGCTCGCATCAAAGCCCTCTTCGTCCTCGGGAAAGTCTAAGCTTTCCCATTCTGCAGCCTCAAGCGCTTCACGCACTCGTTGGACTCCCATAGCCTCACCAAAATCGTTCTTGCCCTTCTTTTCCGAGTCGATGTATTCGAAGCCGTAGTCCATGGCAAGCTCTTCCCATTCCTCACTGCTCTTCTCCAGATATGGTGTCGTAGACTGCGGCATCGCGATGGCTAAGCACACAACATCACCGTCGTATCCACAGGCGCGTTCAATCACATCCGACACGGCTTGCATGGTTTGCTTTATCGTTTCCAGATCGCCCGCCTCTACCGGTCGTTTGAAGCAGTATATCCACGCTCCCAGTGCGGTGACGACTTCGCGCGCTTCGGGCTTTGTAAACTCTGTGCGCCATTCCACGACGTTGGATAGCTCATCAACCCATATTGGGATCGTAGCAGAGTAGTATTTGGTTTCGAGGCGCCATTCGTGCGTAAGGCCGGCGGTCGTTCCGGAAGTTGGCTCTGGGGCGGAACCTGTAAGTTCTGTGCGACATCAGCAAAACACTCAAGATCGATGATGATGATATTCACCCTTGAGCAGCGAAAGGACACCAGAATCAGGTGCTCCCACTGCAAGAAGGCGTCGTGGGTTCTTGATATCCATTTCGTTATCCATTTTGAGTTGTGGTGGAAAAAGTGTCGAGTTGCGTTGCGGAGTTCTCGGGGGTGAGGTCTTAACTTGGCCTTTCATTGTGGGGTAAGTGTGCAAGAATTGGAGACATGGCAACCACGTCCAGTTTGCGTTGAGTAATCATTGCGCAAATTTGCCTCAGTAATATTACATGTAGTAAAAGGCAAATGTGCATGACGAAAAAGCGCGCCTTCATTCGCATCCCAAGGTATCATCAATTCTGTAGGCCCTTGCTATCTCATTCTTCAGCGTATGTCCAGCAAAAGCGATCTGGTTGCATACCTATCCCTGCATTCCGTACCCAAGTTCTCCAGGCCAAACTGCATCCTCGGTGTTCTTGCGCATTGAGTAGCTCGGTCTCTAGCCATGTCGTATTCTTGCTCGATCCCCTCATGTGTTTCAACGACCGCCGGCACCACCGCGAGTGCTGGCCCTTGCCCTATTGACTGTCGCCCTACCACGCGCAAGACCAACACCGCGACCCCTCGTGCCTCTCGATCGGAACATGGGCGCGTTTCTAGTATCTGTTAGCACACGTCCATATATATCAGCCCTGGCTATCATACCTCAACATATCTGGGACAATGAAGTATCGGACATGACTGCCCCTAATGTATACTTGTTCCAGATGCGACACGCGACCGTCGCGGGCAGTCACGGTTATGTCCTTCAACTGAACATTCATGTTGTCCTCAGCTGCAAGCCGTTAGCCAGAAGTGTACAAGTTATGACAGAAACATATAGGCATACCCTCGATAAGCTTGCCGCGGTAGACCTCACCAGAGGTAATCTCAAGCGTGACGATGTGGCCCTGCGCAGCATTAGTACAAACTTCTGGCGGTCTGCAGTATATGGGAGACATTACAGCTGCCTCGTTGAGGAGCTTGATCGGAATGCCAATAGTGCTAGTCATTTTTGCTGTCCAATATGCGAGTCCTCAATGCACTGCGTTTTTGGGTTCGTTGGCGTAGGATGTCGTAGAAACGTTTGGTTCAAGTCGCGAAAACCGGTGAGTCGAGCCGTCGAAATGTGGGACCGTATCTGCGTGGGAACTAGGATAGTTTGGTCGCGCAAAGTATAGCCTACTCGATCCTGGGAGTACTACACGTTGTGGATTGCGTAGCGTGAACGCAAAGCGCATGCGCGTAGTGATATAGTCCACACAAAGTTGAGGTTGAGCTTGGACCATGTCTTAGTCATCCGTACCTGTCTCCGCCATTGAGTTCCACCTTCACTTGAGAAGTCTAACGAACGGAACTATCTTTGATGATGTACATGTCAACCGGTGTGCATATGTAGAGTAGAACAAGTCTACAAAGAGATCAGTGTAAGTTCGCTATATGCAAGTGTATGGAGTTGACATGTTGCTTTCTGTTTCCATAGTGGAATAACACCCATACCATAGCCTCTTAACGTACCATGCAAATTAACACTCAAGCTGAAATAGACGAGATGCTTTAAATCCCAGGGCATATTCTTGTCGCCCTCCATTCGGGAAAGCTGTATTTCGGAAAGTCTCGGAACCGTCGGAACAAACACGTTTTGACCTGCATCAATAAGTTAGGCGACAGAGCGCCATGCTTCAGTCCGGCTCCTGCACCTCCCGACTTGCATCCTGCAATGAATATATCAGGGACCCTCAACGTGTTCCGCCTGCTAAGGGAACCAACTTTGTGCTTACCTCAGCATACAGTCTCGACCTTCAATCACCTGCCAATTCCTCTGTCAAAAGCATTTCCAAGAAAGGATGGCGCAAATGGGCAGAAAGAAGCCGATATTCGAGCGGTAGTCCTAGACAAAGACAACTGCTTCGCCGTTCCACATACCAACGAGATACACAAGCCCTATGAGGTAGGCGCAAGCTAATCTAGCACACCGTCACCTGACTAAAAATACAAAGGACCATTTCCAGCGCCTCCGACGCGCATATCCTGGCACAAAGCTGCTCATTGTTTCAAACACAGCCGGTACCTCCTCTGACAAAGACCATGCCGAAGCTGCTATTCTGGAAGCCAATACCGGCATCAAAGTCCTGCGTCACTCGACCAAGAAGCCTGGCTGCAAAGAAGAAGTCATGGCTTACTTCACGGCGCATCCAGAGTCTGGAGTCACAAAGCCTGAGCAGATTGCAGTTGTGGGAGATCGTCTGAGTACAGACATCATGATGGCAAACCTGATGGGTAGTTATGGTGTTTGGGTCAGAGACGGTGTGCAAGGAAGGGGATTCGTAAGTCATCTCATTATCCAAAAAGAATTACAGGGTATTGCACATTGTGCAAACAGAAACTGATGATGCTTTAGTTTGCGAGGATGGAAGATAGGTTGCAGGGATTTCTGTTTCGAAAAGGATATACTGCGCCAGATCCGAGTGACAATCAATTTCAGTAGTGCAATCAGGGGCTCAGTCAAGAAGATGCAGCATGCCAGAAAGGGCCTTTTATTTTTTGGTACACATAGGTCTTTAGAGAAGTAAGCCATTGTTCTCTTGTGATTCAAGGCCGTTTGCGGTATCTCGGTGTGGCGTTGCTCCTTTGTCCTTTTTCGTTGACGAGATGCTCATCATAAAGTGTATAACAACCAACAACATGACTCGTCGCTTTTTTCCATCATCTAACTCGACTCAAAACAATCTCGCATATTGATATTGTACGTTTGCCAAAAATCTGCCCTACATGATCCCGCAGCTAAAATAACAGAACCTCAGCCTACAAGAAGACGCGCTACAAATACATTCCAGGGGAACCACAACCTCTGACGCATTTGGGAAGAGCTATGCAAGGAGAGCCGATATTTGTCATAATCTGGGTATGTGCCTCACCGCGACAAGGTGCCGAAAGCTGACCATGAAAAGAGACTTATCGTACTGCTGTTCTGCACGGGCTTCCCCTATTTTGGGTACGAAATATACTTCGCCAAGGATAGTTTCGCTGTTCCTAGGGTTGCAGTGTGGTTAATGATAACTATGGGATTCGGGATTGTGGGGTCATTGTACCAGATGATTGGCTTTATTTTTAAGGCACCATTTTATACGGGCGAAGTTCGTGTCGAGCAAGGTCAGTGAAATCGACATGGACCTGTATTTGGCGTAGTCTTTCATTGCTGACAAGGTTTCAGGTGGCCAACGTCTCTACTGGGTACCCATCTCCAACCCTGCCTTTGCAATCTTACGGTCGTTGTCAACAGTGATGGCATTGTATCTTGTCGGCATCGTGATATTCAATCTTGAGGTCCTGTTGGTTTTCCCTCTCATCGTTAAGCAGCGTGCCTATTCGTACATATATCGAGAGCTCGCTACCCCGATGATAGGACCTGTGTTTATGACGCAGATGAGTAAGCATGACCAATGGTTACAGCAGGATGCAAATATGTGCTAACTCGTCATGTAGAGCAATTCGGTATTTTGATGTTAGATGGCTTTGTTACGCCATGGACTTGGATTGGAGGGGCAATGGGACACCGACTTAGTGAGCCTCTCCCATCTATGTTCCGTTGGGGATAAAAGGATATAGACGCAGTAGTAGTAGTAGTAGTAGTAGTAGTAGTAGTAGTAGTAGTAGTAGTAGTAGTAGTAGTAGTAGTAGTAGTAGTAGTAGTAGTAGTAGTTGGACTCTCGCAGGCCAAGGGACAGTATCGAGGTTGCAGATTGGGTGAGGTGGTGCCACTGTGGTTATGTGGAGAAATAGTCACTGTGGCGTCAGCTGCAACGCGGCCGCGTGCCGGCTTGGACTGCTTACGGCATCATTGCATGTGCACCTGCGTCGCAATTAGTAATTGGTAATTGGTAAATAGAAGCGAGGCGCAGTGATTTGTACAAGTAGATGATTCGATGTTTATTAATTTGATTGCCTGATGGTGCCCCGCTCGTTCGTTGTAACAGCACATGCAAACGTGGCGCCTGTCGGCTTTGCGTCTTCGCACTAAATCGTGAATGAAGCCCGAAGCCCAACCACAACCGTCCAAGGAACGGCAACCGGCTGACTTGGGCGAATGACGACTCACCTGCACATGGGGCGGTGCAACCATGTCCACTGGGGCTGAGCAAGGCCATTGCGCTCCCTACTGACTGACGAGCGGCGCAAGGCATTCTCTCTCTATTTGACCTACATCTTCCTCACGTCAACAACATCTTGAGAATCAACCTTGACTGAACCTTGAACCTTGAACCTTCTCCTTCACAACCTAGAAACACAATAAACTCGCGCAACTGATAGTATGGGTGTAAGTTGGCTGTCCCCGTTGCCGTGGCTGCCCCTCCATGCCCCGCGTGCGTCATCGTTGGGGCTGACTTGTACCTACAGCTCGCATCCAAGATGGCGGCCGCCAATGCTGCCTCTGGTATGCCTCCGCAAGGCGGACCAGGAGGCTATGTGAGTACCCAAAATTCAAACGCGGCATTGTAATCACTCACTGACGTGACGCAGCCTGGGCAGCCACAGTACCAAGCGTACCCAGGTGCCGGTGCCGGTCCTCCCGGGGTAAGTTAAGCCAAAGCTCTTTCTTTTCTACTTTCTTGCTTGCTCTGCATCGTCATCACCTGTCCTACCCGCCACATATCTCTGGGCATTCGCAAGCCTTTCCGGAGTCTCCACATCGCCTCTAGTTTCCAATAAACTCTCCGCTTGCAACCTATCCACCTTGGACTTTCTCCGCCACACTTCATTCCTGGATTCAGCCACACATGCCTTTATCCAGCAAAATGGCGACCAGCTACAACGCCTATCAGCCCGGCGCTGTGCAGGCGCCTAGTTCTTACGCGCAACCACAGCCGGGTCCTCCTATGCCACCACGACCCAACTCGTACGCTCCTCCCCAGTCACCCTTCACACAACCACCTCCTCCAAACTACGGCGCATCTTCACCGTATCCCCAAGCGCAGTCGGGGTATAACAGACCTCCCCCGCCACCACCGGGCCAACAGCCTCAGTCCCCATATCCTCAGTCTCAGTCTCCGTATCCCCAGTCGCCATTCCCACAGTCTCCACAGGCAGGACAAGCACCACCAGCCCAGTGGAACCAGGCCCAGATGTCGCAACCATACGGACAGCAACCCCCTCAACTCTATGGACAGCACAGCCAGTGGGGACAGCCGCAACAACCTGCTTATGGACAACCACAACCACAATATGGTCAGCCTTACGGTCAACCCTATGGTCAGCCACCGGGTTACCAGCAAAATGTTTGTACCGATCCACAATATCTCCCTGCTCGACCTGTAAAACCTTTCCTCTGGCCAGTCTCAAACGCTACTCTTCTTTGCTATGGAATCCACGCAAGCCTACGATGAAAGATGCAGAGCTAGCAGAAAACATTACCAAGTCGGGTTTTTGCTAACTTTTGATTAGGGTGGGCCACCAGGACAACCTCCTCAGGGACAGTACGGCGCTCCTCCGCCTCAAGGTGGATATGGAGGCGCTCCTCCTCTACAGCAGGTCCAGGGTAGTCCCGCTGAGGTAGAAGGCTACAAACAGCTACTCCAAGCTTGTATCCAGGAAAAGAACCTTCAGCCCTTCTACCCGCCAGGCGACCCTAGAATCGCCCAGATTGCTCAAGAGGCTTCGTCAAAGATCAATCAGGTCATTCAACGCTGGCGCATCCAGAAGGAGATTGCCAATGATATTGTCAAGCTCGCATTGTACGACATTGTTCTGTACATTGGTAAGTCCTCCAATTCGACTTGTTTCGGCGATACTGACGCAGTGAAGACGACAGTGGTTCCATGCAGTTCGAAGAGGAGGGTAGCCGTATCAAGGACTTGCGCCTTATCCTGGAGCGAGTTTCTTTTGCTGCTACACTCTTCGACGCAGATGGTATCTCCCTTCGCTTCATGAACACTGATCTCTCCGGTGTTCGCGATCAGCAGGGTCGACCTATGCAGGATGGCGTCTGCACAGAGGCCCAAATCGAACAGGTTATGCGCGGTGTCCAATTCAAGGGCCTCACGCCCATGGGTACTGCTATGCGACAAAAGGTTATTGATGGTATAGTTCTCGATAGGGCGAGGAGTGGCCAGCTGCGCAAGCCTGTATTGGTCATTGCTATCACAGACGGTCAACCCGCTGGAGAGCCCCAGAACGCCATCTTCGACGCCATCTCATATGCCTTTGATACCCTCAAGGGCCTTCCTCAGTATGGTCGCGGTGCTGTCGCATTCGAGTTTGCTCAGGTTGGCAACGATGAGGCGGCCAGGAAGTTCCTCAGTAAACTTGACGAGCACCCCGTCATCGGCCCCGAGGTCGACTGCACTTCCAGTATGTTGTTGCATTTCCATGTATGATTCTTGCTAATGTAACTGTAGACTTCGAGAACGAACAAGAGGAGATGGCACGTGCCAACCCACCTGTAGACCTGACTCCGGACCTATGGATCATCAAGCTGCTTCTAGGTGCCATCGATCGCAGCTACGATAGCAAGGATGAGAAGACCAGCCAGGCCCCTGCTGGCTACGGAGCTCCCCAAGGACAATACGGAGCTCCCCCTCCAGGCCAGTACGGCGCACCTCCACAGCAATACGGTGGACCTCCTCCTCAGGGCCAGTACGGAGCCCCGCCTCCAGGACAGTATGGTGCGCCTCCTCAGCAGCAGTATGGTGGAGCCCCTCCTCCAGGTCAATACGGAGCCCCTCCTCCAGGTCAGTTCGGTCAGCAACGGCCGCCTCAAGGTGGTCCAGGCGGACCAGGCGGACCAGGCGGACCAGGCGGACCAGGCGGACCCGGAGGCTATCCAGGTCAGCAGCAGTACAGTGCTCCGCCTCCAGGTGGCAGATACTAGTAGCCAAGCCATGGCATGGACCTGTTCAGACTTTCTGCCGGGCAGGACGGTATTCTAATACGTTTGGAAGTGCCTCACTAGTGTGGGTACAGAATGTATCCTAACACGTATGGAAGGACTCACTAGTGTAGTTACCAGAATGGGAGTACCCTAATGACTAGTCAATCAATGATTCATCTACAGATTCTGTAAGACATGTGCCGTATTTCGATAATTGGTGATGTATTTCCAAGTTGATTTTGATTGTTGTGGAAGAAGCACAGAGCCACTGCCGACATGGTACCACGTATATCAGGCGAAACATGTTCATCTCGACGTAAACAAGGCTTTGTATGGCCATTCCTTTGTTGGCCTGCTTCTACTAAGCCTAATGTTTTCATGTTTCTAGTCATGTTCATTCGCTCTCTACAGAAAAAAAAATCCGAGATCATACAAAACACAGCTTCGCATCCCCTTGCCCCAAACCCTAAGAACAACCCAACAATGCCAGATTCCCATATCCCATCCATAACACCCACTCAAACATTACTACCTAGTACCCACACTCAAACCTCAACCTCTCCAACAACGCCTCCCTCGCAGCCTTGAGCTCCAATACCTCCTTCGTCTCCCTCGCTCTCTCCTTTTCCCTGTCCAACTTTTTGATCTGCTCCTTTTCTCGGGCTAGCTCGCGTTCTTTTTCTCTGCGCAGGGCTTTGAGATGGCGTTGTTGGTCGAGGATGGTGGAGAGAGGGCGGTAGTCGCGTGAGTGAAGAGGTGTGGATAGATGGTGCTGGTAGTGATAGGAAGACGACGACGAAGAAGATGAAGATGAAGAAAGCTCAAAGCCAACGCGAGATGGTGTCTTACGCCAACACATGTCCCCATGAAGACATGATTCACATACCAGACCCCCGTCGGTCCTCGCCGCACCACCAGGCAAGACACATAGACACTCGTCCATGGCTAACGTAGAGAGATTATACCACCCCCTCGCCTCCAACTCCGCCCTCGCTTTCACAACATCATTCTCCAACGCCCCACTCGCCTCCACCGCCGCCAGAAAACGAGCTTGGTAAGGCAACGCAGGTTTTTCTAATTTGATGAGGTTGGGTGGTTCACCACTTCCACCCACACCAACACCGACGCCAGGTCCACGTCCACCGAAGCCGAGGAGCGACAAGGCCGTTGCTGCAACATCGATATGGCTCCAGTGTTGCTCGTGGTGACGCTGGTACTCCGGCACAGCCACAAGGAACGCGCGCGCCCAACTCTTAAGCTCGGCATCTGGCTCACAACCGCCACGATAAATTTCCGTGAGTACGGCGACGGGGTCTTCGGTGCAGGTTATGGGGCTGGCTAGGTGGGATAGGGCGTGTGTTTTGCATTCTGAAAAGGACATTTGGGTTGCGAAGTTTGCGAATTGGATGGCGGTTAGGAGGGGTGTTTCCGTTGCAGTGGTGGGGGAGGGTGGTGTGATGATAGGGGCATGGGGTTTTCTGTCACTGGCAGTGGAAGAGGAAGGCGAGGGGCTGTATGAGCCTGTGTGTAGGAATTCCAGGAAACGAAGAACTGTTTCTGGTGAGGTTTCGTCGGGGAGTTTTAGAAAACGGGTGTGGCCTGCTTTGGCGAAGGCTTTGGGGATACTGGGGTATTCGGTGAGTTTGTCTGCTTCGACAAGTATGGGGATGTCTTGGTGGAGGAACTCTACGGTCTTTGTGGACGGGGGTAGTGTGCCTCTACGGGTTGACTCGAGCTCGTGGCGTCGAGAGCTGTATGTATGGACGAGGGGCTCACGGACACTGGGTGGCTGGGTGAAGAGGGACTTGCAGATATTGTCGTACCATTTGTCTACTTCACGAGCCGATGGTCCTTGGACGTTGTGGTGGCAGTGGCTGCAGTACCATGCCTCTTTATCTTCCTGTTCCAATTCATCCCGCCACCGCGGACTGTAGTATTCATCGTCCAGGTAGCACATCTTGGGTAAGCTGTGTCCGTAGTTGAGAGGTGTGAGCTCTCTGCCATGAGCGGCTGAGAGTTTCTTGATGGTAAGCATGACTTTGCCGAAATGAAAATCGTGACTGAGGCGTCCGTAGTCCACTTCTTCTTCCTTTTGTCCACCACAAGCGATGAGGAAGTACGCGTGAATCATGTGGTGGATTAGTACGGCGACGATATCTTTTGCCCGAACCAGTGAGTCCTTGTTGAGAATGATTGAGATGCGTTTGACGTCCGGGTCTGGTCCCAATCTATGCGTATATGTAGCCCCGGAGACATCACAACCCAAGCTGCTGATATCGAGAAAGACGGCATTCTTGAGATGCCCAGCGAAGAGCACCTCGTCCAGCTTGTTGAAGATTCGATATGGGATCTCCTTTCTTAAACCATCATCCTCAAGTGACTGAGCTCGTATCCGTATGTTCCTCAGCATTTCAGCAGCATCATCCCATTTCTGCTCCAAGTGGTCGACGAAGAAAGCCACAGCCCAGTCGATGTTCCAGCCCAGATCCCTATCACATCGCAGGAGCGGATCTTGAAGTCGTCTCGCGACACTTGACAGTGGACGATGATTGTCGCAGGGCTGGAAAGGGAGCCACAGATCCGGTTCCGAGTCTGAGGGATTTGAACGAGACCGCACGAGTGCTGCTCCAGCAAAGAAACATTCAGTGAGCGGGAGCAATGCGAGCTGATTGGCAGCGCCTGGCGTCATCAAGCTGGCAGAAGTGGGATGTCCGGATTGAATGTGAAAAAGTGATGGATAGTGGATGGAGAGATTCGAGAGGCGATGCAAATCATCATTATATAGTCTGATGGAACGGGAATCTCACGATGCTCGACCGTTGCCTAGCATAGTTGTTCGGCCCATGTTCCTCCATACTAACTCCGTTCAGTGCGAACCTAGTGATTATCAAAGCGAGGGTGATACAGTCGCGATCACATATTGTTTGTCAATGAGGATCCAAACGTTCGGGCCCGAGTAGTGTACGATAGGGCTCTATCCATTGGCGCGCCTTTGACCGTGACAATCGAGATACTTTGATAGCGTGACGTGTATCCGAAGCTATGGGCCCGGTAAGCTTCGGCGTGGCACAAGATGACATGGCTAGTTCCAACTCGTGTAGCACTGTGTTCGGCGTGATCTGGGCTGATGGCTGTGTGTCAGAAAATTGCGTTGGTAGGTAAGCGGTCTGATCTGCCGCTTCATACTTGACCTAACAAGTGTCAATATTCGCACAAATATCATCTCACATCCAACAAACGCCGGAGTGCACAATCTGAAAAGGACGGATCTGAGGTAAATAATACTAGGTATATTTCATGGAGCATGCTACGAACGCCAGTCGCGGCTCCAAGCATTGAACAGGAAAACAGATGGGATATACAGATCGCGTAGGAGGACGGAGAATGAAAGCGCACTAGATGCTGAAGCGCCTGACTGATAGCCGAATCTCTTTCCCCCGAGTTTGTCGTAACACATAAGCAAAGACGGGTCGGGTGAGCCTTGTTCTCGATGGTAGATGGTTGCTACCACCGATGGGGATATGACGGCGAAGGGGACTTCGGACATTATTGCGCCGTCAACGGCAGCCCTTGTATTTAGTAGCGGGGACGGTCGTCGGGACGGCCGTATTCGTCGACAGGAGGCCTTCCGCTTACTGAGCCTGGGCGACTGTTGGGGCGGCTGGCTGGACGGCTGCCCGGGGCCTGACTCCTTCCACTGCCACCACCGTCGCCGTAGTGCTTTCGCCTGAGAGCAGCTAACCTCTTCTTCTTGGTGTGCGCATTGATGTAAGTACCAATAATGAAACCGACAATGTTGAAGAAGGGAACCCAAGTCGTCTCGGGCAGGAATTGCTGGGCGAAGGCCAGGGAGATGGGTGAGACGACCCAGCTGACCTTCATGACGGGCCAGAAGCCGGCCTTGACAGTGGCCTTGACTTGGTGGAAAGTACGGGCGCCCGCGATAAGGGCCATGGAGATGAGGTAGACACTGTTCTGGATGGGCGCGATCTGCGACTGTCAGTGACCAGTGACCGACTAAGGTTCAACGGCTCCGCATGTCGGCACTTACGATCAAGTTGCTAGCGAGAATCTGCAAAACCTTGGCCTTGAGGCTCTTGCGCCCTTGGAAGAGCTTTTGCAGAGCGCTGATCAAGACGTGTCCAAGAGGCGCGCTGATGAGGGCGCCGTAGATGGCCATCTTGGGGACGCGCGAGGTGAAGTAGTGGCCAGACTTGCTCCTATCGTGCGCAATCCACGAGGCCAAAAACTCTTGCAGACCAGAAAGAGTGCCCGAGGTTAGCATCTTGGTGCGCAGCGGGTTGCTCTGCAACTGCTTGAGGTATGCCTGTGGTGCGCCCAGTCAGTTTACTGCGCTCCCATCACGTCTGCATTCGCCCACAACTCACTGCGAGGTATCCATTGGGACCGCCGCCTTTGGTGATGGCCTGCCCAATCTCGTGCATCAGGTCGTCCTTTCCATTGCCGGCCGCGTCGGCAAATGCGGCCGTTGTGTGAATCGTCTCCTTGTCGAACTTGACCGACATGGCGCCTCAATTATTTTCGACGGCAGCAGGCTGCGGATGGGCGCGTGTACAAGGAAGATACGGCGTCCGGGAGAAGGCGGTGGGGAGATTCTGTGCTGTCAAGCGGACTTGGGGATGGCTGGGGATGAAGGTAAACAGCCTCGGAGAGCGTCCGTGCTAGCGCCGACGCAGGATGCGGGATTCAGTGGAGGTGTCGTGATCTGACACGCCAGCACGACCTCGGTTGCGGATATGCAGAACTGCACTGTACACTGCAATCTCTTGGATCCAGTCTGACAGCCGTGGTTTTGGACCATTGTATCGACTCCATCGAGGCTAGTGAGAGTGTGGCACTGGGCTGATCGGACCTGTTCACCTGCATGCTTTTTGGCGGGCGAGCCGGAGAATAGCGTCGGAGGCCGCCGCGGTATTGGACTGCAACTCTGCATCGCCAGATGAGAGGCTCATGGCCAGTCGACGAGACTTCATCCGAGTATTTCATATGCAGTCGCAAGGATGGATAGGTTATCGTGTCAGGGTATCCTGACTCAGTCATGGCATGGTCTACCAAGTGTCAGGCTACATTCTCCCCCTTATCAGGCCGCCAATGATGACTTATCTTGCTACAGTTGTACTATGATAGGATCACCCATCAGGCCATGAATTCGTTCGTTTTCTGCCTCACCATGTATTCTGAGTCCATTCTTGGTGGCTGACCAGTTTTTCTTCCCTTCGTCCCTTCACGTGCTCGCTCGCCATGTTTGTCTGGAATGTACGGCAGGCGACTTCGCCTGTCAGCCCGTCTGTACGCCGAAACACCAACAAACGTACTACAATGTCCTAGGGACAGCATCAATCACTGTCGAAACTGTCGGTAAAGGGATCCAGTCAAAACTCCAGCGTGCGAGTCGCCTGCGGTTAGAAGTGACAAGCAGCACGTTTGGCTGCCTCAACTTCATAAACGCCAAGCCAAGGACTGATTGTTTTGTATATGCACATTCTCCACGAAGTCTTCCTCTGTTTACAAAGTCTCTTCCTTCTGTCACTTCTGCAATAACCGATTACCTGCTCGGAATGTTCTCTGCGCCTTGAAGGCAACGTGGCGGTCAACTGCTGCCCTTTGCTCTTTCTCTTACTCTCTGCTGTTACCTGATCTTGCTGTTTTCTTTTCGGTGCCTCCACTCTTTCTCTCTGGAACATTGGAATTTGACCACTGATCACGTGTGCCTGCCTTGGACCCCTACGACCCTTCCTAATAGAGCAACCTCGATTAGGTCGCGCCTTCCACTTGCCTTCCACCTCTACCCCACCTCGTCTGCCCACACCGCAAGAGCAGCTGTTCTTGACTTCAGCGTTTTCGGCTCTTCCAACTAAACCAAGCACTGCGCCGCCATGCCCAAACGCGTGCGGGCGCCGAATTGCACGCATGTGGACATGGATCGTGTTTTCGGGCATGACCTGCAGTGCCAGGTTTGCGGGCGCTCACCATCCATTGGTTTCCTCTATGAGTGCAAGCAGGACCGCGACTTCGTAAATCTCGTTGACCTTTTGTCGCCGCAGGTGGACAAGATCAAGCCATGCAAATCCAGTCTGCGGCAAGAGCTGGAAGCCATCGGCCTGAGCGAGAGTATCATTCTTACTGCAGAAAAGGGGCACTACACGGATAAGCAACTGGAAAAGCTCAAGAACCTGAAATTGGAGCTCAACGAGATCATTTCCATGACGGAAGAGGCTAGCCAGGTCAATGATTTCGTCTCCAAACTCACGGCTATGGTCCGGACACCCTACGCCACTGACGGAACGTACAACAGCGTTCCCACAAAGGTCAGAGCAATGTTGCTCAAATTGGACGGCGGGAGGCCAACAAAGCGAACACGGCTAACGTCTCCACAGAAGTCACTGGGATGCACATTCAGAGCATGTCACACCTGCCGTCCGTACTATCGCGACCGTGTCTATATTTCGTTTGTGGGCGTCGTCAACGCCGAATTCTCGCCCATGACACGAGAAGATATTCAGCGGCTTCCGACCAAATCAGCAAAGATTATGAGCACCATCGGCACCAAGACCTACAAGTTACCTTCTTCCATGACCCTAGACACGATGCCATCTACTATCCCGACTCTGACGTCGTTTGCTACATCTGCCGATGTCCCATACCCTCCTCCATCCACGGCTAGCACCTCCAGCTCACTCACTTTCAAGACGACTCAGACCGACATCGAGGAAATTTCTGCTCAGCGTCGCCCCCGACGTCGGTTCTACAAGATGGGTCGCCGCTCCTCTGCCGACATCGCACGCGATCTATCCCGTACAACAGCGTTCTTCACACCCCAGGGGCTCAAGACTGCTGTCCAAGGTATTTTCCGTCCAGGCCGCGAGTCCAGCTCGGAAGGCTCAAACATCACTCTTCCACTCGCCCGGACGGGCACTGTCCGCGAAGATCTTGGTGATGAGTCCATGGGAGAGTTCGATCTCGGTGCCTTGCGGCGTGTGCGCAAGCAAAAGGAGCGCAACGAACTCCGCAACGGAACCTACACGGGCGGCTTCGAGGACGTGGGTCTACACACTGCTGGTATCGTCGATAGCGGGTCTGGAAGCAACAGTATTAGTACCACGGACTCTGAGTTCTCCGTATACTCTTTCGCCACGGACGAGGGCGGCGAGATCAAGGTCAATGGCGTTGCCCTCACGGAAGAGGCGGCTGAGACTCATACTCCGGATATCATGGCCATCGACGTCCCCGTACCAGAGAATTCTGGTGCGGCGGTTGCAACTGCGGAGATTGGTGGTGATGGTAGGGATGAGATGGATGTCGATATTGGGTTACAGAGCATCATGGCGCAGGTGTGAGACGGAGGCCAAAGTCACAACCGGACATTGTTATGGAAACGAAACGAGGCGGCTCGCCGGAACTCGATAAGGCTGCACTTACTTTGTGAAGAGCATGTCCGATAAGAGGTTCGCGGCAACTCGAAAAGGCTGCACTTACTCTGGGAAGAGCATGTCCGATAAGAGTACGAGCACGACCTCATGAGATACAAGTTTAGACACGGCACCACGACACAGCGAGCAACAGAAGGCCGAGGCATTTTTGCATTCTCAACAGCCAGATTGATAAGAAAAGGGTAGATTAGGGGAGAGGAGATCAAGCATTACTTCTTTTGTCATGAATTCATTTCAATATACCCACTTCAACTTAATAATACACTGTATTCATCCATCCATCGACGTGATCGTACACCTCCGCTTTTTGTCTCATATATCATGTAAACTATTTACGACCAAGTTTCCACCTCGCAATCCTCGACTGGATATCATCCCACGTAAAGTCCTTCCTAGTGAAGCCCTCCTGCTCACCTTCCTGCAGCACCACCGTCGGCGCGCCCGAGCCACCACCTACATTCTTAACCTCACCGCCAAAGACCTGTCTAGCAACCCTTCTCAGATCCTTGACAGTAACATCTTCAATCTTCTTGCACATTTCCTTTGCGCCCACCTTGCGGCCGTGGACCTGTACCTGTCTGCCCAGATCCTCTAGTTCGACCATGCGCGACTCGAGGTTCATGAGGAGCGAAGAGCGGAGCTGATTTTTCGCGCGTTGGACCTCTCCGTCCTTGAGGGCAGAGTAGCCGGCTTCGTCGCCTAGAGATTTGAGTTCGCGACACATGACTTCGAGCATTTGGGTGACGTGGGTTGGTGCACAGGCGGCGGCGATACCGAAGAGGCCGCTGTCGGTGTAGCTGTGGTTGAAAGCTACGCACGACTCGACCCAGCCGTGTTGGTTGAGCACGTTTGTGTAGAGGCGCGAATACATGCCTTTTCCGGGGCCGCCGGCACTGAAGGAACCACCACCGCCGAGGAGTGTTTGCAGGACGGCGCAGGCGTAGATGTCGGGGGAGGAGATGGGGAGGGCTTCGAAGGCGAGGTGGATGTGGGATAGGCGTGGTAACATGGGGTTTGCTGGTGGTGGAATTGGGGGGAGGGTGAGGAAACCACCGGTGTATTGCGAGGGGAGTGATGTGTCTATCGGAGGGAAGTTGAGGTCAAAGGATGTGTTTACGGAGGCGCTGGAGGTGGCGGAAGTGGAGAGGTTCTTGAAGAATGGTATTTTGGAGAGTAGTTTGGACGTTTGCGGGGGTGCGCCGGTTGGCGTGGGGTGGTCAGCCGTGAAGTTCTGCTGCTGTGGTAGCGAGTTGGATGTCGCGCTGTCGCCTACGCTGACGAGGGCTGGACCGGTGCCTTTCTCCATGTCGCCAAAGTACTGTTCTGTTAATCGCACAGCCTCGTTGTGGTTCACACCGGCAAAGGCAATCACTATCCTGTCGGGCTTGTAGAACTCTTTTCGGTATGCGTCGACAACCGCACGGTTGATGAAGGGTAGGCGCTCCTTGGGACACAGCAGTGGGTTGCCCAGAGTGTTGTCTTTGTATGCCGCCATGTGCACGAGTTCGGGCAGAATCAGTTCTGGCCTGCCCCAGATCTCGCCAATTTCGTAGTCGGCCGTTTCCAACTGTTGCTGCACCTCATCTTCCGTAACCAAGGGATCGCGTATCGTCTCTGCTAGCACACCAACGGTGGTGTCTACGGCGGAATTGAACGTGGCGGACTGGTACATGAGAGACTCTCTGCTGGAGGAACACTGGATGTTTCCTCCCAGTGTCTGCATCTTCTCCATCATCTGGTCGCTAGTGGTATTACGGGTTGACTTGTAGGCCAAACGGTCGATAATGTGGCTTACTCCTCGCAGCGCATCGTTTTCGTACCGTGAGCCGGCGTCAACATAGACACCAATGCCAGAGAAGTGGCCTGGCAGGGCTTCAGTCGCAACGCGGATGCCATTGGGAAGTGTGGTGATTTGGTCGAGTTCGGCGGGGTCCTAGAAAGCGGTTTAGAAGGTATTTCTTCCTTGGTTGCGTGTCTTGATGCTAACCCGCTCTTCTGCGACGGCCGTCGCTAAACTCCGTTTACTTGCGCATGTTGCTGATCTTGTGAGCGCCGATGACGTCTTGGATAGCCCTCGGGTCAGTGGGCGGTATGTGTGCGGTCTTAGCATATCTTTGGTGGGTGAAGTTGCTGTCGTTGGCGCGTTCCGAAAAAATCCCATGGATCGGGATATCGGGATGACATGCTGTCACGTGCAACCTGCCGCTGCCCGCGCAGAAGCCAGTGGATCCCACTGCCACCTCCGATTCAAAGACCGGCCCCACAAGGCAACGCTCTACGATCAGCGCGAGCGCATGACCATGTCGAATGACAGGTTTGAGAGTTGATGATATACGTTCGCCCAGCTATAATTATGAAATGCGACCTGGGTACTGCGGTCATGGTGGTGGCTGCGGGGTTCAAAACGCCATGACGGGCGTGCGTGTCAGATCCGTCTGGCAGACATTGGCATCCGTCGCAACCTATCAACTGCTCGCCCAGGGCATCTGGAAGGTTGCGAGCAGCGAGCGGCTCGTATTAGGAAACGGACCGCTTTGTCGTCTCGGTAGCCTCAATCACGATATGCAGCTCCGGCGCGCTGTGTATAGTCGAGGTTATTCTGGGCAGCACCAAGGCTGCCCGAGTCCTGTCTAGCCCAGCTGAAGGGCTACGAGCTGGGCCTGTTTACCCGATGGTCTTGGACGGCCTGTTCGCCCAGTTCGCTCGCTCCGTTCGGTGCATTTGCCTCTGCCTTTGCCCTTGCATTTGCATCCTTTGCCATTTGCTTCAGACATCTCCCACACATGCCTGTGCCCGCTATCCTGTGAATGCTGTGAACGGCCCACTGTTCCGTCTGCCAAACCTTGTCGAAACTCACGCAGGCTGCATTCAAACAGCCGCCCTCCGCCTTCCGCCAGCCTAGGGCTCTATATCCCCGTCTGTGCCGCTAACAGGGAAGGGGATGTTCACTACCACGGCCGCACCAGCAGCTCCTCAGACTGTTGCAGCGTCTGTCATAACGGCAAACCCGCCCTCGTCGCGACCAACGGGCGTCCATAGAGGAATCAGTTTCTTCCGCAATCTGCACTTACACTCTACGAGCCAAGCGGACGCCACACGTGACGATTCTAGAGCCCGAACAAGACCACGCGCCTTAACTCACACGCCGCCAGCCTCGCCTGCCTCCACCACACACTCCCACCCAAACCCAGGCCCTCGCCCAAACTCTTTGATTAGAAGGCAAACGACCGACGCGCAGGCGCAGCTACAGCCGCTGCAGCCCCAACCTCCGCCCACTGATTCCCCTCCCGCCTCTCCTCTGCCAGCCATGACAAGAACACGTTCCGAGACTGCTCAACCGCAGCTACAAGTGCGCAACAACACCGGGCCCACACCAATGTCAACGCCTGCTCCAGTGACCGCGCCCATAATGGAAGCCGCTTCTGAAACTCCAGCTGGCTCAAAGCACCTCCCGTCGATTCGCTTCATCCCCCATCAGGACCCTCGAGCTGGTCGCCCCTCGCTGATATTTCCCACCATCAACCGCACCCTGCCCGACGAGGACGCCATACTCCGTGTAGGCCGCTACTCCGAGCGTGACAACATTCCCGAGATCTCGCCCAACACGCCCTCTGCCGCGGCTATTGGCTTCAAGTCAAAAGTGGTCAGCCGGAAGCACTGCGAGCTGTGGTGCAAAGATGGCAACTGGTACATAAAAGATGTGAAGAGCTCTTCGGGTACCTTTCTAAACCATATCCGGCTCAGTCAGCCCAACGTCGAGTCAAAACCTTTCCGGATAAAGGACGGCGATATTATCCAGTTGGGAATAGACTTCCGTGGAGGTGAAGAAATGATCTTTAGATGTGTCAAGATTCGCGTCGAATGCAACCGCGGTTGGCAACAGGGTCTAAACACATTCAAGTACGTTTTGGTATCCACACTGCCAGTCAACCACTAACATTAACAGCAAACAAACCCATGCACGGCTGCGTGCTCTTGCTAAGAGCCAAAAGCCAGTCGCCGGCGATAATGCCTCGACGCATACTTCAGAATGCGCAATTTGCTTAATGTCGATAGCGGTAGGTGCTCATGTGGTGCTAACAGTGGACCCGTACTAACGACCCCACAGCCATGTCAATCGCTGTTCGTAGCGCCCTGCTCGCACGTCTGGCACTACAAGTGCATCCGTCCAATTCTGAACGGTCCAACATGGCCAAACTTCCTCTGCCCGAACTGCAGGGCTGTAGCAGACTTGGAAGAGGATGTTGAAGATATGGGAGACATGGAGGACTGGGAGGGTGAAGAGGAGGTGGCAAATGGCGAACCTACCACGGATACCACCGCAGACCAAGCAGACCGCCACGTTACGCCACGTGGCTCGGGCGCGCCCAATAACGGTGATGAGTCTGACGAGGAGTTTGCCGACCTGCGACAGCAAATTACGAACATCGACTTCAATACCTCAGACACTCCGAACGGGAACACTAACCCATCGGTACTGGAAACACCACAACGCCGTCTGACGCCTCCCACAGGATCGGCCACTGTCTCACAACCAGTGGCAATCAATGTGCTGGAAGCAAACGAATGGACTGGCCTCTCGCCCCTGAACCCTACCACGGTTGACGGCTTGACACCCGATCGCATCCACGACGGCCCAATGACGCCCCGAAACGACGCCGGCCCCTTTGTACTCGATGGAAGCGCTGGTAGAGCCTCGGGCACTCGCTTACGCGACTCTTCAAATTCGGATTCTGACAGCACTGGCGCGCTCAGCACCCGCAGCAGCAACGACGCGCCCAGTCTGCCTCCTGTCCGCTTCAACTAGGTGATGTCAAGCCGATTATAACGAGTAGGGCATGTCTACCTACCTACCCCTACCTTTTTTCGTGCATGTTCATTTTGGGTTCTGTTTTGCATGATTCCGAGGTGTTTTGGTGGGCGTGAATTGGTATGCATGATGTAGCTCTGTCTCTCTCTGTCTGTCTCTCTAAACAATGTTGGCCAATAGGGGGGAATTTCTGTCTCATTTTATCTATATTTTACAACACTTGTGATGCATGTGCTCAGTTCCGCAAGGACAAAACATTTGAAAAGGGGAAAGCGACATAAAGAAAGCCGGCTAGCTTTTAATGTATTGTTCTTAGCAGATGCTGAGCGTTTGTATTGTGCATTATCCTTATATATGAAAATAGCTTGTCGTGTTGCGTATTGGATATTCGGTAAAGATGTTGGGGAAGATTGTGCAGATATGGACATAAATGCATATATAAACTCAACCCTACCTTCACTACCACCACATATACGTATTTCATCACATCATATTCTCTTCATCACACATTTGTTCGACTCACATGATCACTTAGTAACAATCCGTCTCAAACATGCCACCCATAGCCCTTCCCTCATGACTGGCTTTCCACTCCTCCAATAACACCATGACCTCCTGTCTCGTATCCTCAATAATACCATCCATCTTGATATCATTCTTATCGTACCCAAACGGATCCTCGAGCTGCATGCCAATGCCCTCAATACCGTACAAGGTAAATGCGATAATAGCCACAACAGGCACACTCCACCACTTATAATCATCGACAATAGCAAACGGCAGCACGCAGCCATACAGCGCCAGCACCTGTTTCTGGTGGATCAAGTGGGCGACGGGGATAGGCGTCGAGTGAATCGTTTCCATGCGACCGTAAGCGTCAACGAGCGAGTTCAACTGCACTGTCATTTGCGAGGAGAGCGGGGCATTGAACCAGCCTCTGTCAGCGCCGCGACGGATGTAGCCTTCGACTAGGATTGTGAGTTGGAGGGGTAGGCCGAGGCCTTGGTCTTCGTAGCCCATAAGGCCTTCGGGGAGGAGGGAGACGTATTCGTCTTTCTTCATGGGGGTAGTGCCGTCGCCGTTTTCGAGCGTGGCGGTGGATTGGCTGAGGAGGGGGGTCGTGGCTGTGCTGGGAACGGCGGTGGAGGCGAAGGAGAGGGTGGGGAAACTGCCGTTGCGGTCGATGTAGCTGGGGCGGCGGGAAACGGGGCGCGAGCGCTGGGGGTACACGCTGGGTTGCTGGGTGGGCATGGATGCTAGACTGGCGGGGGGAATGTTGAATTCGGCGCGGAGGTTGTGTTTGATACTGTATAGGACGGCCACGAGGACGCGTACTATACGTTCCGTATCTCTTCTCTCGGCTTCGCTGGCGTGGCCGTCGCGGTCATGAGAGTTTACAAGGGAGATTCGGGCTAGATTGCGGACGCTGGTGCCAATCGTCGTGAGACAGTTCCTGCCGGTCCAGAAGCGGTCGTAGCCGGTGCTGTTGCGGAAGACGAGCATCAGGCCCACGACGATGGAGAGCGAGGGTATGATGGTCGCGGGGATCGAGATGGAGTCGACATAGCGAGTATCGATGTAGACGATGAGGACGGTCCAGAGTGAGTGGAGTAACACTGGGGTAACGATGATGTCGTGGACGGCACCCTTTGCGAAGCGCAGAACGAGCGGGATACGGCGTGGTTTACGGCGAAAGGCGTGAGCGAGGGGGTAAGTTGGGCGGCGGGTATGATGAAGCGTTGGAGTAGACGCGTCCATGGCTGAACGGGATAGGTGGATGGATGTCTGGATGGTTGGTTCGGAGAGTTTCTCAATCTGCTGTAGTGACGGTTTGCTTTTTGAGGCGGTCAGCAAAAAGCCGGAGAGAGCAAAGCCTGCTTCCTTATCTTCCCCCGCAAACGTTAGCGACGGGTGTGAGTGGGGAGATATGGGTTGTAAGTAATATGTGGAACGACGACGGTGAATTAACAAGGATATTGTGCCTGGTCCCGCTGCAACCAAAGCCTGTTACAAAACTACACCGCTACTACTAACACGAGGCCGCCTAGGTGTCGTCGAATTGCCTTTGCATACGATGGCGGGCACGTGGAGGCTTTTACGGCACAGTTGGTGCCGCGCATAGTGTATACTAAGAGCTTCTAGTAGGTGAATGACTGGGATGGGGCTGCCTCTGTCACATGGGGCTCGACGTGAGACTCCACCCCACGTGCAATGACGCACCGGCAACCCGCGCAAAACCGCCTCGGCCGAACGCGCATCGCGCGTCTTTTTGGTAATTGTTTGTTATCAACAACCATGGAAGTCCGATAACATCCATCCCATGTCTTTCCACATCGTGCGAGTTAAACTTACAACTCTCTCCACACACACATGTAGAAGTAGCCATGGCGGACTCACATCATGATCCCCATCCCACCACCACAACCATCCCAAATGCATCTACTAACCCGCCCTCCCCTTCACCCAATACAACACCCAAACCCCCTCCACCGTGCGCCACCCTGATCCAAAAACTCCGCATCCTCCTCCTGCGATCCCTCTCAAAAACCGCTCACACAACCGACCACACCCTCGTCCGCCTCGACACCCTCTTGTCCACCCCCAGCGGCATTGACACTCTTCTCTGCACAACATCCTACACCCTAACCCTCCTCTCCGCGCTGCTCTCCAAAATTCTTGAACGTCGCCTTACAACCATCGCCTCAGACATTGCCTCAAAAGCCGACGGCATCCTCCTCCCCGGCGAAACCCTCATCGCCGAAATCCCCGCATCTACAAGCACAAAGCGCATCGCGCAGGTGCTAGGCGGTTCGAAAGCGCTGGCCGAGGTGATATCAGACTACAGGGTGTTTGTGCGCATGTGGAGTTTGGTGGGGCTGTATACGTGGGCAAGGGCTACGTATTCGGACCCGCTGGCCGTAGGGGCGGGGCGTAAAGAAAAGATTCTGAGGGCATTGACGTGGTCCAGTATTGCATCGTGTGTGGGATGTCAAGTTCTCGAGAATGGGGCGTATTTGGCGAGTAAAGGAGTGTTGACGGGGGATGGGTGGGTAGGCGAGGCTGGGAAGAAGAGAGAAAATAAGTGGTGGACGGTGAGTTCGCGGTTGTGGGCTGCGTATGTGGGGATTGAATTGCTGAGGTTGGGGGTTGAGTGTTATTATTCTTCGTCTGATGGTGATATTGTTGGTAGGGGGGTGGGAGATGGCGAGAAAGAGGAGAAGATTGAGGTTGAAGAGAGGAAAAAGAGTAAGAAGTTGGAGAGTTGGCGCTGGTGGAAGGATCTAGTGTCGAATATTGGTTATGCTCCCATGACGCTGCACTGGTCGGTGGAGGAAGGGCTGTTGAGCGAGTTGGGCGTGGGTGCTTGTGGTATGGTTGCTGGCGGAGCATTGCTCGTTGATGCTTGGAGTAGGACCGTGTGATTCCCACATGAGATACGGTGTGCAGTTTATTACTGCCAGGACTGTGAGCTGACCTACTACATTCCATAGTTCGCGTTGCAAAACTAGAGCTCGTAAATACTATAGAGTTAGATACAAGACCTGTGTATACAGCAGACCTTCCTTACACTCCAAAAGACCTACTCAAAATATTCGTAACCCGCATAAGTCAATCATACAAATTCAGCGGGTAAACCGGCCCATTACCACCATCTCATTTTCGTTTTCGGTCCTTTCTTAACCACCTACCATCCCAAGTACCACCAAACAGACCCCCGACATCGCACCACGCCCATCTCACCGTCCCCGCCTGCCGCCATAAAAAACAACTCTCCGGCCCCGTTGTAGATCTCCTAATCCCAATCCATACCCAACTCTTAGCCCACCTTCCGCATTAGGCTCTAGCCGCCGAGACTTACCCTGTCGATCGCTGACCACACAACACGGCCAACCTACCAGCGCTGCACATGGGCGCGGTTACGGTATTTCCGGCGGTTAGGTACAGGAGTGCGATAAGGTAGGGTAAGAGAGGTGTGAAACAGTGCTCATTTTAGCTGTCGGGACAGGGGTGGGCGAATGGGAAGGATGGGATGGGACGTGAGGGTATGGGGAGGTGCGTAGGTACCTTCCTGATCGACGGAAGCGGGTAAGGATTCAAACGGAGTGGTATTTAGGCCAAGTAAGAAAATGTAAGGAGCAACTGTAATGCAGTTTGAAACATTGTTTTGAGAACGCCAGCACGCCCAAGCTTTGGAAGATATGATAGGTCCAAGTTGGCCCCTAGCATTGCGTTACCCACGGAGCATAATGCTTGCTTTTGGGATGGTGGAATCTTGATAGTCGACGCTCGGAGTTGTATTAATTAAATTTCGTTACCATCTTCCCTTCTAGGACTGCACCCGTGATGAGATCGGCGGAGCCCGCTTTGTTTCATAGACTACCAGTTGTCTCAGCGGGGACAGCAACCTTAGAAGTATATAAGATTCTGTATCGAACCTCTTTTGAGTTGAGAGGATAGGTCTGATACCACCAGCACCCACCCACCCAATTCTCTCGTTCAACACAGACAGAACCAAGCACTCTCGCTCCCCTCACATGTACTCGCAACGATGCACTTCCTAACCACACTCTTCCTGACCCTCACCCCACTCGCTCTCGCACTTCCTACCTCCCCTCCCACTTCCGCTATTGCCGTCGAACCCAGACAAAGCTGCTACGCCACCTGCGGCACTGTCTGCTACACCTCCGCCCAAGTCAGCGCCGCCGTAAAAGCAGGCTACGGCTACTACAACAACGGTGACGAAGCGGGCAGTTCGACGTATCCGCACACGTACAATAACTACGAGGGGTTTAATTTCCCGGTTTCTGGGCCGTATCAGGAGTTTCCGTTGAAGAAGTCGGGGACGTATACTGGTGGTAAGTATATGATTTTGGGGCGAGGGAGATTGGGAGCGAGATTGGGCTAATTTGTATGTTGGTGTAGGATCACCCGGTGCAGATAGAGTTATTTTCAATACAAAAGGCCAGTTGGCGGGGGAGATTACGCATACGGGGGCTAGTGGGAATAACTTTGTTGCGTGTACGTGAGTGGGTAGGTTAGATGAGAAGGCGAGTGAGGTGGATGGGGCAAGAGGTCTACTAGGCCCTGGATGGTTGTCATCGAAGTTGGGTGATAGTTGACGAGGGATTGGTTATGATTTATGATAAATTGTTGTTTTTAATGAGATGGCAATGTGATGAAGAGGTGTATATAGGAATGGAATTGAGATTCAATCTTAGAGAAAACTGCAGCTGTTCCGGTCAGCTGTATGTTTCAGTACTGGGGTGTACATGCTATCCTAAGGAAAATAATCTCAAGTTGGTTAGCTATCTTATCAAATCTATGTAATCTTTGGTGCTTTAGTTTGGTCCGCCATATGGATAGTGTACGTTCGTAGAGGTAGGGTGTAAAGAAAGTTATGATGCTCATCAACTCGGGGTCTTCAAATTCTTTCGATATTGGATATAATAGATGAATTTCTTCTAAGTATAGCTAGATTCATACTTTACATGATGTACTAGCTAAGATTCGGTGTTTTGTTGGAAATGGTTACCACACGTAGGCGCCAAATCCCGCTTAGTCATATTTCGGAGGTAGCCATGACGTCATCAGTATACAAAAAACGGGGACGAACAGCGCTTGACGGTTTCACCAACACTTCTTCTACAAACCATTCCTCTATAGTAATCCTCTATAGTAAGATCGTCGCATAATAGTCCTTATGTGACATTGCTCAGTAATAGGTCGGAACAGAGCCTCGTTCCCCCGCTCCCTGTCAGGTTGGTGCGTTGGCACCTCCTCCCAGCCTGGTCTGAATACGTTCCGATACGCGCAACAGTAACTTTAGATCGTGCCTAGATCTCTGACTGATGTGATAGAAAGGTTATCAACAAGAGGATTTGACCAGTTTCTGACTGTCACTAGAAGGTACAGAACCGTCTGATTGGTGGCGCGTCCTCCATTTTACCGACCAAACGGAGAACTGCACTGCCGAACGCATGTGCACGTAGTTACACTTCTATTACAGCTTAGTGTTAGTGTTAATAGGAAGCAGGCGGATATGCTCCGGAATTGTGTTGCAAGGCTGAGCTCGGTTAATAAGATTCGCCAGCAGTCAATGTACCATGTTCCGTAACCAGGATCATGTGCATGTGCTACACCGTTAAACTGCTATCATGGGGGCGCTCGCCACGGCAATCCGGATAACGTGAACCTTAATTCATGTTTTGTATTCTACCGCAAGGCCAAGGGAAACAGACACGCAGGACCTTTTCACCGCTTCCTTGTTATCACGCATTGTCGACTGCCAATAGTGGAAGATCTGACAGCCAGCCACTTCTACTTTTCGTCAGCATATTCGCTTAACCAAGCATTGATGTACGCAGAACTAACTCTCAGCACTGCCATCATCACATACACTGCCGCACACACCCATATCGTATGAAAACCTGTAGATCACTAAATGAGAAAATCTTATCTTAGTACGTACGGAAGTCTCAACTAAAAGTTATTAGAACGACGATTGGTACGTCATCAGCTGTGCTGCAGTATCATGACCTGTCACAGAATTCAACCTGATTACCCGCGTGGAGTGATGTACTTATACACCATCGGGGAAGCGGGTTCCTGCAGGCTTCTATCTCTTACAGACTCGGCAGGCTGTGTGGGTTATGGCAACAGCATCTACGTTATCGTTGAATGCAACATGATCTTTGTTCGCTTGGGGAAGCGGTTAACGATCCTATTCTTTCCTCTTACGACTAGTAACACCGTTAGATTCCAAGCGCTCTGAGTTGCCCGCCTATGAGCCGATAGGTATGCTGCCTGATAGCCGCAATCACCGCGCGATAACTCTACTAAGGGTCCCTTAGAGTCAATTTTTTGTTTGCATTCATTATGTTCATGCACTCGCAGGATTTCGCCTGCGTTGCGGCCCAAGCAGCGCAAAATGCACAATGATGCGCTCGTCGGGACATGAATGAATCGCTTCCCCGCTGTTATTTGATGATACCATCATCGGTACGGTCGGCCCGGAAGCAAAATTTCGGGCTGAGCACTGCATAGAAACTAGGTTTTCTGAGTCCCCCGTGTCAAGGGCATCTTTACCGTGAGTCACAGTATGCGACCAGACTTTTTGGATTGGTTCATACTCGTGATACACGAAACAATGCTGTACCTTATGATTTAGACCAGTTCCCATCCAGTCAGTACCATCTGCTGTGTCTCGTATCGGGATCGGCCCGGTGGCTTGTTCGAGCCGGCATTAAGGCTTACACGGCATTCGATGGGGGAGCTTCCGTTCTTCCATGCCAATGAAATGGTATCAAGTTGAATTCTAGCCACGTCCTGGACAAAGGACACCTTCTACAATGGGACAAGCTTGTCGGGGAAGGGGGAAGTATCCGCTGCACATGCCCTACTCCTTCCCCATCAAGCTTCTGCTTACTAGAGTAGTAAGACAAGATGAAATGAATAACTAGGTAGCGAGTCATGCCGATTCCGCGAAGTGATTTGTCTAATCGACTGCCCTCCCAAGGTAGGCTGTCTCACTCTCGTGGGAGTGGCTCATTTCAATCCAGCATGAACCAGCATGGGCACGTATAAGTAGCACCTTGCGCGCCTATACTCATCACTTTTCAAAAGCTTTCATACATCGCTACTGTCGCATACAATTCTCGCATCATGAATGCATCGAATGCTTCAATTGCTACCATGAGGGCTACTACGTATGGCCCCTCAGAACAGGAGGACAGGAAACGATCTTCTCTGGAAGAACATCATTACGAATCTTCCAGCAACTTCAAAGATATCAAAAATGTTGGCAGTACTTTCCAAGGCTACAGCAGTGACTTGTTGGGTGTGGGGACGTGGGTCCCCACCCAACAGAATCCAGGCACCGCTGCTTCTCCTGAAGAAGGTACACTACGACCTGTAATCATTTCGATTAGAGTGCTGACGCGCCAAAGCCCGGAAAGGTGTGCCACAACACCCATGTACCCACCATCAAGCAATACATGCGGTATGTCTCGGATCGAGCGACGACCACCGTGCCATTATCAGCCTCCTAGACGACCCTTACGCCACGGGCTCGACTGATCATGCTGACAGGATGTTGGCTGGTCCATCTTCTGCCGCGGCGTGCACGTGCGTTACAGACATTCAGGCAGACATCGATGGGGCGCAAGTGACCGCAGTGACGACGAACGGTGCCAAACCGAACGGAAGGCAGACTCACGGCATCAAATAGCGCTTCGTTTTCCGTATGGGATTCGAAGTACTACACAGGGCTAATCTAGTTGCTGAGAACACGAGATTTCAGGAGTTAGTGTGACAGAATGAAGTACAAGAATTTTTTCTTTCTACCACTCGCTTTCTCTCGGTGAAAATGATGAGCAAAATGATACCATACCGTGCAGAAGTCACAAAACGGCTGCCTGGCGGCTATATTTCTTCGTTGTGGGTGTTGGCCCCATGCATGAGCAAGGCTGCGCCGCATACCCTCTACGCGCCTCAGCCTCCTTTTCACCAAGACCAGTCTTACACGTGGCCATGTACTTGATTTTTTTACCTGCAGACTGGAGACCGTCTTCCAAAGTTTCCTATGCTGCGACCGTCATTTACGCTATACTCCCTATAAACGCCCATCCTGAACGACGCGGCTCCTTTCTGCAGGCGGCAGGACCATCCACAGTGACACTCGTCAACAATATGTAGAGCCCCGACAGCCTACGCATATTTTAGACGAAGGATGACATTGGAAGATATCGACGGATCAAAGCAAATGGAGACTGAAGCGATACGGCGCACTGTACGTGCCCCCTGGTCACAAACCTAAACTGGCGCGTCCTTCACCTCAACAAAAGGGGACAAACGCGCACGATCGCAGCAAACTATCTATCTTAATCAGCAATTACTCTATAGAGCAAAATGATAACTTGCCACAGCCCCTATCGGAGCTACTCGCCGCCCTACCGGCCTGTCCGTCAGACTCCTCACGCGAACGTCCCGACGGCTTCAGCCTCGTCCATACAGAGTCACATACCCTCCAACACACACACACACACACACACACACATACATACAAACAAACACACAGATGACCATCTAAATTTGCTAGAAATATGATTGTTCGTATCGTCATAGAGGCGGACAACTGCATAGATGGGGCGGAAGACACTGTTTGGACGGATAGGAATCGTCAACGGCGTCAGATATACTAGCGAATCATCGACAAAACGGTAAAAACGGTCGAGATGATTCGATAATCCCCAGCCACAAATACAACGCGACACAATCCATCAATTGCCGATGAAATTGATTGGAGGGCACTGCAGTGGGTCTGGGATGGTCGCTCATCAAGCTCAATCGCTTCTTCGCCAGCTACCTTGATTCCCAAAACATCCTCGTCCCGTCACGACGGACTCAAAACACTCCATCTGCGTACAAGAAGCCAATACGTTGCCAGTAACACTCCGATTTCCTGCTTCACCATTGAAGTAGCGAAATCATCCAGAAATCCTGTACAACGAGTCCAGAGAGATGGAATAGCTTTCGACCTTGCCATCGGAGCAACCAGGACTTATCGACCATGGTAACAAACAACCATGGAGCCAACAGTGTCGGCGCAACCAGAGACAATTTCTCTAGAAACACCATCCCAATCCCAACAGCCGCACGTAGCCATTAGCAGTGCCACTCGCCGCTTTTCTTGTGAGCTGAGACAAGTGCCGAGAAAGCTGGGTAGAGCTCTCGTCAAGCTCTTCTTGTCCATCCCGCCCGGCCTACCCAGTCCCTAAGTCGCAGTTCTCTCATGCTTCTTGGATGCTAGATGGGCCACAGCTTGACCGTTTTAACCGTCGCTTAAACCTAAGTAACATCCCATGATAAGATGAGGTTCAGTTTTCGCAATTGATGTACATCCGCTTTGGTGTGAGATAGAACCCCACCATCGTTATTGCAAACCAACCAACAGCCTCTAGGATAGAACTAGATGATATGTGTTCTCAGGTCAGAAGACCTGACACTGTTCGACTACTGGGCCAGGTCTATTGCATCTCGGACCGATCGTAGATGAGGTTCCGCAGCGTATCCAATATGTAAGGCACGCAGCAAAGGCCGACGTCAAGGTCTAGTTAATGGCACTAGGACGAGAAGCCATGCTTGCTGAGTGGTACCAAGTCTACAGCTGACTAGCTTACATTTGGGAGTGATTCATCTAGTGTCGTTTCAGTAATGACGGATTGTTCCATGATTTGAGCTAGCCGGGAGCTAGGGCAAGGAGCCTTCCAGAGCTCAAGATGCTAGAACTTTATTCCGAGAAATGGGGGATAGGCGGCTCTAGATCTGTCAGGTGGAGAAGGTGCAAGCGCGGGGCTTGTGGACAAGCGAACGCACGGATCTCTCTACCTTCGATCTTTTCGCTGCAGTCAGGCTCAATACTGGCGTCGTAGACTCCATCAAAACCGGCTTTATTATTCGTCCGGATTCTTGTTGACTGGTAGATGCTGCCCAGGCAGAGTGTTTTTGTCTCCGTGACGAGGCCATATTTTCTTCTTCCGCCACTTCGCCCCTTCACTCGGCGTGTCCCTTTGTACCCTGTTGCAAACATGGACCTATCTACGGATGCAACTGAACGCGTTCGTAGGTCACTAATACAATTTGAGGGGGTGTGGCTGACTGAGAGTGTAGAAAGGCTCCGTGCATCATGACACTCATGCAACGCCACCGCAATTTATTCAAAAGGAGCATTGGCGATACCAAAGCATGCGCAAAGCCGACCTAGAGAATGATCCAGACATTTTTGATCTCAGCAAACGTGATCATTTTAGCGAAGAACGGAAAGATATATGGCGCCCCGCAGGTATCATCCCAGCTGCTCAAATCGAGGCTGCTTGCCAGGCTTATGCAAGGGGTAAAGCACTATCGGTACCTGCAGAAGACGCACAGATTTTCGAACACCGGGATTTCCCTGGTCTTCAGGTCATCTCTGGCCTTCTTCCACCCGAGACCCAAGTGCTCTTTACTTCATGTCTGATGCATAGGGATTTGGCCGACCCAGGCCACAAAATCAACCTTCAGGTGGATTACGATATTCCGTACCCACCGAAGCCTACATCAGAAGGACTAAGGTTTGACAGCAACTTCTTCCTTCGCGGGCGCGCAGAGGAAGAGGACTTTCTGATACCAAAGAATCCTGATAAACAGAAACCACTCAATAATGAGCAATTTCTCTACACTAAGCTTCGCTGGCTCACGCTAGGGGAACAATACGACTGGCCGACTCGTAGTTATGCAAAGCATGCAACGCCATTCCCAGAAGACCTCTCAACACTAGTCACTGGTCTTTTCCCACATATTCGGCCCGAATCTGGCGTTGTTCTGATGTACTCGGCCAAGGACTTTATGCCTGTACACCGCGACGTTAGCGAGCAATGCCAACGAGCGCTCGCAAGCTTCAGTGTCGGTTGCGATGGCATATTTCTCATGGCTAGGGGAGAGGATGATGGAGAAGGGGAGGATGCACCAAGAAGTGTCGCGATCCGAGTTCACAGTGGTGATGTTGTGCATCTCACAGGTAATGCTCGATGGGCATGGCATGCGATGGCACGTTCGATCCCAAGCACATGCCCAGCACATCTCGCAAGTTGGCCAGTTGGGACGCCAGGCTCTACTTCAGCTGAGGAGAAGGCCTACAAGAAGTGGAAAGGTTATATGGGTACTAAGCGTATCAATGTCAGCTGTCGGCAGGTGTGGGATTAGACAAACGGAAGCCAGAGGAACGGGCCGCCTAGAGAATACCATTGCAGCGGAGGCGAGGTCATTTGCGCCCTGGTGGAACATTCGGACCCGTACATCCGGTGCATCGTAGGTCCGTCCAAGGCCCCCCGTGGCGTTATGGTGGAGCTCTGGTCAGAAACGAAGAAAACCCACCTTGGTACGTGCAAAACGTCAAACCACACTCCCAAAACATCGCTACTTCTTCTTCTGACTCTTGGAAGCCGACAAATAGAGATTGTTTGAATGCGCTGACTGGTTTGACATTTTGTTGTGGCACTCTTGGATGCTCTTTCCAATAAACGCAGGGTTCAACGTGGGTCCAGACTTCTCCAAATTACCCCAAATTCCTTTTTTGCTCGGCTTACCCTGACTTTGTGCGAACGGTATGAAATCCGCCCCGAGCGAGTCAGAATACATGGTACTGTAATTGTATACCAAAGTCTGACGAGCCGTTATCACGGACGTGTGGTTCGTCGGCAAGCCACATTTCACACTAATGCTCGTACGTACCAAGCCTTGAGAGGTGCATGATGTCTTAGCTCCAATCGCGGGGGACGGATCATCAGCGTCCTGAATGCCTTGCGACAGCACCCTAGTCACTTCGGACATGTAGCTATCTACCGGTGGCGGCCGCAGCATGTCGTGGACCTTGCTTTCCCTCGCGTCAGGAGGGCCGTGCTGCCTTGAACGCTGCAGATTCAACCCACTCCTGACTACGCCTTCTGGAGCAGGTGCAAGGATGGATGGCTTAAAGTTACTACTCCCCGGCGTCTCCTACCCTTCTCTGCTAGTTTTACCAGTTCATTGTTCTTTGCTCGTTGTTGTATCGCATCGTTTGCTAGCGAAGGACTGGCGTGAACCATAATGGGTTTTCTGAACTTTCCCCAATTACGTTACCATGGACCCTGGGTTCAGATGCTGATTGCAGGTATAGGTGTTGGTTCATCTGCAGGCATCTATGTCGCCCTCAATCTACTGGGTGCCGGTGGTGGAAGGCCGGACTCAGCACAGGTCGTTCAAGTCGTCAATGCGACTTTATGTGCAGGTAAACTTTTGTATGTGGACCATGTGTGGGATACATACTGATCATTTCCAGTATGGTTTCTCTCATCCTCTTTCGGTGGCTCCATCTTGAACAAACTGGGTCCTGGTGTCACCATGTGCATCGGAGTTCAAACATACGCTGTATATGTCGGATCCCTCTGGTACTACGATGAGACTGGCAAAAAAGGTTATCCATACGCTGCAGGTCCCATTATCGGAATCGGCGCAGGCATGGTCTTCATCACCGCTGGTTATGTCGCAACAGCATACCCAGAAGAAAGAGAAAAGGGCTCCTATGCAACGATATTGATGAACATGCAAGCGCTTGGCTCCGTCATTAGCGGTATCATACCCGTCATCATCAACAGAGATTCCGATACTGTCGCGGGCGTCCCTCGTTCAGTTTACATCTCCTTCATCGCCATCATGGTCGTCGGTGGTTTGCTGTGCCTTTTCCTGCTACGACCACACAAGCTCAAAAGAGATGATGGCTCAGTAGTAGCTGTTGATCGGCCAAGAGGAGCTTGGGAGGAGCTCAGATCGAATCTTTTGGTATTCAAAGACCCCATGTTGCTCATGATGCTACCCGCTTTCTTGCCTTCTGAGGGGTTCCTGGTATACAGCGGATCAGTTAATGGTAAGCCTTGCCCAAAGATTTTTGTCTTCATTGCTTACTATCTTTTAGCTTTTAACAACAACCTCCGCACGCGCTCACTATTATCCTTCATCGCTGTGGTTTTGCAGATACCTGCGGGCTGGGCTTTGCAATACGTTCTTGACTACCCAGGCTGGGGACGCCGAAAGCGTGGATTGGTTGGTTTGACTGGAGTCTGTGTGCCTCTGGTTATCGCCTGGGTCTGGGAGATGGTAGGTCTTAACGCCATTTCACACACATGCTCAACGTATTAACCACAATCTAGATTCGCACCCGCAACTACGACCGTAACAGCCCACCCACTCACCCTACGGATTGGACAGATCCAAAATTCGGTTGGATCTTCTTCCTGTTCATGCTGAACTGGGTCTTCTCGCAGCTATGGCACAACATAGTATACTACTGGATTGGATCCCTCACAAACTCGCCACATAAACTCACCCACTACGTTGGCGTTTTCCGTGGAGTCCTCGGCGCAGGCGAAGCAATCTGCTTCGGCCTAGACAGCATCAAGATTCCCTTCATTGCCGAAGCAGGTGGTATCCTCTTATTCTACGTCATGGGCATTGCAAGCTTCTACTACCTTGGAATCTATCACATAAAGGACACGAACTACGACAAGACAGAAGAAGGGGCAGTTATTCCGAATCATGTCCTACAGGAAGAAGGGTGGACACCGGCACTGGAAGCCGGCTCCAGTGCAGCTTCAAACAAGCAGGGCGGAGAAGTCACGGAGGTTGAGAAGGGGGGCTCATTGGATCGTGGAGAAAAAGCCTAAGGGATATGCACACCCTCCCAATGACTCGAAGCACACATATAGCTCAACGGTATAAAATTTGTAAATGACATAGCTTTAGCAAGCATCCAAGTTCTCATCCAATCGTCCCATGGGAGGCCTATATCCTCCAGTTTTTGTTTTTGTTTTTACCGCCACTCCCGCTCCCCTTCCCCTCCACCAGCTTACGCCCCATGCACAGTGATATAGAGCCATGCATACCTCACCCTGGTGCCGCGAACCCATACGGACCCCGTTTTTTAACCAAACCCACTCCGCCACGCACAAGCGCTTTCAGCTCGTGCGCTCTGGACTTATGCCACCCTGCATCTGCACATACAGCCCGTTCGCATGCTCTTCGGTTAAGGCAATTGCCTCGCTAACGCCATGTCACGAAATTTGATCGACAGAAAATAGTATGCGCAAACCCTTTTGACTACTCGCGGCGGGTCTGTCCATACTGGTAGTCCCCGTACCCACGCGGGCCGTTCCTAAAACGCCGCATCAGCACCGATTCACGGTATATCATGTATCCTCGCGGCGTGATTGCTGATGGATGGTTTGCCGACACAGACACGTTGTGTGCGTGTGGTGGGTCAGTGCTACCTAGTGCCGGCTTTAGATGACGTGTGTGGATCAATGCGTAAAGGGTGAGTGGGGGAGCACGGAAATGTCTACATTTTGGGCGAGGGGGCCTCGTGTTCAAGGCGTTTGGAGAACAAAGGTGGATAACGTGCGTTAGGTGTAGGGGTAAAGGTCTTCAGTGGAGTGGAATATTACCCGAGGTGACAGGATGTCGCTGGGTGGTTGCGGATGGACCCGAAGGAGTAGTAGTAGTAGTAGTAGTATCCATTAACGTCCTTTTTCAGTCAGAGACTATGTAGGACGGTGGCCTAGGGCCGTTTGACTAGTTTTTTCCCTCTATACCCGTAGGATTTCGTTTCTTTGGTCGAGTTTGACTATGGGGGTTTGGGTTTTTTGCTTCTATACAGGAAAGAGAGAGAGACCTTGTAATAGACACCCGTTTATCTCCACCTTTGTGACCAATCCCTTTGCTATAATAACCCCGTGCTCCTAAGACTGAAAAAAACCTCGTAGGGGAAAAAGTCATGGGACCTTGAACGTTTGTTGTATATAGCGGCAGTTGCGGCATATTTTCGTCTCGGCGGTACTTTGTGGCTCGGTTGTACGGCGGCGGCTAGCGTTAAGCGTGCGGGGTATTGGTGAAAAACTTTCCAGGTTTCGAAAGGAGCCGTTCGATGTTTTTTGGTAAAGCTAGAATAATAGAATTATTATAGCGGTGAGGGGAGAAGGATTCGAACCTTCAACCTCTGCGAGCAAGCTAGCAGAAGCAACCAGGCGCACTACCACTGCGCCATCCCCCCGACCCGAAGGAGTAGGATCTGCGGTAATCGACCTACGTGGGATAAAGTTTCGCAAGATAGCTACAAAAGACGCAAGCCGTTGCGAACGCGAATGCGAATCATAGCGTTTGCACTTAGAGATGTACATCAATAAAGATCTTAACGTATGTATGATTAGAGTAAGTTCTTTATAGGCATCCTTCATCACCACACACCCAATCAGGTACCTTTACTTTACTAGCTTACATAACCAGCTGCTTTCACGACTGCCGGGCTCATCGCTGTCGTACTCAATTTCCACCCATTCCTCCTATAGGTCCAAGAGTTCAAACTTCACAAGCAGCGTACACGTAGTTTCATGTCCCCCTAAGTCCAACATGCGGATGAAACTCCACCCAGGCACGGTGTACATGAGCCTGATGGCCGAGACAGCGAAGATTGGGTTTCGGGCGAAGCTGTCGTCGCTCTTGATCAATAGACGAAGGAAGACTAACTCGTTGTCGTCATATTCCCACTCAAGAACTTCTTTCCAGATGGGGTCAGTGGCTGGTGAGTTGTCCTTGTGCAAGAAGCCGGTAAGTTTGTGGGGCTTGTAGCCGGCGGTTTTGCGCTTGGGTGGCATATTGTTCAAGTCATTGGGATGCACAAGAGTGCATGTGAGATAGGGTTTTATGTCATCGTGTTCGCGGTCTTTCGGCAAAGGGACGTCTGTGGCGCCTGCAACGTGCAAGCGAAGTTTCTTACGGCGTCCAGTACTGAGATTACCAGAGCCACCTGCGCGAAGTGCAGCCGGTTTGAGAACATAACCGCCTGAGCCCGCAAAGAGCGCTTCGTTGATCTGAGAGCTGGCACCGAACGTTTGCCAGTTCAATGCGCAAATTTGAGCGCCTATTCCCCAGAATGGCACTGGTGCGAGGTTCTTGGAAGAGATACGGGTGCCTTTGGGGTATACGCGCATCAGATGGTGGGCATTATGACGCGCGATCTTTGCGCTATTTGCGGGAAGGTGAGCTCTCAAACCGGACTCTGAAACGTTGATGAGCTGGTGGTGAGGGGCATTCTCAAGCTCGCTTTCAAACCATGAGTTGTTGACAGGCTTGACCGATTGCGCATAAACACCTAGTTCAGCCAACTCTGGAATAATGACACCAGCATTAGTGGCTTTCTTCTTCTCTGCATAATCGTGACGAGCTTGCTTTTGCTCTTCTTCATCGGAGCTCGAGTCGCTGCTGCTACTACTCTCCACTTCGTTGGGTAGATGGTACTCCACGATGACTGCGACTTTATTTCCTAATTCTGCAAGCGTGATGTGCTCATGTTTATGAGGATCATCTTGCTCGCGAGTGCCCTTGTCGCGAATTTCTTTGCTAAGGAGTCGGTGCCCGAGGACTTCTTGCAAGATTTGTGCGAGACGAAGTTGGCCGTGCGCGTCGCAATGGTTTTCCAGGGAGATCATGATGGGCGCGGCGTTCATCTCATTTGCGGCCTCTTCGTCTACGACGTTGCGAATCGTCTCGCATACTTGGCGAAAGGGAATATTGGAGACGAGTGTGTAGCCATGAGTGACCTTTGGCTCGTCCTTGTTGTTCTCATCGTCCCAGGCATCGATCTCAACGCAACGCGATCCGGTGTGAAGCGCGATCTCGTATGCAGCGGCATGCGACTCGCCAAAAAGTTGATGAGCCATCAGATAGGTGTTATGGGATGAGCTGATATAATATTCTGGGAGTGGGTGGTGTCTGTCAATGACTTCAGAAGGTACATTGATGTGACTCTTCTCGAGCAACTCCCGCAACGCCATCGTTGGTTCATCGACTTTGAGCCCAGCTTCAGACTCCTGCAAGACGCCTTCTTTGACGAGATAGCTCTTGATTGCTTCACTCACGCGAAGCTTGTCTTTCGTGACATGCGACTGACGCGCTGCATGTCCGCCGCCTGCTACCGTTCCTGCGTCGATAGCCTCGCCTTTATCTTCGTCGTCCACTGGTTTCTTCGAGAAGGGATTAAGCTTAGAGATACCAGATACTAGGTCGGCCATGATGCGCTATAATGCTAACACGAGGAAGAGAATAAGTGTACCGCCACAGTGATGAGGGGTTATTGTGGCAGGTTCACTGCTGGTGGGGCAGGCTTGGCCGGTGTCCGGTTAGCACGGGATGAACGTCCTTAGCTGTACCCCACGCTTAATAAGGTACTAAGACCCATAACGATGCAGCTAGATATCTACTTAATCTATCCGTGTTGTTCTGAGCGCGCAAGCTGTTAAGCTTATAGTCGCAACATTGAGTCCTACATTAATTGATAAGAGTAATCCTAAGAGGTGTTTGATGATGCTGGATTTGTGTCTGATCATACGATTCAACTCCACACGAGTACCATGATTGCTGGGTACTTAATCTGTATTCATACTAGATAGTATAGCTTACTTGATATTACAACAGTTTCACAGAGGGGATAGGAAGGGCTGGTGAGGACGAAGCAACGCGGACGAATGTTAAATGCCACTAGCCGAATATAGTAAGCGCATTACCCAGCGCTCTTCCCTATACTACATCTCACGAACTGTATCGTACACATACCTAGGCCTTATCCAAATTTGACAGACCGTACCAGAAATAATGCCTTCGCTCACTTCGTTACCTACAGAGCTCCTCACCACGGTTCTCACCCACACCGTACGTATGCGCTGTGAACGGTCTGTAGGAACTGTATTCCAGCTACCTAGTCCAGATGCTATTTACAGTCAAGATGAAGAAAGAAGGTAAGACGCGAGCGGCGAGCCCGCTTTGTTTGGGTTGGCGCACGGCCCTCTCGTTGCCGGGGAAGCGACTAGGCTCGCAGCCTAGTCATGTGACTTAGGGCTCAGCCCGTTACATTACCCCCCTCCTTTCCCTTTAGCGTGTAGTTTTTTCCATTTCTTCCAAGCGTCAGTCTTTAGTACGTTGCTCACTGGTTCCCATGTCGGTTCAGTATAGTCCACCCACTTCACATATGCCTCCTTGATTCCTTTCCCTCCTTGCCCTATTGTCCGTTCGCCCAGAATACGCTCAACCAGCCATAACTCGTCTCCATCTATAAGTATAGGCCCTGGCTGAGTGTCTCCAACTTTCTGCGATGGGAAAGAGTCGTCAGGCGCGTAGCGAAGCAGGTCTACGTGAAAGACAGGATGGATTTTTCCCGGAACGTCAAGCTTATAAGAGTGGGAGTTGACCTGCTTCAAGACTTTATACTTTCCATGCAACCAGTCTAGCTTCTTGGAAGGTCGTGTTGTCTTCACGTTTCTAAGGTTTAGAAACACCCAGTCTCCCTCCTTGTATTGGGGCGCTGCTGTTCTTGTCTTATTAGCCTGATGCTGCTGTTTCTCTTGTGTCATCGCGATCGCGGCTTGGGCCCACTCTGTTGCATCTTGGAGTCTTTTGAGGAAGCCTTCTGCTAGTGCTTCGCCATCTTTCTTTGGTCGGTCCTGAATAGTTCGATCCTCTACTAGCTGAATAGGTTCATTGTGATATCCGTGCATGAAATAGAAGGGGCTTAGGCCAGTGGATGAGGCCTCGCGGTTGTTGATTGCTCCCATAACGACAGGTAAAAGTGCCAGCCAGTTTTCTTGCGTGTACGTGGCCCAGATTCGAATCATCTTTTCAATCTCTTGATTCATTCGTTCTGTTGCACCATCGGTTTGCGGATGGTAGGCAGTCGACAGGCGTTGCTCAACGCTAAGGAGCTTACAGAAATGCTTCCAAAGATCGCTAACGAATTGTGGTCCTCTATCGCTCGTAATTGCCGTTGGAATACCGTGAATAGGATAATGCCGTTCGAAAAGTCGTTGTGCTACGGCTTGTGCCGAGATATCGTGCATACCTTCTAGTTCAATTCCCTTTGTCAGCCGATCAGTGACCACCATACAGTTCGTTGCGTTATCCCGTCCAGATGGCGGCAAGTCGGTAATGAAATCGATTGAAAGTTCTCCCCATATACGTTCTGGGATCGGTAATGGTTTAAGGAGGCCCTTCTTTGTTTCTCTCCATATCGTATTCCTTCCGCAAATCTCGCAGTTACGGACAAAGCGTCGCACGTCGCTTGCTGCACCTGACCAGAAGAACTGCCTTGATAAGATTGAGTAGGTAAGATCTCGTCCGGGGTGGCCAGTAATATGCGAGTCGTGAATATTTTGAATGATTCGCGTGCGGAGTGGTTCGCAGTGAGGGATCCATGTCCGGTCTCGAAATCGTAACAAGCCTCTCTCGTCTAGGGTGCATTCTGCTATACTCACTAACTTCTCCTTCTGAAGCTTAGTAGGGAGGTTCCTCTCCTTATTTGCTACTAGTGTAGTAAGCTCCTGATAAAGCTTATCTTCTTGGCGGCTTCGGTGCCACAGATTCTGCATCTCCTGGTCCTCAAACATGCGTATCTCTTTTGTGAAGTCAATCTCCTCAGACGATAGAGACTGGATTTGAACACTCCGCAAGTGCTTGCTCTGGAAGAGACGGATAAATCGAGACCGTATTCGTTCATCGTCATAGTTGGCGGGTAGGTCTTGTTCTCGTCGTGATAGGGCGTCGGGTTTTCCCATAGTCTTTCCAGGTTTCCATTCCAGGGAGAAGTCGAATCGTGAGAGAAACTCTGACCAACGTACTTGTCTTTCAGACAGCTGTCGTTCGCGGTAGAAGTATTGGAGGTTCTTGTGGTCCGTCAGAACTGTAAACTTCCTAACCATACGTAGTTCAGGAGCCCATGCTTCTAAGCAACGAACAATAGCTAGAAGCTCCTTGTCATGAATTGGATAATTGGCCTCTGTTGGTGAGTGCTTCTTTGAGTAGTAAGCAACGGGTTGCCAGTTGTTGTTCTTGTCCTTCTGCAGCAATAGGCCGCCAGTTGCATGTCCTGAGGAGTCGGCTTCTACTAAGGTGTCCTTCTCTGGATCAAAATGGCCGAGTATTGGTGCTGTAATGAGAAGTTCCTTAATCGTTTCAAATGCTTGATTGCAAGCCTCGTCCCAATGAAAAACCATCTCTTTCTTAGTTAGGTTGATGAGCGGTTCAGCAATGTCCGAGAAGTTCGGTATAAAAACTCGGTAGAAGTTGGCAAAACCAATAAATGCTCGGATAGCCTTAACTGACGTTGGTGTAGCCCATTCGCGGATTGCGATAATCTTTTCAGGGTCAACTCGAATACCCACTTCTGCTTCCACAATGTACCCGAGGTATTTAACTCGTTTAGTCTCGAACTCGCACTTGTCGATATCAATCTGCAGTCCAGCGTCTATGAGGCGTTGAAGAACCTTTCCAACCTTCTCTCTGTGATCCTGAAGCGATCCTGACGAGTAGATCAAGATGTCGTCAACGTAGGCTGAAACAAAGTCGTCAAGGTAATCCTGCAGAACACTATTTACGTAGCGTTGAAATGCGGCTGGTGCTCCTGTTAGTCCGAAGGGAGCAACCCGCCATTCGAATAGGCCGTATCTTGTTCGGAAAGCTGTCTTCCATTCCTCTCCTTTGGCCACACGGATCTTGTGGAAGGCTGCGATAACGTCAAGTTTTGTGAACCATTTAGCTTTGGCCACATTTCTCAGTGTTTCTGTGAATAGAGGCAGAGGGTAACGGTCCTTCCTGGTGATGTTGTTCAAGCCTCGGTAGTCAACGCAAAATCGGATGCCCCCTCCTGGCTTTTTAACCATTAGGACGGGTGCGGCTGCGGGAGAGTTACTAGCGCGGATAAAATCCTTGTCTAACAGCTCGGTGAGAGTTTTCCTAAGCACTAGTAACTCTTCTCGGCTCATGCCGTAGAGCGGACCCCATGGAATGGTCTTCTCGTTTCCGTCTTGATCCTTTTCAATCTCAATGTGGAGATCAACGCCTTTACGATGCGGGGGAAGTTTCTCAGCTAGGAAATGGTCGAAAGCCTTCAGCCATTGGTGGTACTGGGGTGGGAGCTTCGTCTTCGGATCGGATCGTTTGCGCGGTTTCAAAGCTTTCTCAATGTCGGCGATGGAAACAGCGAACAGTCCAGTGTCGAGCGCAATACCGTCTCCTTTGTTCTTCCTACGGCTTCTTCTCACCTCCGCCATGAATGCGGAAGCCATCACCTGAGTAGCCTTCATTGGTGGTGGCTTGTATGACGCTTTCTTGTGGTTCCATGCGCGGATGTTTGATGCGCCGATATCCAGGCAGCCTTGTTTGGCCGAAATTGTGACGTCGGCATCCTCTAACCAGGGCTTTCCCAGAATCACGTCGTAAGTCAGGCCAGGTACAACGTAGAAGAAGACGCGTTTCTGCTGGTGGCCGTCTATGTCTATCGAGGCGTAAGTAACTGTATCTAGGACAGTACTTGGTTCTGCGTTCTTCCCAGCTGCTTCCTCCAGCTGACGCGGGGCTATCTTGATTGATGGCAGTCTCAGAGATCGAAAGAGTTGTTCATTGATGGCGGAATAGCAAAGGCAACCTGAGTCAACAAGTCCAGTGACAAAGTCAGTTCCATTATGTCTAACGTCCACTACAAAGGGATCGCTATCCATCTTTTGCTTTCCAGTCTCCTTCCATTCTTTCTGAGCTGCCGCGTGTTCCTATTGCTCTGCTTCGGAGTCTTCTGGATCTTCCTCCTCTACAGCTGCCTTGGTGACCACAGTACTCTTTGCTGTCTTGACGCTAACGTGAGTTGGTCGTAGAGCGGCTGCCAACGGGCATGTAGCTATTCGGCAATTGTTGCGGCCGCATCGAAGACAGCGTCGTTCCTGGCGTCGAGCATCGATTTCCTCTTGGTTGACCCATTTTGCTCGTTTTCCAATAAGTTCTCGGTCCTCAGGACGCCTAGATGGATATCCATTCATGTTGGTCTTGCCGCGGAGGCCGACAGCGTTCACTTGGGTAGTTGTAGGCTGCGTAGGTTCCCATTCCATCATGTCTTCAGGGGAAGCTGCTGTGAGAGTGGCATTATTCGATTTTGCTGGTGGTTCATAGGTTGGTGCATTTTCAGCAGTTCGGCTACCGTAACGCAGTGATCGGAATGGTCTGGTCTGGTCTGGTCTGAGGGTACAGACCAGACCAGACCAGGTGCTTACATAAGGACCGGTCCGACCAGACCGGTCCGACCAACAAGACCGCCAAGAATGAGGCTGAAGCAAAGAAGGAAGCCGAGGAAATGTGTTTTACTACTGACTGTCAATCTAGTCGTCTTCGTTCTCACTATCCTCGATATCGCTGTTCCCCTCAGCTTGGGGCTTTCCATACCAGGCCCGGAGACACTCGCACGCTTCTATAATATCTGCCTTCAGCCTACCACGGCGATCGACGATAGTAAGCTTCGCGCTACTAAAAAGACGTTCGCATTCATCCGACATAGGCGAGATCGCAAACATGTCTAGAGCGAAGCGAGCGAGATCTCGTTGGGAGTCGTAGCGAGATAGCCAGTACGCAATAGCCTCATTGCAACCTGCCTCTTCGTTATGAAGCCGGTCAGTAGAGATGTATTGTTCATACAAATCAGTTGTAGAAACTGGAGCGTCTATTCGAATGCGCTTATGTTCCCGCTGGCGATCAAATGCTGGGTCAGGATCTCTCTCCTTCCTGGCTGGTGGTGGCAGCATCTCGACAGGGTACCTTCCCTTATACTCTGTCTCCCAGAGATGCTTCACCGCTAATTGTGCGTTTTCAAACCACCTCTTCTTCTCTTCGTCGCCATGAAGAACCCACTCTTGCCTGAACCATCCCCACTTGCGATATGGATCAAGGATTTGAGCCGCATAATATGCCGGTGGAAGGTCAGTATCTTCAGGGAATCGATTTTGCCAATTCAGCTGCTGATCGTTATAGTACTCAACGCACTTTAACCAAGCAGCATCAGCGCAGCCTTGAAGGTACTTCCATGTAAAGTTGTTATCGTCCTCAGTGTGGATGTCGTGGTAGTGATCCTTCGTCTCGCTTATCTCCCGGAGAAGGCAGTCCAAAGTTGAAAACCAGTCCGCAAGTGACGTCTTCTTACCTTCAGAAAGCAAAGTTGCAGCATAGAAGTCTTTGAGAGCGAGTTCAATCTTTTCAAGCTCAAACCAGTGCTGTCCATCAAGCTTAAAGTTCGCGATTCCTACGGAGCCCTTTCCAGGTACATGACGAGCCGAGAAGAGCTCTAAACGTTCTCG